AACGCATGCACAGATGTGTTTTTCCCAACCCCCGGCGATCCAAGATGGCGCCGTATTCAAATGAATGGTTGTGCTCAGTGGCGCTTTGTCACGGCATGGGTGCCGAAAAGATTAACGGAAGTTGCCTGGAACTCGCAAAGATCTATGGGAAACTCGCCTGTATTTGGGCATCGTCTGGTCCTCCCGGTTCTGCGCAGCAGATGATCTCCCATAAAAGTGTGGGTCTAACACCGGGTCTCACGCATATGCACAGAGGGGCTCGGTCGCGCTCTGACCAATCAGAGCAGGAGTTAGAGCGAGAGCCAGACGAGCAGAGTTTGCAGCACTAAAGTGTGGATTTAAAGAAAAGCGAAGGATTTAAGAAGGAAAAAAGATCAGGATGACAAGGGACACTAAATTCCCCACAAAATCCAACCTTTATTAAAGCTGTAGGTTCTCTGTCAGCTGACGTCGCACTGTTTTAATTTACATTGAGTTCTATTGGAAAAATTTCTGGGTAGATAAGATAAGATATGCTTTATTTATCTCACAGGGGAGAAATTTACATGTCACATTTGGCATGGATAGGAACAATCAGATTGTGCAAAAAGAGAGGAAATGTGCAAACATGTTACATGCAGGATATATTATGTACAATAAAAAGTGGCAATCAGAGATAGTGTCAATAGTAGTGCAGGTTCTTTCAGTCTTATACAGTGACTTAAAGTGACTTGTACAGTCTGACAGCGGTGGGGATAAAGGCCCTGCGGTAGCGCTCCTTCTTACACTGAGGGCCGGGTGTCTCAGTCTTCCACTGAAGGAGCTCCTCAGCTCCTCTACAGTCCTGTGCAGTGGGTGGGAGGTGTTGTTCATGATGGAGGTGGCTTTGGCTAGCACCCTCCTGTCCCTCACCTCCTCCACAGAGTCCAGGGAGCAGCCCAGAGTGGAGCTGCCCCTCCTGACCAGCTTGCTCAGTCTACTCCTGTCCCGCTCTGTGCTGCCCGGGGCCCAGCACACGGCAGCGTAGTAAATGGCAGAAGCTACCACAGAGTCATAAAAAGTCCTGAGCAGAGGCCTGCTCACTCCGAAGGACCTCAGCCTCCTCAGAAGAAAGAGGCGACTTTGGCCCTTCTTGTGCAGGGCGTTTGTATTATGGGACCAGTCCAGTTTATTGTTAATGTGAACACCCAGGTACTTGAAGCTGTCCACCAGCTCAATGTCCTCCCCCTGGAAGTTCAGCGGCGTGTGGGAAAGTGGTTTCCTCTTGAAATCGATGACCATCTCCTTGGTCTTACTGGTGTTCAAGCACAAGTGGTTGCGCTCACACCAGTTGACAAAGTCTGTGATAACCGACCGATATTCCAGTTCGTTCCCCTCAGACACACAGCCCACGATGGCAGAGTCGTCTGAGAACTTCTGCAGGTGACAGCTGTGTGTGTCGTGTGTGAAGTCTGAGGTGTAGATGAAGAGAAACGGTGAGAGGACAGTGCCCTGAGGGGTCCCAGTGCTGCAGACTACCACCTCAGACTCAGCTGCGCAGCTGCACGTACTGTGGTCGGTCTGAGAGGTATTGATGGTCCATGCATGGCCTGATGGTACTGAAAGCGCTGGAGAAGTCAAAAAACATGACCCTCACAGCGCTCCCGGCGGGCTCCAGGTGGGAGAGCGTCCGCTGCAGGAAGTACAGTAGATGACGGCGTCTCACCGTGAATTTAGTGTGGTCTAGTCTGCAGTACTGCGAGAATCCCCCGAGCACATGGGTTATTCAGCTCCAAGCTAGTAATACCCTATCCAGTTATTATAATAGATCCATGGTTTTTCCACATTTTCCAGCCCCCGTGGCCATTTTGAATCACTCCATGAGAGCCCAGTTTTTGTCCCATTAGTTAGAACGGCGGAGATAGGCGTGACTACGTCAGTTAATATATACAGTCTATGTCCAATACTGATACTGGTATTTGGTATCAGGTTGATAGCTTAGGCTTGTACTCCTACTTGTAATCATACCATAGGACCCGATACCCGCTAACCCACATTTTTAAATTTACATTAGTATCACAACAGCAGACAGCTGTGTGGCACGCGGTTCCACGGTGATCTATGAAATTTGGCAGCAAGAAAGCAAGATAGCGACAAGCAGGTTAGCGGTACGCAAGCTGGCTGCAAGCAGGCAATCACCGAGTGGACAAGATGTTGGCCGTATGGCAGCTTTTGAAAAGTAATCAAGAGTGACAAGTGTGTATCGGACTGTACTGCAAAACTGTCACAAGGTCCAAAACAAACATGTATGACACCCGCAACTTGATACGCACCACCACGCAGCGTAAGCTTTGCTAGCACCGTACCTATATCTAAATACCATTTGTATGAGTGGAATACGACAGTGGCTCTTATTGTTGATTTTTAAAACATTTGTTTAAAGGTTTAATTGTTAAAGCATTTTCTTATTGTTGAAATGAGATATAAAACATTATAAATGTCAGTTGTATTGTTTTTATGGATTCCCGGGATAACACAACAGTACTCGAATTGGTATCGGCAAGTACTCAAATCAAGGTACTCTTAATGGTTTTGAAAAAAGTGGTACCAGTGTATCCCTAGATGTTTGTTTTAGCTAGATCCTGCATATGTTACTGTTAGCCAAGCCCCGGCGATCCAAGATGGCGCCCTATTCAAATGAATGGTTGCGCTCAGTGGCGCTTTGTGACGGCATGGGGGCTGAAAGATTAGCGGAAGTTGCCTGAAACTCGCAAAGATCTATGGGAAACTCGCCTGTATTTGGGCATCGTCTGGTCCTCCCGGTTCTGCGCGGTGGATGATCTCCCATAATGCGTTGCGCCAAACACGCGTGTGTGGGTCTCACACCGGGTCTCACGCACGTGCACAGAGGGGCTCGGCTGCGCTCTGACCAATCAGAGCAGTTCATCAGAGCGGGAGTTAGAGCGAGAGCCAGACAAGCAGAGTTTGTGGCACTAAAGTGTGGATTTAAACAAAACCGAAGGATTTAAGAAGAAAAAAAGTTCAGGATGACAAGGGACACTAAAATCCCCACAAAATCCGATCTTTATTAAAGCTGTAGGTTCTCTGTCAGCTGAGGTTGAGCTGTTTTAATATGCATTGAGTTCTATGGGGAAAATTTCTGGGTAGCCCACGTGAATTTAGTCTGGTTCAGTCTGCAGTACCGCGAGAATCCCCTGAGCACGTGAGTTATTCAGCTACAAGCTAGTAATACCCTATCCAGTTAATATAATACATCCATGCTGTTAGCCAACTCCTGCTGATGTTAGTGTTAGCTAGTTCCTGTCAATTTTGGTGTTAGCTAGTTCCTGTTGATGTTAGTGTTAGCTAGTTCCTGTTGATGTTAGTGTTAGCTAGTTTAATTCAATAACAAAGACAAAGTTCCTGTTTTGACACAAACCTCTGAATCTATAAAATGCTTTTGATAGTTATACTTTAGATGATGTTGATAAGATAAGATAAAACATGTCACATTTGGCATGAAGAGAATCACTCAGATTTGTGCAAAAAATAAGATAAGATGGACTTTATTGAATAAAGTCTATCTTACAAACTAAACAGTTTTTGTTTCTATGTATTACATACATCATGTTATTGCTGTATGTTGTTGTGATAACATCTGGTTCATATGTTGCTATGGTAACGTCTCTGGTTAAGTGTGCCACCTCGCAGCTGTTGTCAAAACTGAAACGAAGTTTCACCTCTTGTTATATATACACTCTATGGGCTATATGCATGGGGAGGCGTGACGCCATTTCCTGTTAACAAAGATCAGCCCGTTCACTTCCTGCCTATGCTTTCCTATGGCTTTTAGGTGGGTTTTAGTGACGTTTTTTAGTAATTAGATTGATACATTCAGCTGTGAAACTGACCCAAGTGTCGCTGTGCTTTCTCTCTGAAGTAGAGCTTCGACTGTGGCCACTCAGAGCGATTTGTAAACTTTATAAAAACACAATGACAGCACAATCAAAGAGCACTGCTGTGTCCCAAAAATGCCCAGTATCCTCACGGTTTAATTCCCGTTTGAGCATTATTTGGGAAACTCGTGTAAACCACTGCTGAACTCCAGTGAAACTCAAGCCGTTTCCTGCGCACAGGAAGTGAAGTGGGGCTTTAGCTAAAACGCGGAAGTGGTGCGTGCATAGAGCCCATTCTGGTGTTCTGACGGCTCTGGGTCAGGGGCCTCTGTCAAGGGCCCTCTGTGTCTGTGTTTTGTAATAAATGTTGTATTTTTTATCCATTTAACAAATAAATTACTTCAGAAAAAGTTGAATAATATTTATTTAAATTATATTCTTTTTCCAACGATGTAAGGAAAAACACAGCACTCTGCTAAAGACTTTTTTACAATCGGGTGAACACAGGGACCAGGTGACAGCAGGGAATAGTTGATAACAGGGACCAGGTGATAACAATTTTGAATGTAACTTAAATGAAATATATAAAAACTTTATATTTATCATATATTATATATTCATTACATATTTCACATGCGGCAGGTTCAGAACATCATTAAAACACATGATTTACAATAAAAGAAAGTTTCTTGTTTTTCTCACAGACTGGGACCAAGACCGGGACTGAGGCTGAGACTGGGACCAGGACTGGGACTAAATAAGGCTTAGACTGGGATTGAGACTTAAAAGTAATCTTTAAGTGGTGGGGCATAGCACCCTCTGGTGGACAAGAAGCAGACTGCAGCACATTCAGATCTCTAACGCTTAAAGCTGGGGTATCTAACCTTTGTATTCTCATCCATGACACATGTGTGCTATACAAATAAAGCTGTCTGAACAGGAAGAGTTCAGTGATAACCTGCCGTCTTCATCTGATCAGAAAGAGCCCTTTGAGACCTTTAGTTTACTCATGTTTAGTTTAGTTACATTAATGACCTGTTGTGGTTTGAAAGTTAGGTAGGCCAGCTTTAAAGCATCCATTCATTCCACTCATACTAATGCAGACGTCTAAATGACTGCTCCCTCAGAGTCAGACGTGTCTGCAGTCTAAATGACTGCTTCCATGTCTGTAGTGTTGTCTGATGAAGTCATCTCATGGGCCATCTGATTGAGGAGGTAAACAGTTAATATAGTTTCCGACTGAGGTCAGATGTGACTGGTACAGGACTAGGTACCAGGTGGGGGCACCAGGTGGAGTACTCACCAGGACCGGGGGGGCCAGGAACAGGTAGTTGAGGGGGTAGTGCACCAGGTTGATGCAGCTGGTGGAGTAGAGGTCTGCGTATCGAAGCAGCTGAGAAGAAAAAAGTGTCTGACGAGACCCACTCCTCAACAAGCTCCCCATCTGACTGTAGGCCACGTCCATACGGTAGGTCAGCACCTGTGGAGCACTTGTGTATCAGCACTTGTAGATCACCACCTGTGGAGCTCCTGTTATTAGCACATGTGGAGCACCTGTAGGTCGGCACCTGTGGAGCACTTGTGTGTAAGACCCTGTAGGTCAACACCGTGTATCAACACCTGTTGTCAGCACCGTGTATCAACACCTTTGGTCATCACCTGTGTATTAGCTCCTGTGGTGCACTTGAAGGTCAACACCTGTGGAGCACCTGTGTTTCAGCACCTGTGGCAGGTGTATACAGGTGTGTGTCATGGGAGATTACCTTCATCCTGTACTGAATGTCCAGAATCTCTGGGTCAGTGCTGTCCACGTTTCTGCAAAAGAAAAGGGATAAGGTCAAGAGAGAGAGACCAGAGCGAGAGAGACCAGAGAGAGAGACCAGAGAGAGACCAGAGAGAGAGAGTCCAGAGAGAGACCAGAGAGAGAGAGTCCAGAGAGAGGGACCAGAGAGAGAGAGTCCAGAGAGAGAGACCAGAGAGAGACCAGAGAGAGAGAGTCCAGAGAGAGACCAGAGAGAGAGAGTCCAGAGAGAGGGACCAGAGAGAGAGAGTCCAGAAAGAGGGACCAGAGAGAGAGAGACCAGAGAGAGGGACCAGAGAGAGAGAGACCAGAGAGAGTAAGTAAGTAAGTAAGTAAGCTTTTATTTATATACCGCCTTTCACAGACCAGAGTCACAAAGCGGTTTACAATTGTTATTTTTTGGGCACTTGTCCTCTCACTCCACACAGAGATGGGAGCGGGGTCGCCGAACAGGAGGCGCATGCCAGACCTATTGTACATATTTTTAGTGGTAGGGTAAACCGGAGTACCCGGAGGAAACCTACGCAGACACGGGGAGAACATGCAAACTCCACTCAGAAAGGCCCTGGTCCGGCCGGGATTCGAACCCGGGACGCACGGTGGCTGAGTGGATAGCACTCTCGCCTCTCAGCAAGAAGGTCCCGGGTTCGAATGAGTGAAGAGGGACCAGAGAAAGACCAGACAGAAACTATATAAAGACTAGAGAGACCAGAGAGAGACTAGAGACAGAGACCATAGAAACACATCAAAAGGCAGTGACTTAAGAGAATGTTCATGTCTCACTTGTGAAGTTCTGCCAAGAACACGTCCAGCCGCTTGAGCTCCTCGAACAGACCTACAACACACTCAAGATGAACACCCGAACACTCAGGGGTCAGAGTCACCTCTTGCTCACCTCTCTTCTTCTCCCACACTTCCAGCTCTTTGGTGAGCTCGGGCACCACGAGGAAGGTCTTCCAGCCCTGACGCTTTTTGGATTTGAGGATGTCTCCAAAAATGTGGTCTCCAACGTAGAGGATGTCCTTCCCCTGGACTTTCAGCAGATCACAGATGACATCTGAGGAACCTACAGGCGCAAGACATGACCCTGAGGAACCTACAGGAGCAAGACCTGAACCTGAGGAACCTACAGGCGCAAGACCTGAACCTGAGGAACCTACAGGAGCAAGACCTGAACCTGAGGAACCTACAGGAGCAAGACCTGAACCTGAGGAACCTAGAGGCGCAAGACCTGAACCTGAGGAACCTACAGGAGCAAGACCTGAACCTGAGGAACCTACAGGAGCAAGACCTGAACCTGAGGAACCTACAGGAGCAAGGGCATCGGCCTTTGAAGGTTGTGGGTTCGAGCCCACCACAAGACTTTCTCAACCGACTCCCACCAATGTCTGCTGTCGTTGTATCCTTGGGCAAGACACTTATCCTACTTTTTTGTGGCCATACTTGGATGAAAAAGCCAGATCCTGTCAGACCTCTGAAGCTGTGCAGGGAAGGGCCTGGTTAGTACTGTGATGGAAGACCTCTGGGAACACCAAGTGCCACACCGCTGTTGTGTTCTTAGGCAAGACACTTCACCCACAGGGCCTAGAATGAGTCTGGTGTGTGTGTGAATGGTTGGTGCCGGTCGCAGGGGCCAATGGCACATACTGGTTACCTCATTTCAGTCAGTGCGCCCCAAGGCAGTTGTGGCTACAGCTACAGTAGTAGTAATTCATCACCACCATGTAAGGAGTGAAGGAATAATGACATGTGAAGCGTCTTTGAGTGTCCAAAACAGCGCTATTTAAAACTGATGCATTATTATTATTCATCATTACCTGTCACTGACCTGCACCTGTGTATGAACCACACTGGTGAGTGACCTGCACCAAAAACAGTTTTTAACTGTGAACACTAAGAAGCAAAGCACTCTGGGAAATACATTCTGCTCGAACAACAACCCCGTTCACATAAACGCTGTGTATTTCTTGCTCTTCCTCACTGCTGTGCACATAAAAACATTGAAGCGGGAATGTGTGCTTCGTTAAATGCTCTGGAGATGTGTATGTGTGTACGTGCGTGTGTATCAGCACACACTACCTAAAGCTGAGGTACGTAACTTTCAAATAAAAAATCTTGACACTTCAGATATATTGATATAATATGATAATGATCACCTCCTGAGTACACCGTCCCATGCTGCAGGTCTCCCGTGTACGTCCCAATGCGCAGCTTTCCAGTGTCCTGCCAGGAGCAAAGGGTCAGGTTTAGAGGTCAGGGTCAGAGTCAGGGGCAGAGTCAGGGTCAGAGTTACCGTGTCCACTTGTCTTAACACAGTCCCTTCTCCAAAGAATTGTGGTTTCTTTGTGTCCACGACGATCAGATCAAAGTAGGAACGCCAGGGTTTTCTAGGACCAGAGGTCTAAACAGGATTCAGAGAGTGTGTCTGTGTGTGTATCTGTGTGTGTTTGTGTGTGTGTCTCACCGTCACACAGGTCTCCAGGAGGTACCTCATTATGGCCTGTAACCAGAATGCGAATTTAGTTGTTTAGATGTAGATGTGATTTACAGACCTCAGCTTTAATGCAGTATCCAACCTCTGTGTACATGTAGTCACTGTTAGTTGCCAGAAACACTTTGGCCACATCTTTGATTCTTGTTAAAAAATATGGAAGATTTGGCTGAAAACAAGAAACATCAAAATAAAGATAAAACTAAAGTTAATAAAGAAGTTTCTGAAAACGGTTTTACTCACAATCTTCTCCACAAACTTTTCCAGGTTCTTTATGGTTCTGTCCTTCAGCACGCCCTGCAACCAGGTCATAGGTATGCTAACATGCTAACAGTACCCCTGTATGCTAACAGGTACACCTTTATAGAGGGATCCTACGGTCACGTGACTAGCAGCCACGGCAGCCATACTGGAGGACAACCTCGGCGAGTAACAGCCCTGCTAGCTATCTATAACTGGACGTTCAAAACTAGAACTCTCTCGAACTACATGAAAACTGAACAGAGAATTTGAAACTTCAGCAGTTAGTGACCCAAATATATAATCAACCTAAATTCATGAATCAGATCCTCTGAAAATGCATCCTAAAATGTATTATTAATGTTTGTCGTTACATCCAGGTTTACCGTGGTCGCATATTGTTGCATTAAAACAGTGTTTTTTCATGAAAACGTGAACAGAAAATTCTGAAAACCTCTGTGCACGTGTATTAAGAATGTATATGTATAATGTATTCTCAGATTAACATTGAATGTGTTTATTGTTACACCATGGATCTATGTGTGGCTACACTGCAGTGGAAATAATGAGATTACATTCAAATCAATGGAGCTTCCTGCGTCTACTGTGAGGAGCCGTATATTTTATTAATAAATACTAGTACGGGGCCCCCTGGAGCACGGCTCAGTCGTTCACATGTCTGCTGGCCTTCGGTAAGTCAGATCCCCTGTGAACCGGGTGAGGTCCTGTGTGAGACCAAATATATAACAGCTATGCTACAAGCTAAGCTACAGTCTATGGAGCAACCCCACGTTGCAGTCAGACAGATATGTTTTATCCTTAAACTTCTGTTTGTTTCTGAATAACACTAAATCCGCCATCAAATTGATTTTACTTTGCAGAAATGAAATGATCCGAGCATATTCGGGCGCTCTGGGGGCTATTAGTTTTTTATTGTGAAGTAAGGACGGCTGGCAGTCGGTAACACAACTTATTTTCCCTGTCTCTCCTTTTGCTGCAGCCAAAAACGGCAACAAATTTGAACATGTTTATGCGGTCCCGGGTGCACGCCACTATCATACAGCGTTTGCTTGTCCTCCAGTAAGGCGGATGCCCCGCGAGTTCGAGGCATCGTGACGTCACGTGAGATATCTCTATACTAACATACAAGTACCCCAGTATGCCAACATGCTAACAGTACCCCTGTATACTAACATGCTAACAGGGACCCCTGTATGCTAACATGCTATCTGTACCCCTGTATGCTAACATGCTAACAGGTACCCTAGCCCCTATATGCTACAGGTATGCTAACAGGTAGCTGCATGCTAACTCTTCATAAGTGAATCTTCTCGAACACAAACATAAATACGTTGTTGTGGATGTGGTCCATGGCATCGCGGACGTCTTGAAACATACTCCTAAACGTCATCAGGAGGTCACCGTGTTGGAACCCTGTGGTCAGACTGTGGAGAGACCAGGTGAGACCAGATGAAACCAGAGACCAGGGGAGACCAGACACCAAGTGACACAGGGTGAGACCAGGTGAGATCAGAGACCAGGGGAGACCCGACACCAAGTGACACAGGGTGAGACCAGAGACCAGGGGAGACCCGACACCAAGTGACACAGGGTGACACAAGGGGGACCAGAGACAATGGGAGGCTTGAGAACAGAGACCAGGGAAGATGAGAAACCAAGTGAGACCCACTTCTCATATCTGCTGCATCTGGTGAAGAAGTCCATGAGGCAGGCGTACAGGTACGTCTCTATGAAACACAGGTGTGAAACACAGGTGTAAGAGATCTCTGAAGCTAAGCAGTGTGGAGCCTCGTTAATATAGTGATGGGAGCTTGAGGCTGAAGTTAAACAGAAGAGACTTCATCCAATTTGCCTGGGTCTACAGCAGCCCCATGTCCATCTGGCTGCCCCAGGGCAGCTGTGGCTACAGTCTCACTTTACCCTGACCCTGACACAGGTGCAGAACTGACCTGACAGATTGAAGAGCGTGCTGAGGTTGTGGAAGCGGTCAGTGTCGTGTCTCTGGATGAATTTGTTTGGATAAAACTTCTTTATGTCGTAGCTGTGAAACAGTAAACATGTTAGAGTCTGGAGTGAACTGTCGGGTTAGAGTTAGGGCCCCAGGGTTGGGGCCCCAGGGTCAGGTCAGGGTTTGTTCTTCACCTTTTGAGGAAGTAGAAGCCGTGAGAGCAGACCAGAATGTTCCCGTTAGAGTCCACCTTCAGGAGGTTCCCGAACAAGGTGTCGATGACCAAACCCCTGATGGAAGAAAATACTCTGTTTGGTATTGATGTGGTACTCGGAAACTCAGAGGTCAGGGGTCATACCGTGTGGGGAAGCTGGGGTCATAGGTATAGCGCAGCAGCTCGTGTGGATACCCCACAGACACCAGGCGGTCTCGGATCAGCTCGAAGCCCATGGTCTCGAATTCCGGAGACTTGTAAACTGTTGACACCAGCGTCACATCCGGCGGCTTTAGCTTAGACTCACGTACATGCTAATGTATCACTCACGTACTTGCTAATGTGTCACTCACGTACATGCTAATGTATCACTTACATACTTGCTAATGTGTCACCCACGTACATGCTAATGTGTCACTCACGTACATGCTAATGTATCACTTACATACTTGCTAATGTGTCACCCACGTACATGCTAATGTGTCACTCACGTACATGCTAATGTGTCACTCACGTACATGCTAATGTATCACTTACATACTTGCTAATGTGTCACCCACGTACATGCTAATGTGTCACTCACGTACATGCTAATGTGTCACTCACGTACATGCTAATGTATCACTTACATACTTGCTAATGTGTCACCCACGTACATGCTAATGTGTCACTCACGTACATGCTAATGTGTCACTCACGTACATGCTAATGTGTCACTCACTCATTTGCTAATGTGTCACTTACGTGCATGCTAATGCTAATCTATCACCCATGTATTTGCTAATTTGTCAGTCATGTACTCACTAATATGTCACTGGCGTAAATGCTAATAAGTTTATTAAGGAAAACCCCTTGAGATAAATCATCTCATTTTTGCGGGGGTTCTAAACATAAAAAATGCTAGTGTGTCACTCACGTACTTGCTAACGTATAGTCCATATCAAAACCATAGCATTTGATGTTTTCTAGAGTCAAACTTCTGTTCACAAAAATCCTGTAACAAACACAAACATGTGAAAAGAGGATTTACATTTCTATCAAACATGATGTTAAAGAAGCTATACCCAATTTTTTTTCTAAGTAGTTCATAAAAATGCTTATTAATACATACAAGTTGTATTATAATCCATAATTTAATTTAAAGTAGTACTAGAATTTAATCTGCTGCTATCCAGAATATATAACTACAATATGTGTTTGTAATATTTTGGGTGTTCATTTTGTCATGTTCAGATGAATTATGTTAAAAAACGGCTTTGAAGTCGCACTTTTTCACTTCCGCATAGAAACGCTAGGGGGCGCCAAAATGGCGGTGATGACGTAGGAGAATGACATCTCACAGCAACGGACAGCAGTCTTAGCTGGAATCTGTAGGAGCAGTGATCGGAGGTTTCACTGTCATCTGAACAAGGTATAAACATATTTTCATCCGTTTTGTACATAATAGTGTGCAACTCTTTAAACCTTTTGGCTTATTTGTGAGAGTCAAGCTAATTAGTGTTGGGCAAGTTAGCTAACTCTACTTGATATCCTAAAACATGCTTACAAGGCTAATATTCGTTTTTACATTATGCCAGTCTCACTGTGGTTGCCTTAGATTTATTTACCACAATGTACATTGTAATATTCAAAAATGCCGATCAAAATAACTTGAATTAAATAAATATTTTGCTTTTATGAACAAAAAGCTGCTGAAGTTGAAAACATAGACACAAGACCTAACATGATGACTACATGTGATGCAATCATTGATAAAAATGCTAATTAGAGCTGCAACTAACGATTATTTTGTAATCGATTAATCTATCTGAAGAAGATGACATGTCTGGGATCGTGTCTTTCATTCAGACAGAAGACATGTTTTATTGTCGATGGTAGAGACAGCACGAACAACACAAACAACAGAATGCAAGTGTATTATACAGAGCGGAGGCATGGAGACCTCCAATCAGCAGCTGCCACGGTGCCATGTAGCTTGGCCTTCAGATAGACAAAACAAGGGAAAAGTACTGGCTTCTGCACATTGATAGAATGATGAGTTTAACTTTAACAAAAGTTGCTTAAAAGTGTTATGAAATCTCACATATCGATTATTTTTACGATTAATCGAGTAATCGCTTGGCTGTGAATTGTGTAGAAAAAAATTATTTTTTCATCACAAAAAGCTAAAGTGGCAACACACGAGGACGTATTGATGGCGTAAACTTAAAGTAAATGTTTGTAACAGGCTCTTTGTGGTAATTCTGCTATCTGATTGGATGAGACAGACAGATATTGATGAAATTATAAAAACAAAGTCGGTTTTAATCAAAAATACTACATTTTCACGTCATTTTTGCTCTGTTTGAGTCCCTGTGAACCAGAAAACGATTAATTGATTACTAAAATAGTTGTCGACTATTTCAATAATCGATTAGTCGTCGATTAATCGATTAGTTGTTTCACTCCTAATGCTAATTAAACCGTTAATAGGTGTTAGTGTTGCCCCCTCGAATGACATGGTATAAATATTGTTATTTACAGTGAACCGTAAGCCATACCAATAAAAACCCTAAAGTGCTTAGTGCTATACAATAAAAATAGGTACAAATACAGGCGGCAAAACCCTCCCCCACTAAAAAAAAATGTTATACCGACATTTTCTCTTAGTTACTAGCGCCTTAGCTTAGCCCCTCAATTATAGCAAAATAGTTCATATTATCAGCACTTTTAGAGTCCAGACTAAATGAACAGTGTCCACTAATTCAAGGTCTCTTTTCACGGAGATACACCAGACAAGAAAGTCCATTTGTGATGCTGGGCGGCAAGTCCATAGAAGCACTGGTGGTTCCCCCAATCTTCAGGATTGACTCAAGGAAAACACCTTTTTACCCAAAATTTTGAAACATGTTCAACAAGACTAATTAATTATTAATTAGCATGTACTGTATTGAACTACCATTAAAGTACGCAAACTACTATTGCACAAAAACAGGAGATTCAAAGTGCGAAGTGCAAAGAATATAGGTTGGCGGTGCAGTAGTCATGGACACATCTGGACCTGGCCTGGCCTCGCTCTGACTGGGCGAGGCTCTGGAGCTTCCTCAGAGGAGTCTGAGGTAGACGTTTCTGGCTCTGCCTCCGGCACTGGCTCAGGATCAGCCTCTGGAACGGCTTCTTCAGCTCTCTCCACAGGTGCAGCTCTTTGCTCAAGCTGACCGGGTACGGGTGCCCTTGGCTGACACTCTGCAGCAGCCGGGTTGAGCATGAAGAGGTGGTAATCATCATCGCTTGAGCTCTCTGAGCTAGCTGGCTGGGTGTTACATCTGGCTCTCCTTCCTCGCTCTGGTGACACTCTGGCTCTTTCTCTTCTCCTCCTAGGACTGGGGACAGCAGGGGCAGGTTCAACCAGGTAAGGACAGAGTAACAGCAGGTTCCTGTGCAGTACACGCCTTCTTCCTGCCGCATTCAGAGGCTCAACTGTGTACACAGGGCTCCCAGGGCCTTTGCTCTCCCTTACAACCTGGACAGTGTCCTCCCAGTGACTACGGAGTTTTCCCGGACCACCTCGAGGCGTGAGATTTCTCAACAAAACGTGGTCACCTGGTTTCAGGGTAGAGCTCCAGGTCCGCTGGTTGTAGTAGTCCTGCCCTCTTTTTGCTGATTTCCTCATATTCTTGAGGGCGATTGCATAGGCTTCCTTCATGGCCTTTCTCCACTTCTCAGCATAGCCAGTAGGGGTCGGTTTCTCTGCGTCACTAGGCTTCTGTGGAAACAGGAGGTCAACAGGAAGGGTTGGCTCACGGCCAAAGAGCAAGAAGAAAGGAGAGTAGCCTGTCGCCTCATGGATGGTGGAATTGTAGGCATGAACAACTTTGTTGAGATACTCCTTCCATCTCGTCCTCTCCGTCTCCTCCAGTGACTGCAGCATGCTCAACAGAGTCCTGTTAAAACGCTCTGAAGGGTTAGCTAGTGGTACGGTGTAGTGCGAGAGTGATACATACCACTGTATTTTTGCAGCTTCTGAAACAGCTGGTTCTCAAACTCTCGTCCTTGGTCATGGTGGAGTCTGGATGGAAAGCCAAAGCGTGGGATGTAGTCATCAAACAGCTTTTTTGCTGCAGTTTTTCCAGCTTTATCTTTTGTGGCATAAGCTTGAGCGTATTTAGTAAAATGGTCCACCAAAACCAGTATATATTCTTCACCTCCCCTGGACTTCTCCAAATGTACAAAGTCTATTGAGACCAGCTCAAATGGTGCAGACGTCTCGATACTTTGCAGTGGTGTCCTTGTGACTCTGTTGGGCTTTTTCCCCTTAACGCAGCTGCACAAACGTGTGACGTAGTGCTCCATCTCCCGTCTCATTTTTGGCCAAAAGAAGCGTTCTTGGGCCAAAACAACCATCCGGTCAGCGCCCAAGTGTCCCATCTCCTCATGGAGGTACTTGTAGACCAGGGCTTTCATGGACTGTGGCACCACAAGTTCCGTCTTATTGTTGGTCCTCCTCCACAGGAGTCCATCTTCATCCAGCTGCAACTTTGGCCATTCCCTCAGGAGAGCTCTGACATGTTCATCTCTGGCTGCTTTGTCCCTGTATTTCAGGTAGACGTGTTTGCGTTTCAGGCTGGAGACCCTCTGGATGTCTCAATCTGCATTCTGCTGGGCCTGAATATCATGGATAGAGAGGGGCTACCTTGAAGTAGTTTTTTCTCAGTTCATCTCTCTTATCATTTACTTCCAATAATATGGACACTCCTTCATCCTCTTGCGATGTGGTATCATCACTCTCCAGATGCGTTAGAATAATCCTCCTCAATTTGCGAGGTGAGCGCTCATCTCCAGTGACAGTAATTCCGAGTGTAGTGCACTGTACCGCGGCAGGTAAGGTAAGCAACTTTCCCTCAATTTCCTCCAACATATTTTCCACTTCGGACACTTGTTGATTGAAGTCTGGCATAGTTGGAGAGTTTACCTCTGCTTACCTCTGGGACTTGTGATGAATTGTTCTGTCTTCGGCTACTGTTGGCCTCAGCTCCGATAGCTCCGTGCTGGCTTCTCGTAGTAGCAATTAAATCCACTCACGATTTAAATCCACACACGACCTCCGTAGCAGTGAGATGTAGCGATCCAGATGCTTTATACACTCAAAGGAACCGAGCGGAAACACCAGGATTTTGTTGCCCCCTCAAAATGACCATTGAGTCCAAAGGGTTCGTTTTATTTTTTATTTCGGTCTCAAAAGAAAAAATAAGAATAAGAAAAGGACAAGAGTCGCACACACAGTCCCGTATACATCCTGGCAGGCAAACGCCTCTATACTGCACACCTGTCTCTGATTAGCCCCAGAGGGAAATATTTAAAGCAGAAATTACGTGAGCTTGAGGGGTAGGTCATGTAATAGATATTTCTACAATAATAAATTACTATTAAGAGAAAACAGTGTGATTTAGCGAATGACATGGTATAAATATTGTTATTTACAGTGAACCGTAAGCCATACCAATAAAAACCCTAAAGTGCTTAGTGCTATACAATAAAAATAGGTAAATACAGGCGGCAACACCAGCATTTATGGATTTTACAATGTACATTGTGGTAAATAAATCTAAGGCAACCACAGTGAGACTGGCATAATGTAAAAACGAATATTAGCCTTGTAAGCATGTTTTATGATATCAAGTAGAGTTAGCTAACTTGCCCAAGACTAATTAGCTTGAATCTCACAAATAAGGCTAAAAGGTTAAAAGAGTTGCACACTATTATATACAAAACTGATGAAAATATGTTTATACCTTGTTCAGATGACAGTGAAACCTCCTACATTTCCAGCTAAGACTGCTGCTGCTGTGAGATGGCCTTCTCCTACGTCATCGGCGCCATTTTGGCTCCCCCTAGCGTTTGTGGAAAGGTGCGACTTTAAAGCCGTTTTTTAAACATAATTCATCTGAACATATCAAAATGAACACCCGAAATATTATAAACACATCCATCCATCCATCTATTTTCTACCCCTTAATCCATTTCTGGGTTGGGGGGTGGCAGTCAGAGATGCCACCCAAGTCTCACAGCACCAGCCCCTCACTGACCCTCTGCAGGTGGTGAGTCCACAGGAGGATGGCTGCTCTGTCAATGTGAGCATAGCCATGATCCCTCAGCGGGGGCTTTGGGCAAAGTGGGGTTAAGTGTCTTGCCCAAGGACACAACGACAGCAGACATCAGTGGGAGTCCACATATTGTAGTTATATATTCTGGATAGCAGTATATTAAATTCTAGTACTACTTTAAAACTTGAGCTCATTGATTCAGCTTGTGTATGAATTCAGGCCGTGTAAAGTGCTGAGTAGAGACCAGTGGGGGCGGGTCCCGGCTCAAAAGTGGCCAAAATTATGTACGCTGACAGGCTTGCAATACCACCCTGGGCCGATGGGGGTGGACCCGGAATAAGAATTATCCAATGCTAACATATAACATCGGCAGACCTCTCGAAAACATCTTTACAGGATGGTCCAAAAGTTGGCTCTTGGCCCGTTCCACATGTGTGTCAATGCTGAGGGGAGTATTTATAATTAAATATTCAAATATACTCTAATGTTTAAATTAATACATTCGGACACAAACTAGCGGTATTCTTTTACTTATATATTGTGTTAGCAGTGCATTGCTTTTATACCATTTCATCAGTGATTGTTGTACAGCTTACAAGAACTTGCGCTCATGCTAATGTTAGCATACGTATCAGATTGCAATTTAAATTAGATGGCTCCGTGGGATGTGAGCGTAGGGGAAATGAGAAGCCTGTGAGCGAGTTGGGAGGCGGGGCTAAACATTCAAACCTTGGAGAAACGTGTATAGCTCCTTTAATGACAATCAAGTGTTTCCTCACTGCTGCATTCTCCCATAGTGTCTGCTGTGGGGGAGGGGGAGGCTGAGGGGCTGAGGCGGTGGGAGGGTCTGGATGGAGGCTGAGATGTTATCTGCAGCTCTGTTCTCCACTTGACACACAACTGTTATAACCTCGGCTTCAGTGAATCATGACAGCTAGCTGTATGCTAACAGGTGGCTGTATGCTAACAAGTAGCTGTATGCCAACAGGTAGCTGTATGCTAACAGGTGGCTGTATGCTAACTCTCGAACACAAACATTAATACACTATGTTTACGTTGTTTATGTATGACCTCTGGCCCCTGCACTCTGCCCTCTGCCCCTGCCCCCTGCTCTCTGCCCCTGCTCCTACCCCTGCCCTCTCACAGACACAGAGAATTTAAAAACATGAACCTAACCCTAACCTGAGCCTTTGTGAGAACTATGACTGTGTTCAGAACTCACCGTTTGTCGTTACCTCTTTTGACCCGCTCCTCTGCGGGCAACCCGCCCGTCTCTGACCCACCAGTCTTGCAGGTCTCGCTGGTCTTCATGGTGAGTCCTGTTCTGAGGACGTGCTCTCGTTTTAAAGGGAACCTGTTTGTTTTGTTTTGAGGCTCCTCCTCGGGCCCTTGGGGGACCCCTGTGTGTGTCACTGCTTGAGATTGTGTTATCAGACACACACATGTGTGTGTGTTATCAGAAATGTGTAACCAGGAGCAACGTCTGCGTCATGTGACCACAGAGGGAGATCCTCTGCTGCTCTATTATCACTATCAAAAGTGAAACATTTGTATTTACATATTTTATTTTTTATCAATTTTCCACGAATCTGCCCTAAATTATTGCCCACAGTCTAAATTCTTCATTTAAAAGTTTTCTCAGAGTTACATCAAACAAAAGGAAAAAAGAAGTGAAGATTAAACAAACTCTTTATTTTGTTCTTACATCAGAACACTGTCTCACACAGGACCCCCCCAGAGCCGGCCTTCACACCAACCACCCCCTCAGAGCAGGTCTTCACACCAACCACCCCCTCAGAGCAGGTATTCACACCCACCACACCATCAGAGCAGGTTTTCGCTCTCGCTGGTGTCGGCTCAGACTTAGATTTAGAGTGAATCTTCTTGAACTCTTCAGCGATTTCCAGCGGGGAGAGGTTTATGGTCTCCGGAAAGAACCACCTCACATACAAACACGAAGACATGCAGAACGCCAGGAACAGGAGGAAACAGAAGTAATCCAGCTTCTTCTGTAACCACCAAGAAAAGAAACATCAAGGACAGATGCAAATGTAATGAATGCAAAGGTCAGATGTCGAAGCTTACGACGAGGACGGGGAAGAGCAGCCCCACACAGAACAGACCAGACCAGTTCAGAGTCACCCCCACAGCGAAGGCCGAAGACCTGTAGGGCTGAGTAAAGAGCTCTCCTGGGAGCGGAGTGGAGCTGCCAGCTGAGGAGCACACATGGTACCTGTGAGACACCAGCACATGGTCTACAGCAGAGGACCTGATGGTACCAGCACATGGTGTACAGCAGAAAACCCTGAGAGACTCACATGGTCCACTGCCAAACGCAAAAATGAAAATAAAAACCAGCAGCATACTGCAGTAAGGCATCCAGGAGACATGTGTCTGCGGAAACAACACATGGTTCATCAGTCAAATGTACACATCAGGGTTAGGGCGAGGACTCAGCTGCAGGTACATGGTGAGGGTGAGGGGGACTCACCTGCAGGTACATGGTGAGGGTGAGGGGGACTCACCTGCAGGTACATGGTGAGGGTGAGGGGGACTCACCTGCAGGTACATGGTGAGGGGGACTCACCTGCAGGTACATGGTGAGGGTGAGGGGGACTCACCTGCAGGTACATGGTGAGGGTGAGGGGGACTCACCTGCAGGTACATGGTGAGGGTGAGGGGGACTCACCTGCAGGTACATGGTGAGGGGGACTCACCTGCAGGTACATGGTGAGGGGGACTCACCTGCAGGTACATGGTGAGGGGGACTCACCTGCAGGTACATGGTGAGGGTGAGGGGGACTCACCTGCAGGTACATGGTGAGGGTGAGGGGGGACTCACCTGCAGGTACATGGTGAGGGTGAGGGGGACTCACCTGCAGGTACATGGTGAGGGGGACTCACCTGCAGGTACATGGTGAGGGTGAGGGGGACTCACCTGCAGGTACATGGTGAGGGTGAGGGGGACTCACCTGCAGGTACATGGTGAGGGTGAGGGGGACTCACCTGCAGGTACATGGTGAGGGGGACTCACCTGCAGGTACATGGTGAGGGTGAGGGGGACTCACCTGCAGGTACATGGTGAGGGTGAGGGGGACTCACCTGCAGGTACATGGTGAGGGTGAGGGGGACTCACCTGCAGGTACATGGTGAGGGTGAGGGGGACTCACCTGCAGGTACATGGTGAGGGTGAGGAGGACCAGGGTCACTGACATTAGCGCGTAGCCTCTGAACAGCATATTCCTTTTGCTTGAAAACTGAGCGATGAAAAACTGCAACAAAAAGAGCTCTCAGTCTGAGGTTCCAGGCCACATGATGTTTATCCGTACATCAGTGGTTCCCAAAGTGTGGGGCGTGGGGCACTATTCGAGGGCTGCCAGATGATAGTATAGTTTTGTATATTTTTACTTTTATCAAGTTTAATAAATTCCTGTTTTTCTAAGTTAACTGTGTCAGAGGTGACTGGTTTAGGTTGTCATGGTAAGAAATGTACTTTGACTAAAGAGCAATTTTTGGGTTGTCTGCAGGTACCATGTATGCCAGTTTTTAACCAGTGTCAACAAAGTAATGGTTTCAGCCATTTGGAATGTGTTTTGGTCTGTTAATAAAATCTTGTTCAAAGCTTCAGAGGCTGCAAAGGTTTAGGGCCATGAAGCTTTTTTCTAGCTTTGCAGGTTCTCAACGTGTCACAAGTATTCATCTAACCTCTGTCGGATTTTGTAGAAATGTTGTTAAACTGTAGTTTGAACCAGGCAATATCCAGAATATATTTCATATAATCTATATTTGAAGTGATATTAGATCAAACAGCACTATGACCTCAAATAGACAATTGACTTAGCGGGTTAGCAGGGAGCTAGAAAGTTAGCATGGGTTAGAAGGGAGCTAGAAGGTTAGCATGGAGCTAACGGGCTAGCAGAGAGCTAGCAGCCACCCCCACTGGTCCTGGGTCTCTCCCTGGAAACGTATGTGTCGCTTGTATTTGCGATCTCCTTTCAGTCGTATTCAAAGATCAAAACCAAAGGTGGAGGAGGGGATGGAAAGCTCAGACTGCAGTCGCTGCTCTCTCTTCACCACAACAGTCTAATAAAGCTCTGACTGCAGATGCTGCTCCTTCTTTACTACAACACTCAACCTTATATAAGACCTGAGAGACTTGAACTTCTCCACAAAAGGAAGAACAAGAAACTTTTAAAATAAAACAAAAAACCTGAAATAAATGTAATTATTCACAAGCACACACAAAGACACACACTCACACACATACAAACATACACAGACACCCACACAAAGACACACTCACATCCCCAGAATAAAGACTAAACTGGGCAGATTGGCACCATGGGCTTGGAAAAACCTCCAAAACGTGTCACAGTTAAAAGAACTTCGTCCCCTGGTCTCATTTAAATTTCTATCGAAGGAAAGATTGACTGAAATGTGCAGATGTTACTCCTGAGCTGGATATTTTCACCAATTTGATGTATTTTTATAATGTCGTTGTTTGTGCTTGTGTATGTACGTTATTTCTTACTAAGGTGTTCTTGGCCAGGTCTCCCTCGCAAAAGAACATTTATCTCAAGGGACTTCCTGGTTAAATAAAGGTTAGATAAAAATAATTAAAATAAACAAAGTCACACACACAGGACACACACACTCACCAGAGAGGAGGAGGCACACAGCTCACACAGACCGGTTCCCAGAGAGGCGTACCGCAGGTCCTGTTCCCGGATTCCCACTTGACGGAATACTTCATATGAGTAAAAGTACACCTGCAGAGAGTGCTGGGTCATAGGAGTTTGGAGTACTTCATAAGAGTAAAAGTACCCTCTCTCTGGTCCTTCCCTGGTCTCTCTCTCTCTCTATGGTCTCTGGTCTCTCATAGACTCTGGTCTCTATCTGGTATCTGGTCTCTCTTTCTGGTCTCTCTACTGTATCTGTTTTTTCTTAGGTCTCTCTTTCTTGTCTTTCTCTGGTCTCTCTCTCTCTTGTCTGTCTCTGGTTTTTTTCTCACTGGCTTGTCTCTGGTCTCTTGCCTCGCTCTGGTTTTTCTCTGTTCTCACTCTCTGGTCTCTCTTTATTGTCTCTCTCTCGTCCCTCTCTGTGGTCTCTCTTGCTGGTCTCTCTCTCTGTTCTCTCTCACACACACACACACACTCCCTCTCTCTCTCTCTCTCTCTCTCTCTCTCTCTGTCTCTCTCAGTCTCTCTCTCTGGTCCCTCTCTGGTCTCTCTCTCTGGTCCCTCTTTGATCTCCCTCTCTGGTCACTCTCTGGTCGCTCTCTGGTCTTACCGCGTTGATGCCACATAGTTGCAGGGAGGTGAATATGACCAGCACAGTGACCAGTTGCCAGCGTACGTCCTGGTCCCTGAGAAGCTGCATCACGCTGCGACTGCCACAATCCTCACGTTTCTCTTTCAGCATCTCCTCCATCTCTGCTCTGTAGTCTCCTTCTCCCCAGAGCCTATTCAGAGCTGCAGGAGGAGCAGAGGAGGCGCAAAGAAGGTGCAGAGGAACAAGATTAGAGCCTCCTCAGAACTGCCGGAGGAGCACAGGAACAAGGTTAGAGCCTCCTCAGAGCTGCAGGAGGAGCACAGGTACACGGTTAGAGCTTCCTCAGAGCTGTAGGAGGAGAAGAAGAGGAGCATAGGGATTAGGTTAGAGCTGCAGGAGGAGCAGATAAGCACAGGGACAAGGTTAGAGCCTCTTAAAAGCTGCAGGAGGAGAAGAGGAGGAGCACAGGGATTAGGTTAGAGCTTCCTCAGAGCTGCAGGAGGAGAAGAGGAGGATCAAAGAAATTAGGTTAGAGCTGCAGGAGGAGCAGATGAGCACAGGGACAAGGTTAAAGCCTCCTCAAAACTGCAGGAGGAGGAGCACAGGGATTAGTTTAGAGTTTCCACAGAGCTGCAGGAGGAGCAGAGGAGCACAGGGACGATGTTAGAGCCTCCTCAGTGCTGCCGGAGGAGCACAAGGACAGTCTGACTTTTGTCTCTTAGCAGTACTTTGTATACAATGTGTTAGTACATCTACAGGTGTAGCACAGGTACAGATGTAGTACAGGTGTAGCACAGGTACAAGTGTAGTACAGGTATAAGTGTAGAAAAGGTGTAGCACTGGTACAAGTGTAGAAAAGGTGTAGCACCGATACAGGTGTATCACAGGTAAAATGTAGTACAAGTTTAGCACAGGTACAAGTGTAGCACAGGTATAAGTGCAGTACAGGTTTAGCGCAGGCACAGGTACAAGTGTAGAACAGGTGTAGTACAGGTACAGGTGTAGCACAGGTATAAGTGTTGTTATGAAGGCAGGGCTTAAATAGAGCGTTTTGTATATAGTTGTAGTACCTGATCTGGCCACCAGGGGCGCGCCCGCTAGTGAGCAGTGAAAAGTTTTGGGCTGTATAAATTTGGGTACAATAAAGAGAATAACCATCAACAAGGCTGATCATTTGCATCCTGACCGATGTCCACTCCGCAACAACAATAAGACAATAACCAGCTAATTATAGTGAAAACTTCACTACAAATTAGGGTCCTTCGAGCCGGATAAAGTTGATTACGGAGTGAAGATGGAATATGATTACCAGAGTAGTGGTGCCCGTCCACGGAGGGCGGGGCGACCACCTGGATGGATGACGGATTATGAGGGTTATACACTGCCACATCCTGCACAGGAACAACACAGAACCAGGGAGGGATCTGCCGAGATGACACCCCCCACACAACGGCCAGGAGCTTGGCATGAGACAAGTGCGCCACCTTCTGCCAATGTAGGAATACCCGGAGTTATGCACTTTATGCAGCAGCTGCAGGAGGATAACAGGCGGCTTCACATGCTAGTTGCAGAAATTAAGAGGCAAATGGATCGTGCCCCCTCCTCCTCAGGCCTACGTATTGTTCAGACCCCAAGTGACGATACATGGCAGTCCAGCATTCATTCACCAACGGGGCAACAAGGTTTTAATGACGCCCACAGAGGAATTGTCGAACCGGAAGAAGAATGGCCATTACCCCCACCCCCAGTCTTCCTTCCCTCTGACTTTCCAGACCCTCCACCACAAGTGCAGTTTGCGTCACCCACTCAACCTCCGGCCCTGGTCCAAGAGCTCAGTCAACGTCTGCAAGAGTTACATACACAAGGTACAACAGCTCCAGTTACTCACCATGCAGATCACCACAGGCGTGCACCCCAGAGCGTACCCCAGCACGTCCCCATTGGAGATAGTCCGGGAGGCAACATCCATCCTCCTGATCAAGTCCCCACCTCCATTCTGCCAGTTTCCAGTAGAGAGAGGATATACAGAGGTCCGACCCCGTCCATACCAGAGTTTACCCGAGCCGATCCCAGACAGTTTGCACGCTTGAGGCTTGCTTTGGATAATATTCTGCCATTCGATGCAACAGAGAGGTTCAAATATCAAGTACTGTGTGATCACCTAAGATTCGAAGAAGCACTTCTGATCGCTGACTCATATAGTAACTCTGTTCGCCCATACACCGACACGATGGCCTCCCTCATCAAGCACTTTGGTCAGCCACACCATCTATCATTACAGAGGATAGCCGAGCTGATGGACGAGCCAAATATCCGTTCCGGTGACACGGCAGGATTCAGGAAGTTTGCTCTGAGAGTCCGAGCGTTAGTCGGTATGCTGGAGCAGCTCGGTCAAGATGGACACATAGAGTTACAGTGTGGATCGCATGTCGCAAGACTCACCAAGAAGCTACCCCAAGACCTCCGAGCTGCCTTCCGCCGCTACCTCTACCCACAAAACAATGGTGTGCCATCACTGAGAGACTTTGCAGAATGGCTGGAGTATGAGCTAATCATACAAGAGGGCGAAGATCGAGGTGGCAAGGTTGAAGACCACTTCCGAGACAAGAGTAGCATGAAACGAGATCATCGATCTATTAAGAGGAGTACAACGGTGTTGTTAGGCGCCACCCAGAACAGTGCCGTACAAGAGGCCCAAGCCACGCCCACTTCAGAGAGCCAAGAGAAGCCCAAAGCGTACTGTCCCTACTGCGCTAACACCATGCACTTTCTGGATCAGTGCTCTAACTTCCAGCTGTTGACCAAAGAGCAAAAGACCAGCTGGGTGAAGTCAAAGAACCGCTGCTGGCGCTGTGGGCGGGGCCATCAAGCCGCTCAGTGTCGACTTCGAGTTCAATGCAAGACATGCAGAGGAAAGCATCTCGAGGCCCTGCACGAAGTGAATGTTCGACCAGCTGCACCCAGTAGCACAAACCTAACGCTAACAGAGTCCAAACCAACGACAGATGTTCTCTACTTGGATCGTCGAGCGGGGTGCAACCAAGTGCTCCTAAAGACATGTAAAGTTCTGCTGCGGAACGGTGAGCACACATTAGAGACATTCGCCATACTCGACGATGGGTCTGAGAGGACTATCTTACTGCAGGAAGCCACCCAGAAGCTACAGTTAAACGGGACCCCAGAGAATCTCCTGCTACGCACCGTGAGGCAAGGAGTGAGGACATTACACGGGTCCTCAGTGACAGTCAAAGTTTCACCGGCCAACCAATTAAGCAAGACCTTCACCATCGAGAGGGCCTTCACTTCAGCTGATTTGAGCCTATCAGAGCATTCCCATCCCGTAGCAGCACTTCAACAGAGGTACAGACACTTAAGAAAGCTACCACTGCAGCCCTTCACAAATGTCCGGCCACTGCTACTTATTGGCTCTGACTGTCCCCACTTAGTCACGCCCATTCAACCCGTACGTCTGGGTCCATCCGGAAGCCCTGCTGCAGTCAAGACAATGCTTGGTTGGACACTACAGGGGCCTGTGTCACTCACCCAACAGCTCAATGACCCCCAGCAGTGCCTCTTCCTCTCAACTGCCTCCCCCAATGCAGAGCTCTTCAATCAAGTAGAGAAGTTATGGCAACTTGACATTCTGCCATACAGGAGCGAGAAGCTAGTCACCCGGTCTCTAAGAGAGCAACAAGCCATGAGTCTTCTAGAGACGAAGACGACCAGAGTGAACGTGGAAGGAGTGAACAGGTACGCCACCCCACTTCTGCGCATCAACAACATGCCCACGTTGTCCTTGCCCCCTACAACGGTGCTCCCTAGTCTGCGTGGTACCGAGAGACGCCTCAGCCGAGACCCCGTGAAAGCAGCAGCCTATAAAGCAGAGATTGTGAAGTTGAAGACGGCAGGCTACACCACAGAAGTCAGTGATGAGCAGGTGAAGTCCTCAAGTGAGTCATGGTTCATCCCTCACCATATGGTCACCCACAATGGGAAGAACCGCGTAGTGTTCAATTGCTCATTCACTTACCAGGACCAAAACCTGAACGAACTGCTGCTCCCCGGCCCAAACCTAGGTGCCTCCCTCCTTGGTGTCTTACTGCGTTTCAGAGAACATTCGATTGCCATCAGCAGCGACATCAAGGGGATGTTCCACCAAGTGAGATTGCTGCCCGAAGATCGGCCACTACTGCGGTTCCTCTGGCGTGACCTCGAGCGAGACAATCCCCCCAAAGTGTTCGAGTGGCAGGTACTTCCATTTGGAACCGCATGTTCGCCATGCTGTGCCATCTATGCCCTGCAGAGACACATCCATGACCACAGCCAACCAGGAGACGACCTTCGGACCTGTATAGAGAGTCATTTCTACGTGGATAACTGGTTACAGAGTTTCCCCGCCGCAGATGGGGCCAAGGATGTCATGGAGAGGCTGAGAGGGCTGTTAAATGAAGGCGGCTTCGAGCTCAGGCAGTGGGCCAGCAGCAGACCCGATCTCGTCAGTCATCGGGTCAGATCAGAGAGCAGTGAACAATGGCTGAACCACACCGACATGGACCCTCAAGAACCCGCACTTGGTCTACGTTGGTTGTGCCATTCTGACACGCTGCACTATAAGTCCAAACACCTCGAGAGTAACCCAGCCACCATGAGACACATCTATCGGGTATTGGCCAGTCAATACGACCCCTTAGGGTACCTCATCCCATTCACCACAAGGGCTAAAGTACTTGTCCAGCAGCTGTGGAACAAGAAGCGTGAGTGGGACGACCCTCTGCTGCCAGGCGAACTGCTCACTTCATGGCTGACGTGGGAAGCAGAGCTGGAGGAAATGGATAAGATCTGTCTACAACGTTGCTGTCACCCCAGCTCTTGACATACCCGAATGCAAAAGAGAGCTCCACATATTCTGTGACGCTTCACAGCATGCCTATGGCAGTGTTGGATATCTGCGCACAGAAGGTCCAGACGGCCATGTGGAGGTAGCTTTCCTCACAGCACGTTCCAGAGTGGCCCCCAAACGACAACTTCCCATTCCCCGGTTAGAATTGTGTGCAGCTTTAACCGGAGCACAACTTGCCAGTGTCCTCACCAAGGAGCTCACATTAACGCTGGACAGGGTCGTGCTATGGACAGACTCCACGACAGTCTTGATGTGGATCCAGTCAGATTCCTGCCGCTTCAAGGTGTTCGTGGGCACACGGATTGCAGAGATCCAAGAACTAACAGATCGCCAAGCTTGGAGGTACGTCACATCCAGTGAGAACCCTGCAGATGACCTCACAAGAGGTAAGAAACTTCAAGAGCTTACCAATCAGTGTCGATGGACGTGCGGCCCTCCATTCCTATTGCTACCATCTCAGTGTTGGCCAGAGCACCCTGTTCCCCCATGTGAAGACACAGCAGAAGAACAGCGTCAATCCACTACATGCCTGGTCACAACTCTGATCCCTGACCCCTTGCCAGATGCAGGTCAGTTTGATACATTCCATGACCTTCTAAAAGAGACAACAAAGTGCCTCCACGGGCGGCCAGTGCATCTGCCGATGACCCTTCAGCAGATGACTTCAGAGAGGCCGAACTTAGTATTTTAAGAGCTGCTCAAAGAGAATGTTTCCCAGACGAAGTCCAGTGTCTCTCTGGAGGGAAACCAGTGTCTTCGACGAGTCGCCTCTACACACTTGCCCCAGAGTATGACCAATCACTGCAGCTCATCCGAGTAGGTGGCCGTTTGAGACGCTGCCACGACCTTGGCACTGATATCAGGCATCCGGTAGTGCTTGAGCCCAAGCACCCCGTGACAAGGTTACTCATCAAGCAGGCTGACAGTGAGCTAAAGCATCCCGGAGCAGAGAGAGTGTTTGCGGAGCTAAGACGTAGATTCTGGATCCTGCGGGGTCGTGAAGCTGTCAGGCGTGAACAACGTGGCTGTCCAGAATGCCATAGGTGGAGAGCTCAGCCAGTTGTTCCAAAGATGGCCGACCTCCCCCTCTCACGCCTCAGGTTACACCAACCAGTTTTCTATTCTACTGGCATCGACTGTTTCGGCCCCATGCAGGTGAAAGTTGGACGCAGAAATGAGAAGCGCTGGGGCCTGCTGTTCAAATGCTTAACAACTCGAGCTGTACATGTCGAGGTGCTGTCCAGCATCAACACTGACTCCTTTTTGATGGCATTAAGGAGATTCATATCCCGGCGAGGGAAGCCAGCCGAGATACTTTGCAACAGAGGCACCAACTTCCGAGGCGGTGATCGAGAACTACAGGAGACCTTCACTGCGATGCATCCATCCCTACAGTCCCAACTAGCAGAGTACCAGATCACGTTCCGGTATAATCCCCCAAGTGCTCCCCATTTCGGCGGATCCTGGGAGCGGGAGATTCGATCCATTAAAGCTGCTTTAACCTCCACTCTGGGCTCTCAAGTTGTGAGTTCAGAAATACTCCAAACAGTGCTGATCGAGATAGAAGGAGTCCTCAACTCGAAGCCATTGGGATACGTCTCTTCTGACTTGGCAGATCCAGACCCCGTCACCCCAAACCTGTTGCTGATGGGGCGGCTGGATCCTGCCCTCCCCCAAGTGGTCTATCACGACTCAGAGCTGATTGGACGCCGACACTGGAGAACATGCCAAGTGTTAGCGGATCGTTTTTGGACACAGTTTCTACGCCACTACTTACCGACCCTGCAGACCAGGTCCAAGTGGCAGAAGGACACATTGCCCATTCAGATCGGCGCGGTAGTGATGATCGTGGACCCCCAACTTCCCAGAGCATCTTGGCCCGTTGGACATATCAGCAAGGTTTTTCCAGGGGCTGACGGTTTAATCCGTTCAGCTGAAGTCAAAGTGCGAGATCGGACATACGTGAGACCTGTGAGTCGTCTCATTCGGCTCCCCGCGGTGCCGGACCAAGATGGACAATGACTCTACTCTCTTCAAACTTGTTGCCACAAGTTTGGGGGCGGCTGTGTTATGAAGGCAGGGCTTAAATAGAGCGTTTTGTATATAGTTGTAGTACCTGATCTGGCCACCAGGGGCGCGCCCGCTAGTGAGCAGTGAAAAGTTTTGGGCTGTTTTAGTGATGTTCTGTGTGCTCGAGAGATAATGGCAGATTACAGTGCTGTGTGTAAAAAGCTTGTGTGCGTCCATTAGAGAGGTGGGTGATTGTCAATCGTGTTTAATATGTGTTATGGGTTTGGGAATGGGTTAGAATTGTAGTTTAAGTGTTTAGTGCAAGTTCATGGGGATTGAGGCTGGTTTAGCTCCTGGGCTAGGTGGCTAGGCTAGGCCTCTGAGTGTATGTTTACTCATTACTTTCTTATTTAAATACACTTGGTAGTGAATGGTTTGTCTGTTAGTGCGAGTTAGAGCCAGGAGTATCTGAGCTGTGTTCATTTGTGTGTAATTCAATTTAGATACAGTTAAAGCTAAGGCATTACAATGCATATGGCCAGAGAGAGGCTCATTCACACTGAGAGAAAATGTTCAGTCATGTTATTAGCACTGGGTTATTATGTTATAGGTTAGGAAGACATTAGTTTGATGTGTATAATTATGTTTAGTGTTATTATTAGATTATGCTAATTGTAGTGATGCACATTATTACTGTGTAGTAACTGTTATATTATTCTAATATTTCGTTTCTATCTGTTTGTGTTACAGAACCACACACACACACACACACCACAAACACACCGTTCTGTACAACTCAGAATAAAGAGAATAACCATCAACAAGGCTGATCATTTGCATCCTGACCGATGTCCACTCCGCGACAACAATAAGACAATAACCAGCTAATTATAGTGAAAGCTTCACTACAAGTGTAGTACAGGTTTAGTGCAGGTACAGGTGTAAGACAGGTATAAGTGTAGAAAAGGTGTAGCACCGGAAAAATGTAGTACAAGTTTAGCACAGGTACAGGTGTAGCACAAGTATAAGTGCAGTACAGGTTTAGCGTAGGTACATGTGCAGGTGTAGCACAGGTACAAGTGTACCTTCCTGGCAGCCTGGGCGGTCGTCCCTGATCAGCAGTAAGAAGCTTGGAGACTCCGGCAGCAGAGGGAGCGTCAGGAGCTGCAGCAGCGATGTCACTCCACTGAAGCTCAGGAGCCACGGCCAGAGGTCAGAGGTCCCCAGGAGCTCCCTGAGGGTCAGAGGTCAGAGGTCCCCAGGAGCTCCCTGAGGGTCAGAGGTCAGAGGTCCCCAGGAGCTCCCTGAGGGCCAGAGGTCCCCAGGAGCTCACTGAGGGCCAGAGGTCCCCAGGAGCTCCCTGAGGGTCAGAGGTTCCCAGGAGCTCCCTGAGGGTCAGCGGTCCCCAGGAGCTCCCTGAGGGTCAGAGGTCTCCAGGAGCGAGAGGTCAAAGGTCCCCAGGAGCTCCCTGAGGGTCAGAGGTCTCCAGGAGCGAGAGGTCAGAGGTCCCCAGGAGCTCCCTGGGAGCCAGAGGTCCCGAGGAGCTTCCTGAGGGTCAGAGGTCAGAGGTCCCCAGGAGCTCCCTGAGGGCCAGTGTGTTACAGAACAGTTGTGTTACCTCAGTCCTAACAGTTGTGTAGCAGTTGTGTTACCTCAGTCCTAACAGTTGTGTAGCAGTTGTCTTACCTCAGTCCTAACAGTTGTGTAGCAGCTGTGTTACCTCAGTCCTAACAGTTGTGTAGCAGTTGTGTTACCTCAGTCCTAACAGTTGTGTAGCAGTTGTGTTACCTCAGTCCTAACAGTTGTGTAGCAGTTGTGTTACCTCAGTCCTAACAGTTGTCCGGTGAACTTTCCCAAAGAGATGAAAGCTGCGACTGTGACGCTGACTGCAGCTCGCTGCCGTTTGGGAGAAACTTCCAGAAGATAAACAGTGTGAGCGACGAGGCCCAGTCCTGAGGCACATGAAGGACATGATGAGGCACATGATGAGGCACATGAGGAAGATGCTGAGGGACATTATAAGGGACATGATGAGGCACATGACGGACATGATGAGGCACATAAGGAAGATGATGAGGCACATGACGGACATGAGGAAGCACATGAGGGACATGATGAGGTGCATGAGGAAGATGATGAGGCACATGAATGACATGATGATGCACATGAGGGACATGATGAAGGACAAGATGAGGGACATGATTAGAGACATGATGAGGCCCATGCTGAGGGACATGATTAGAGACATGATGAGGCCCATGCTGAGGGACATGATTAGAGACATGATGAGGGACATGATTAGAGACATGATGAGGCCCATGATGAGGGACATGATGAGGCCCATGCTGAGGGACATGATTAGACACATGATGAGGCCCATGCTGAGGGACATGATTAGAGACATGATGAGGCCCATGCTGAGGGACATGATTAGAGACATGATGAGGCCCATGCTGAGGGACATGATTAGAGACATGATGAGGCCCATGCTGAGGGACATGATTAGAGACATGATGGGGCACATGAGGAAAAAGAGGCACATGAAAGATATGTAGCTCATGATGAGGGACATGAGGAGGGACACAGGTTCACCAGTGTATCATTTGATATCTGCAGTAGGGTGAATCAAACTACTGATACTTGTTACTACTACTACTATTACAGCTGGTTATACAGGTGCAAGTCCCATAGGTCATACAGGTGCAGGTCACACAGGTGCAGGTCACACAGGTGCAGGTCATACAAGTGCGGGTCATACAGGTGCAGGTCACACAGGTGCAGGTCACACAAGTGCGGGTCACACAGGTGCAGGTCATACAGGTGCAGGTCACACAGGTGCATGTCACACAAGTGCAGGTCACACAGGTGCAAGTCATACAGGTGCAGGTCACACAACTACAGGTCACACAGGTGCAGGTCATACAGGTGCAGGTCACACAGGTGCGGGTCACACAGGTGCGGGTCACACAGGTGCAGGTCACACAGGTGCAGGTCATACAAGTGCGGGTCATACAGGTGCAGGTCACACAGGTGCAGGTCACACAAGTGCGGGTCACACAGGTGCAGGTCATACAGGTGCAGGTCACACAGGTGCATGTCACACAAGTGCAGGTCACACAGGTGCAAGTCATACAGGTGCAGGTCACACAACTACAGGTCACACAGGTGCAGGTCATACAGGTGCAGGTCACACAGGTGCGGGTCACACAGGTGCGGGTCACACAGGTGCAGGTCACACAGGTGCAGGTCATACAGGTTCAGTTTCTACAGGTGCAGGTCACACAGGTGCAGGTCACACAGCTGCTGTTACCTGCGTTCATGCCATACAGCAGACGGGCCATCAGGATCATCTCGAAGGACCGTGATGTTTTACTGAACAGCATCAGAGCTGCCGCCATCAGAGCAGGGACAGTGTTCAGCATGAGACAACGCTTTCTATTGGACGTACGGGAGAGGAGGGAACCAATCACAAGCAAGACTCTTACTAACACAAACTAACACGCATGCAAACACACTAACACACACTCATACACACATAAACGCTCACACACACACTCACAAACACTAACACACAGTAACACACACTCAGACCCACTAATAACACACAGTCCCGCAGAAGGAGGTGTAGGTTACAGATTTGTCCAACAGAAGGAGGTGCAGGATATAGATGTGTCCAGCAGAAGGAGGTGTAGGTTACAGATTTGTCTAGCAGAAGGAGGTGTAGGTTACAGATGTGTCCAGCAGAAGGGGTTGCAGGTGACAGATGTGTACAGCAGAAGGAGGTGTAGGTTACAGATTTGTCCAGCAGAAGGAGGTGCAGGTTACAGATGTGTCCAGCAGAAGGAGGTGCAGGTTACAGATTTGTCCAGCAGAAGGAGGTGCAGGTTACAGATTTGTCCAGCAGAAGGAGGTGCAGGTTACAGATGTGTCCAGCAGAAGGAGGTGTAGGTTACAGATTTGTCCAGCAGAAGGAGGTGCAGGTTACAGATGTGTCCAGCAGAAGGAGGTGCTGACCTCCCAAGCCTCGACAGCAGAGCGTTGGTGAAAAGCGCAGAGACCAGTCCTCCGATGCAGAAGACAGACACTATGAAGGACCAGATGAGAGAGATCTGCTCCTGGTGCAGGACCAGGCCATAGCGCTCCCTGCAGCTGCTGTTCACCAGGTCCTGGATGAACTACGCAGGGGTCAGAGGTCAGACTCCCTCTGGGGTCAGAGGTCGGACTCCCTCAGGGGTCATAGGTCGGACTCACTGCAGCAGGAGAGGTCAGTGAGGAGATACTGGTCCCGTACTGGAAGGTTCCACCGATGCCACAGATGAAGATGGCGGCAACGATGCGCGGACACTCCAACTGAACCACAAACTGTTTCACCATCGCAACACAAACACAGGGAAACACAACAATAGATAATAATTCACACAGTGTCTCCACTCACCAACGAGCGATCGTTTTGGGACATGGCTGAGTGTGTATCTGTCTCTCCCTGTGTGTGTGTCTCTCTCTCTCTCTCACTGCGTGCGTTTGTCTTGCTCACTGTCTGTGTGTGTGTACGTGTGTATGTGTCTCAGGGTGTGTGTGTGTGTTTGTCAGCAGTGGCACTGGTGTCTGTGTGTGTGTCTGTCAGAGCTGGTGTGTATCTCTCAGGGTCTGTGTGTGTGTCTGTCAGAGTTGGTGTATGTCTCTCAGGATCTCAGCTCTCTCTCTTTCTGACTTTGGGTTTTCCAAGTGAAAGGTTGTCGGTCAAATCATTAACTCGTTCCTCCAATGCCAAAGCAGAGCGACAGTGAGACTCCTAAATATTTACTATCCATTCTTCCATTCAACTTTATTTCTATAGCACTCCTTTACAGCATTAGTTGTCTCAGGACCTCACTAAATTGGGCAGTACAATAACTAAAAACATGCACAATAGGCATGAATGTAAATGAGAAAGTGAATGGATGGTGTTGATTGGGGGCTGATGGTCCAGTGTGTTCGGCGACTCGCTTCCGTCATCACCGTGTGTGGAATGATTGGAACAATATCTGACTCTGAACATTGTAAAGTGCTTTGGGTCTGACCTTGGTCTGTAAAATGCGCTATATTAATAAACATTACTTAATTACTCTCTGGTCTTTCTCTGGTCTCTCTATTGTCTCTCTCTGGTCTCCGGTTTCACTCTAGTCTTTCTCTAGTCTCTCTCTGAACTCTCTCTCTGGTCTCTTTCTGGTTTCTCTCTGGTTTCTCTCTGGTCTCTCTCTGTTCTCTCCCTGATCTCTCTCTGGTATCTCTGGTCTAGGGCTGAAACAACTAATCGATTAATCGACGACTAATAGATTATTGAAATAATCGATTAATCGTTTTCTGGTTCACACGGACTCAAACAGAGCAAAAATGACATGAAAATGTAGTATTTTTGATTAAAACCGACTTTGTTTTTATAATTTCATGAATATCCGTCTGTCTCATCCAATCAGATAGCAGAATTAGCACAAAGAGCCTGTTACAAACATTTACTTTAAGTTTACGCCATCAATACGTCCTCGAGTGTTGCCACTTTAGCTTTTTGTGATGAAAAAATAAAAATTTTCTACACAATTCACAGCCAAGCGATTACTCGATTAATCGTAAAAATAATCGATAGATTAATCAATTACAAAATAATCGTTAGTTGCAGCTCTACTCTGGTCTCCCCCTGGCCTCTCTCTGGTCTCTCCCTGATCTCTCTCTGGTCTCTCTCTGGTCTCTCTCTGGCCTCTATCTGGTCTCTCTCTGGTCTCTCACTGGTCTCTCTCTGGTCTCTCTCTAATAACAGCAGGAGCAAGGCCAAAGCACTGACTTCTCCGAGTCATGGCAACGCTGCCATCAAATATACATGAGTGACAGGTTCACTTTACAAGGAGCGTTTCAGCCAAACACACGACACTTCGGGCCGAGTCACATCCTGCAGCAGCACAGACAGAGCAGTGTCCGAGTGTGGCTCATGTCCGAGTGTGTGCGTATTCAAAGTTTGACATCACCACAGTGTGATATCACCACAGTGTGACATCACCACACTGTTAGCCTTAATGCAGAAGAGGCTGATTTGAACATAAGCTGGAGCCCGTTTCCTTATATGGCCATTTGTTCTAACTGTGTTTTGAATTTGCATGAAGGCCTCTGATTGGTCAGTCCTGTCACATAAAAACTGCAGGATCAAAGAGAAACCACAAATGGTGAGCGTACCACAAACGTTACTGAGCTAAAGAAGTTTACTTTTACATGGAAGTCATTAGGAGTCAGAGAGAGGAGCCAAACTTCACCATGAGCACTTCCCTGGGCTTCAGTGAGCTAGCATGTTAGCATTGCCCTCTGTGTAGTGTTGTGTGGACAGTGTGGTGTCACTCTCTAACCATGAGTTAAACATTTACACAAATAAATGTTTATTTTTCAGTTTTCTCTTTTGTTATAAATGTTTTGCAGACAGAGTTATTCATGGACAACCTTCACCTGTATCTGTGTGTGTCTGTGTGTGTGTGTCTGTGCGTGTGTGTCTGCATGTGTATGTGTCTCTGTCTGTGTGTGTGTGTGCGCGCGTGTGTGTGGGTGCGCGTGCAAATTCCTATGTGTGTCTGCAAGTGTATGTGTCTGTGTGTGTGTGTGTGTGCTCATGCATATTCCTGTGTGTGTCTAATGTGTGAGTGTGTGTGTGTGTGTGTGTGTGTCTGTGTGTGTACTTACGGATATCACCTTGCGGCCAGTTCAATGTAAGTAATCTTTATTAACAGACCGAGGTCCTTAATTCATTTCAATTTAACTTATTCTTGCATCGCCCTAAATCACAACATCAACATTTATCTCAGAGACTAAACAAAATCATTGAAATAACCAACACAGATCAGAGAATCAACAGTTAAGACACAGAGAGAACACATGGTACTGGACCATATGGAGAGACCAATGTCCATGAATGTTGATGGTCCATACATGTTGTAGAATGTTAAAGTGTTCTGGATCATCACAGTCCTTCTTGTTAGACACTGTCCAACAGACTCCTGCATCAGAGGAAAAACTCTAAAACCTCAGTGCAAGAAAAGTGAGAAACCTCAGGGAGATCCGCAGGTGCAGATGGAGGGAGCCGGGAGTCCCACTGTTGCGCTAATCGACAATGGGACAACGATTGAATAGCAATGAACAGACTACAGTCAAAATTCTAATTATGCAGACAGATAAAGTAGGAAGGAGGAGAGCTGAGGCTGTAGACCCAGGACTGAGGCTGTAGACCCAGGACTGAGGCTCTAGACCCAGGACTGAGGCTGTAGATCCAAGGCTGAGGTTGTAGACCCAGGACTGAGGCAGTACATATTTGAACTGTTAATGACAATGATCTCGACCCGAGGCCAAACAAACATTCGCCTTGAGTAACGTCAGTGGGGGGTCCTGGACTGAGGCTGATGGCCCACCTCCTCCACCTCATCTCCATCTCCTCCCCTTCCCTTGACCCCTCGACCGTGGCTGTGTAGTGAAGCATGGATCACATGACCCTGTGTATCCTTATGTCCTGTCACATAAATCCCCCTCAGTGGGAGAGATGGCCGTGTGGAGACCTCATCATGTGACATCACCACATAATGTGACATCACCCCATCATGTGACATCACCATGGCTCCACAGGTCCATGAGCTGTGGAGACGTCTCTCACTGTTCTCCAGACGCTACCTGTGAAACACAACTGTACTGTTCACACTCACCCGCCGCCTCGCCTCCCTCCTCACCCATCCCCTAACCCAACTCCTCACCTGCCTCCACCTCCTAACCTGCCTCCTCACCCGCCTCCTCCTCACTTGCCTCCTCCTTTGCCTCCTCCTCTGCCTCCTCACCTGCCTTCACCACCTCACCCATCTCCTCACCTGTATACAGGTGTTATAGTATACAGTTGTTAGTGCATACAGGTGTTAGAGTATACAGGTGTTCGTACGTATATACAGGTGTTAGTGTATAAAAGGTGTTAGAGTATACAGGTGTTCGTATATACAGGTGTTATAGTATACAGGTGTTAGTGTATACAGGTGTTCGAGTATATATGTGATAGAGGACAGAGACGCCTACAAGGGACACTTATTGCACACGTATAGGACACAAGTGGGACATAAAGGACACAAGTCCTTGCATTCATATCCTCCAGACTCGACTTCTGCAACAGTCTTTTATATGGCCTTCCTTCATCTGATCTCCAAAAACTACAATATGTCCAAAACTCCGCCGCCCGCCTCCTCACTCAGACCCGCTCCAGAGAGCACATCACCCCTGTCCTTCAAAAACTCCACTGGCTCCCCGTTAAACAGCGCATCCATTTCAAAATCCTCCTCATCACCTACAAAGCCCTCCATAACCTCGCTCCTCCTTACCTCACTGAACTTCTTCAGCCCTACAGTCCCTCCCGCCGACTCCGATCTGCAGACTCACATCTCCTCACTCCCACTGTCAAATCTAAGCACCGAACCTTGGGGGACCGAGCTTTCGCCATCTCTGCTCCCACTCTCTGGAACTCCTTCCCCCTCCATCTCAGAAACTCGGACTCTCTAAACTCCTTCAAAAAACAACTCAAAACTCACCTTTTCCTCCGAGCATTTGACTCTAAACTTTCTACCCTTCTTCCTCACTCTTAGATTTTTAGTTTGTGTGTCTGTCTAAACGTGTGTGTTTGTGTCATGAATTTGTGAAGCGTCTTTGAGTTCTTGAAAAGCGCTATATAAAACTGATGTATTATTATTATTATTATTACAAGTGGGACATATAAGACACAAGTGGGACACAGAGGACACAAGTGGGACATATAGGACACAAGTGGGACATATAGGACACAAGTGGGACACATAGGACACAAGTGGGACACATAGGACACAAGTGGGACATATAGGACAAAAGTGGGACACATAGGGCACATGTGGGACATATAGGACACAAGTGGGACATATAGGACACAAGTGGGACACATAGGGCACATGTGAGACACATAGGACACAAGTGGGACACATAGGACACAAGTAGGACACATAGGGCACATGTGGGACATATAGGACACAAGTGGGACATATAGGACACAAGTGGGACACAGGGCACATGTGGGACATATAGGACACAAGTGGGACACATAGGACACAAGTGGGACACATAGGGCACATGTGGGACATATAGGACACAAGTGGGACACATAGGACACAAGTGGGACACATAGGGCACATGTGGGACATATAGGACCCATAAACGACACGTATAGGACACATAAAGCTATAGAGTAACGTATGGATGTAGTGTAGTGTAATGTATGAAACCCGCTCATGAACTGGTTTAACCACACGGTCCGCTGCTCGCTCATATGACGCACGCTCAGTGCCTCTGGTGGCGGCTGTCCAATCGGAGGCTGCGTGTCCTTCTCTCGGGGCAGACAGGGCAGACATGGCTCCGCTCCTGCAGCAGTGTGCTCCTGCTCCGGGGCTGAGGCACCGGGCTCTGGCGATCAGCACCGCGGGGATGGACAGCTGCAACACCGGGCCGCCGTGACATGGACCTCCCGCCCCAGCTGCAGAACGACGTGTTTCCCCCAGAGCGACACCTCCAGCAGCAGTACCAGCAGCAGCAGCAGTACCAGTACCAGCACAACAGTAAGGACCAGCAGCAGCAGTACGGCACCCAGCAGTACCAGCAGCAGCAGTACCAGTACCCGCAGCAGTGTAGGGACCACTGCAGCAGGAGCCTGGTGTGCCGCGGGACATCCCCCTCCGCTGCGGGACCTTTACTGCGGACTCCATCAGAGACGTCCTCGAGACACGGCGGCCGGTACAGCGCGTGTGACTTCAGCCCCTCCAGTCATGGTAGTTCTTTCAGACAGCAGCACCCGCAGCATCTCCTCCTCCAGCAGCAGCAGCAGCAGCAGCGGTGGGGCAGCCGGGGCAGCAGCCACAAAGACACCAACTCTTACAATGACATCGCTATGAGCAGCTGCAGATTTAACGGCGGCGTGATGAGGCCGCTGAGCTCGTCCCGCAGAAACATCCACGAGTTTGATTCGGAGTCTCAGCCGCTGCAGCCGCTCTCAGCCGCAGATGCGTCGGATACTCTGTGCTCCAAACCCGAGAACACTTCCAGCACCCTCATGCCGTACGGAGCGGGGGACGGTGGGGGAGGCTGCGGACACAGCAGCGGCAAATCGGGGAAGAAGAAGAACCAAAACATTGGGGAGAAGCTCGGACACCGGAGGGCCCTGTTCGAGAAGAGAAAACGACTCAGCGATTATGCACTAATCTTTGGGATGTTTGGGATCGTAGTTATGGTGATAGAGACGGAACTCTCGTGGGGAGCCTACGGAAAGGTACGTATCGACTCCGTGCTTTAGTGACAGAAGGACCGGGACCGGGAGGACCGGGAGCAGCAGTGGGAGAAACTTCAGCTCCAGAGTCATGAGTCAGACCGGACGCACCACAGAGGCCTGTGAGAACCAGGACCAGGACCAGGACTGTTACAAGATTAGGACCAGGACAGGATGCAGAGAATCCCACCACAGAAGCATGTATCACAGGTAGAACCAGGACCAGGCTTCTATTGTACACCACAGAGAGCGCAGAACCATGTGTGTGACAGAACCACATGGTAAATACAGTCAAGGAGAAGAATCTGAGTTGTGTTCCAGCCAATCAGAGGCCTAATTATAGGGTTACTGTAATGCTGCATCTGAATCCAGGGCACATTCTATACAGCGACCTGGCTCCCTTCAAACATGTGTCACATACTGTACGTTGTGCTCGTGTTAACATCTCAGGTTCTGTTCTAATGTTGTGTTAAATGTGTGCTGTGTTGTGTTCCTTGATGTTGTGTTAATTGTGTTGTGTTGTGTTGCTGGCTTTAGTGTTGTGGTTCTCTTCCAGGAGTCCCTGTATTCTCTAGCTCTAAAATGCCTGATAAGCCTTTCTACCATCATCCTCCTGGGACTGGTCATCATATACCACGCCAGGGAGATCCAGGCAAGTGCTACGTCCTCACACACAGCTGCTGATCAGACCCTATACTGCTCACATTACTGCTCACATGGTGTCTACTGCTCACATGGTGCTTACTGCAAACATGGTGCTAACTGCTCACATGGTGCTTACTGCTCACATAGTGTCTACTGCTCACATGGTGCTTACTGCTCACATAGTGTCTACTGCTCACATGGTGCTTACTGTTCACATGGTGTCTACTGCTCACATGGTGCTTACTGCTCACATTGTGCTTTCTGCTCACATGGTGTCTACTGCTCACATGGTGCTTACTGTTCACATGTTGTCTACTGCTCACATTGTGCTTACTGCTCACATGGTGCTTACTGCTCACATGGTGCTTACTGCTCACATGAGGCTTACTGTTCACATGGTGTCTACTGCTCACATGGTTCTGACTGCTCACATGGTGTTTACTGCTCACATGGTGCTTACTACTCACATGGGGCTTACTGTTCACATGGTGCCTACTGTATGGTTCCTCATGAATTCAAGGTCCATCTACAGACAGAGATTATCTCAATCAAAGGGCTATTCATTTGTTTATTTCAGACATGTGTTTTCTCCGTAGCAATAAACAACAGAAGTCAGGGACCTCAGCTTTAATTCTCTCTGTTTCATCCAAAACACTGTGTTTTTATATTCTGTGAAAAGTGCACTTCATGCTGTAGGTTCTGTTCTATGAGTAATCTCGCCAAACGGGTCAAAGGCTGAGTCAAACACTGGACAATTTGTAAAGTCAGAGATAACTGAGGCTGTAGACCCAGGACTGAGGCTGTACACCCAGGACTGAGGCTGTAGACCCAGGACTGAGGCTGTAGATCCAGGACTGAGACTGTAGACCCAGGACTGAGGCTGTGGACCCAGGACTGAGGCTGTAGACCCAGGACTGAGGCTGTAGATACAGGACTGAGGCTGTAGACCCAGGACTGAGGCTGTAGACCCAGGACTGAGGCTGTGGACCCAGGATTCAGGCTGTAGATCCAGGACTGAGGCTGTAGATACAGGACTGAGGCTGTAGATCCAGGACTGAGGCTGTAGATCCAGGACTGAGGCTGTAGATACAGGACTGAGGCTGTAAACCCAGGACTGAGGCTGTATAGACCCAGGACTGAGGCTGTAGACCCAGGACTGAGGCTGATTGGGAGTGGTCGTTGTTCATGCTCTGGGTAACCTATTGTGTATATTTTTTGTGGTAGGGGCAAACCCGAGCACCTGGAGGAAACCCATGCAGGGAGAACATGCAAACTCCTCTCAGAAAGACCTTATTCTAACTTTGATTCGAACCCAAGATTTTCACGCTAAGAAGCGATAGAAGCGATATTGCTAACCACTCAGCCACTGGGTTGTGTGAAGCAGAGAGGAGGTGGTGAGGAGGCAGTGAGGAGGTGGTGACGAGGCAGTGAGGAGGCGATGAGGAGGCAGTGAGGAGGTGCGGAGGAGAGACTCGGCTGGTCTGTGTTTGGTCACAGATACGTCGTGGTGAAATCGGCCCGAACCTGAAATTCCAGACTGGGGTCAGATAACAGCTCATTCTGCAGCGAGAGGACTGAGGCTGTAGACCCAGGACTGAAGCAGGACTGAAGCTGTAGACCCAGGACCGAGGCTGTAGACCCAGGACTGAGGCTGTAGACCCAGGACTGAGGCTGTAGACCCAGGACTGAGGCTGTAGATCCAGGACTGAGGCTGTAGACCCATGACTGAGGCTGTAGACCCATGACTGAGGCAGGACCGAGACTGTAGACCCAGGACTGAGGCTGTAGACCCAGGACTGAGGCTGTAGACCCAGGACTGAGGCTGTAGACCCAGAACTGAGGCTGTAGACCCAGGACTGAGGCTGTAAACCCAGAACTGAGGCTGTAGACCCAGGACTGAGGCTGTAGATCCAAGACTGAGGCTGTAGATCCAGGACTCAGGCTTTAGAGTGGAACTGTACTTGTTCAATGCTGTACAAGATTGGAACAATACAAGGCATTCAAATATAATTAAAGTACATTAAAAAAAGTAAATACAAAATCCGTCAGTTGTTGCAGTTTAACAGAACTGTTTTGAACTGGATTCAAAAATTGTCAGAGAAGACGCCTGTCTCACATTCTCAGGAAGACTTTTCCAAAGTTTAGCTGCAAATATCTGAAATACTGCCTCACCATGTTTAGTCCTGACTTTGACTGCACCTGAGAACTGCACTACTGATGGTACTTCCTGGTTCCACTCCTGAGTCCAGCTGCGGTGTTTTGAAAGTAATAGTTTGGAGAGATGAGTGAGCGGCTCTTTGCTGTTTGTGCTCAAACGTGATTCCTCATCCTCCGTACCCGCAGCGTTCTAATGACAGCGGGTCCCGCCTCCAGCGGCTGTGGGACAACAGTGTGGCCATAATGTGACCTGCACGGACAAGAGTATTCCCTGCCGCTTGTTGCGAGTGCTGGTGTTTGCGTAACCTCTGCATGAAATAAGTACAGCTTCAAGAAACAGCTGGATTATGGAGCTTCAGGGAGTGTCCATGTCTCCCCTGTGTCTCCTGATGTGTCCATGTCTCCCCCATGTCTCCTCCTGAAGTGTCCATGTCTCCCCTGTGTCTCCTCCTGAAGTGTCCATGTCTCCCCCATGTCTCCTGAAGTGTCCATGTCTCCCCCATGTCTCCTGAAGTGTCCATGTCTCCCCCGAGTCTCCTCCTGAAGTGTCCATGTCTCACCTGTGTCTCCTGAAGTGTCCATGTCTCACCTGTGTCTCCTCAGGGAGTGTCCATGTCTCCCCCCTGAAGCACTGAAACTAAGTATCACTCAATTAAAACTTGGTTATCTAAATTTTCCCTTGCAATAATAATGCATGTGGGTTGTGCCCAAAAGTAAAATGTTGCGAACAAATCAGATCACAACCGGCGTCTTGTTTCATTTTTGTATAAGAAGAAAGAAAGAACCCTGTGAGTCATGATTTGACTTTTTGGGCTAAGAGGGGATTTTCTGAGCCAATCTAAAGCGTTGTTCCTGCACATTAACTGAACTAACGGCAGCATGTAGAGACTGAACAAAAAATGTCCCAGGATCGACCCTTGTGGTACTACAGGGCCATGTCATCTGAGACACAGTTTCCAATCTCCACAAAGTACTTCCAGTCTTCCAGGTAGGACTAACTTAGGGCGGAGCAAGCGACACCCACTCTGTCCTCTAGTCTCTCTGAAACCACCCAGTCCTCTAGTCTCTGGGAGCACCATCCAGTCCTCTAGGATCTCCTGGTCAACAGTGTCAAAGGCTGCACTCAGATCTAACAGGATTAAGACTTTGCCTGCGTCAGTGTTCAGTCGGATATTGTAGTAACCTTGTCTGTGTTGGGGTCTAAAGCCAGACTGGAACATATCAAATGAGTTATTGATCAATGCTTAATCCACTATGCTCTCATAGCTTCAGAGAAGTAAGAGAAAAGAGGTCAGAATCAGAGGACTTGCTGACCCCCACCAAGCAAGACTGAGATCTGACCGCAGATCGTCAGTGCTGCGGTCATTGACGATTACACAAGTAGCAACGTGGACAAGAGTGACACTTCTGCCGATGACAACAGCCGCATTAGCGAGCATGAGTTGGTCCCAGGCACAAGTCCAGTATTTTTTTTATTTTTTCAGTAGTTCTTTTTAGCTCTAGCCATAAACAAATGTATATCATGGAAATATTATTATCAATAAGTTTGTCTGATGATAGTTATATAAATAGATAAAATTGCTTCAAATAAAAACAAGTGCATTCCCTTGCTTTAAAAACATGAGAAATAACCTTGGGCAAAAAAAAGTACCACTTGGGCCACTTGAAGCACTGACGGACAGTAACTTTCTTCACACCGACAGAATCTGCAACACAGGTCTTGGGATATTCTGACCCACTCCAAGTCCAACTACTATGTTCACAAGTTTCAACAAAACTTATTCAGGGACAGGGCTCAAATATGCAAAATTCAATATCCCCCACATACTTGCATGCAAAAGCCAGAATCTGTCAAACCCCTGAAACTGTGGAGGGCAGGGCCTGGTTTGTACTGTGATGGGAGACCTCTGGGAACGCCACGTGCTGCAGTGATGAGGCTGCGGCTGTTAAGTGCCAAACTGCTGTTGTGTCCTTAGGCAATGCACTTCACCCTCATTGCATAGAATAAGTCTGGTGTGTTGGTGATGGTCGGAGAGACCGATGCGCTACCATGAGTTGGGGACCACTGTCAAAGGATGCCTTTTTATCCTTCCAAGCCACCGTATTACCAAAGGACTGCAATATATGATCTCAACGCTAGATGGGAGTAAAAACTGCGCAATGTACCTTTAAAGTGATTGTTTGGAGTTTGTCAGAAAAAGAGAGGGAAGTACTTGATTTGAAAAAAACGACGCAAGCTCCTTCCCCCTTCCTTTCTGATTGGTCTACGCCTACGTTTCCGTAACACTTTTAAATGTTAATCAGAGAACACATTATACATATACATACACATGCACGGAGGTTTTCAGAATTATTTGTTAACGTTTTAATGAAAAAAAGAATTTTTTTATGCACAAAAAAAGCGATCGCGGCAAACCTGGAAGAAGCTATTATCATGAATTGCACATTATAGGACACACCTGCAGAGGATCTGATTATGGATATAGGTTCAGTATATAAATGATTATGGATATAGGTTCAGTATATAAATGATTATGGATATAGGTTCAGTATATAAATGATTATGGATATAGGTTCAGTATATAAATGGGTAACTCAGAGCGGATGTTCAGAATTCTTTGTTCAGTTTTCATGTAGTTCCAGAGCCTAATAGAGGCTTGATTCGGAGGCTCCGCAAAAACAAACAACTGAGCATGCGCGCAGCTACAAGTATCAGCGCTGATGATTGACAGCCCTTGGCATGACTTGATTGGTTAACATGGACGATACCGTGGATTCTGAGCTATAGCTAAGAGAAGGCAGAACTTACCCGTAATATTATAATGAATAAAATGACTTATTATATATCAACATTTAAGACCAGGAGGTCAATTTAACACATTTCCTATAATTTGTAATTCATTTAGAGTTACAGACTATCACTTTAAAGCAGGGGTGTCCAAACTGGTCAGACCCAGCAGAAGCAGCGACTTCGCCCATTTCCTCGAGTGAGTTCAGTCTTAACCTGAAGATTTGATGAAATGGGTGGAGTCTGCTCTGCTCCTGCTGGGTCTGATAGAAAACCTGCAGCTACATTGGCCCTTTCTGGACCGGTTTGGACACCTCTGCTTTAAAGTCTGTGCACACAATTGAAAGAAACTCTGTTAAATGATCAATAAAACTGTGCGATAACTGCAGGGGCTTGTACAGGACAATGAAGAGAATTGGAGAAGATTGTATTTTTCCCCTTTTTAAAAAAAAAACACACATTCAAAATATGAAAACGTCCCAAGATGCATTCTATGGGAGACCAAGTTATTTCTAAAACTTGCAGCTACCCCTCCACCCTTAAATGTTTTCCTGTACTTAAGATTCAAGTTTGAAATTTAGTGGTGATGCTTCTATTAAACGTAAAACTGTATTTTGGTCAAGCCATGTTTCAGCCCTAAACATACAACCAAGATATTAAAATTATTGATTTAAAAAGACTTGTTACAAAGTGATTTAGTGTAAGCGGTTGTGGTCGATTGATTCTTAAACGGAACTAGAATTAGATTAGACTGTGTTGTGGCAGATGTCTTTCTGTTGAGTATTCTTTGTGTTATCACTAAGGGAATGGCGCATGTTTTGGGCTGTAGATTCAGAACCAGGGCTGTATTTCCAGGACTGAGGCTATAGATCCAGGACCAGAACTGAGGCTATAGATCCAGGACCAGGACTGAGGCTATATATCCAGGACCAGGACTGAGGCTATAGATCCAGGACCAGGACTGAGGCTATAGATCCAGGACTGAGGCTGTAGATCCAGGACTGAGGCTGTAGATCCAGGACTGAGGCTGTAGATCCAGGACTGAGGCTGTAGATCCAGGACTGAGGCTGTATATGGGATTATTTGTTGTATTAAAAGAGTCTTTTTGCCGAGGGGTGGTCAGTGGGAACACTCGGACCACATAACGACAGAAATTAAACCAAAGCTGATGGAGGCTGTAAAACTACACACAGGTCACATCAGGGCGTAACGAGCTGTGGAGCCATGTTTCGGTAAGAGAAGTTCAGATGATAGTCCAGTATGACTCTCAGGTACTGGTTTTCTGGTCCTGGTGCTCTGGCCCTGGTGCTCTGGTCCTGGTGCTCTGGCCCTGGTGCTCTGGTGCTGGTGCTCTGGCCCTGGTGTTCTGGTCCTGGTGCTTTGGTCCTGGTGCTCTGGTCCTGGTGCTCTGGCCCTGGTGCTCTGGTGCTGATGCTCTGGTCCTGGTGCTCTGGTGCTGGTCTGGTCTCATCTGTGTTTTTATAGCATCAATATTCCGTTAGCGTATTCCTCCATGTTTCATCAGCTCCAATAAGGCTCAGATTTATGAATGACAGCAGGTTGGTCTTGACAGCGGCAGATTTATACAGACTTTTACTTTGGCTCATTTAGCCTCAACTTCGGTCAAACAAAAAAGAGAATATGCAAATCAGAGAGAGACAGAGGCACAAGCTGCAGCTTCTGTCACAAAGCGGGCTCTAAAAGCTTTGCTTTGATATGAATAAATAAAATGTTTCATGAAAGCGTGTTTAGGCCTCAGCCTCATTCTCTAATGAGATCCAGCGATTGACGCGAGATACTTGTCTGCATTACACAGATTAGATATTGACCTGGGCTCCATTAGTTCTATTGAACAAACCAGTGACCAGAGACCAGGGACCAAAAACCAGAAACCAGAGACCAGAGACCAGAGACCAAAGACCAGAGACCAGAGACCAGGGACCAAAAACTAGAAACCAGAGACCAGAGACCAGAGACCAGTGACCAGAGACCAAAGACCAGAGACCAGGGACCAAAAACTAGAAACCAGAGACCAGAGACCAGTGACCAGAGACCAAAGACCAGAGACCAGAGACCAGAGACCAGAGACCAAAGACCATAGACCAGAGACCAGAGACCAGTGACTAGTGCAGGAGGTGCCTGTGTCTTCCTCAGGAGCAGGAGGTGCCTGTGTGTTCCTCTTGAGCAGGAGGTGCCTGTGTCTTCCTCAGGAGCAGGAGGTGCCTGTGTCTTCCTCAGGAGCAGGAGGTGCCTGTGCCAGAGTTAAAGGGCCGTGAGGATTGTGTTTCAGGTTGTCCATTACTATAATTGCTTTGAGCCACAAGTAGGCTTTCCTTATGCAGCTTCTCTAAATGTTTAATCACATTGTTTTGAGGTAACAAACTTTGTAAACGTGGTTAACAGTATGGCGCGACCGGCTGTAAGCCTAAACTGTGGCGTGGGTGTCGCGGGCAACAATAGTTATGGTCATTTTTGAAGAGGCAGGTGTAAATTAGTCAGTGTGGGCGACAGGAGTCACAGCTTGTGTTTCCGTGTCTACATTACCTTAGGACCAGGCGTGTGTGTCTACATTACCTCAGGACCAGGCGTGTGTGTCTACATTACCCTTAGGAGGCGGTTAGAGTTACACACAGCTCAGTGACACTCGTCTGATACCAACAACATCTAATCCTGTATTTTCTGTGTATGTCATGGGCTTTGATTATGGCTTTAAACCCGTGTCTACACACATAGTTGTCAGGAGACATGTGCTGGCACTGAGGAGGTCTGAGGAGGAGGAGCAGGAGGTATGAGGAGCACTGGGGTATGTCACTATCGATCCTCCCTTTGTCCTTGAACATGGGGGGAGGGCTCCTTCAACCAGAGAATTATTACTATTTCACCATTCAATTTTTATGTTACATTTCACTGTGGAATTTACAATCTCGGCCACAGATCCCATTAGCCTCAGACACACACAGAAACACACATTAACACACTGTAACACACACTAATACACACTCATACACAGAAACACACATTAACACACTGTAACACACACTAATACACACTCATACACAGAAACACACATTAACACACTGTAACACACACTAATACACACTCATACACAGAAACACACACTAACACACAGTAACACGCACTTATACACACTAACACACAGTAACACGCACTCATACACACTAACACACAATAACACACACTCATACACACTAATGCACAGAAACAAACATTAAGACACTGTAACACACACTCATACACAGTAACACACAGAAACACACATTAACACACTGTAACACACACTAACACACACTCATACACTCTAACACAAAGAGACACAGCATCTGTAGCATTGACACAGCACCTGTAGCATTGACACAGCACCTGTAGCATTGACACAGCACCTGTAGCAGGCATAGCACCTGTAGCCTAGCTGCTGTCCTCTGTGTCGTAGAGTTTGCTCTGCCCTGAGGACTCTGAAGTGACCAGCTCAGACCCGGTCCTGACCCGGTCCTAACTCAGTCCCTGTGTCCTCAGTTGTTCATGGTGGACAATGCGGCGGACGACTGGCGGATCGCCATGACGTATGAGCGGATCTTCTTCATCTGCCTTGAGATCCTGGTGTGTGCCATCCACCCCATCCCCGGGAACTACACCTTCACCTGGACCGCACGCCTGGCCTACTCCTACGTCCCGTCCAAGACCGACGCTGACGTGGACATCATCCTGTCCATCCCCATGTTCCTGCGCCTGTACCTCATCGCCCGCGTCATGCTGCTGCACAGTAAGCTCTTCACCGACGCCTCGTCTCGCAGCATCGGGGCCCTCAACAAGATCAACTTCAACACACGCTTCGTCATGAAGACCCTCATGACCATCTGCCCCGGCACCGTCCTGCTGGTCTTCACCATCTCCCTCTGGATCATTGCAGCCTGGACCGTGAGGGCGTGTGAGAGGTGCGGAGATCAGGACTGAGGTTTTAGACCCAGGACTGAGGCTGTAGACCCAGGACTGAGGCTGTAGACCCAGGACTGAGGCTGTAGACACAGGACTGAGGCTGAGGCAGGACTACATGGGAGCACAGGGACAGAGGCCACAGCAGCAGATTCAGATACAGAACAGTCCAGGTTTATGTTTAAACTCATACTGATTCTTGTGAATGCGTTTCATCTTTTGTTTATTGCAGGTACCATGACAACCAAGACATAACCAGCAACTTTCTGGGAGCCATGTGGTTGATCTCCATCACGTTTCTTACTATTGGATATGGAGACATGGTCCCAAACACCTACTGTGGCAAAGGAGTCTGCCTCATCACCGGCATTATGGTGACCCCTAACCTCTGACCCCTAACCTCTGACTTCTGACCTCTGACTTCTGACCAGCACAGGTTGACACACATGTTAAGCTTTTATGTCTATATGTGTCGCGTTCACAGAAGAAGAGTGATTAAGTGAAATGTGTATGTGTATCGCCCTAAATCACAGCAGTCGTCTCTGACTTTACAAAATTGTGGATTCACAACAGATCAGAGAATCAAACAGGTCAAACACAAGAAATGTATTGATAACAAACACATAGGAGCCATTGGTTCATAGGGAGTGGGACTGAGGCTATAGACCCAGGACTGAGGCTGTAGACCCAGGACTGAGGCTGTGGATCCAGGACTGAGGCTGTAGATCCAGGACTGAGGCTGTAGACCCAGGACTGAGGCTGTGGATCCAGGACTGAGGCTGTAGATCCAGGACTGAGGCTGTAGACCCAGGACTGAGGCTGTAGATCCAAGACTGAGGCTGTAGACCCAGGACTGAGGCTGTGGATCCAGGACTGAGGCTGTAGATCCAGGACTGAGGCTGTAGACCCAGGACTGAGGCTGTAGATCCAAGACTGAGGCTGTAGACCCAGGACTGAGGCTGTGGATCCAGGACTGAGGCTGTAGATCCAGGACTGAGGCTGTGGATCCAGGACTGAGGCTGTAGATCCAGGACTGAGGCTGTGGATCCAGGACTGAGGCTGTAGTCCCAGGACTGAGGCTGTGTCTGTTGCAGGGTGCCGGTTGCACTGCTCTGGTCGTTGCTGTCGTGGCCAAAAAACTGGAATTAACCAAAGCTGAAAAACATGTCCACAATTTTATGATGGACACCCAGCTGACAAAGAGAGTAAGTCACGTGTTGATGATGTCATGTGTTGATGATGTCACGTGTTGATGATGTCACGTGTTGATGATGTCACGTGTTGATGATGTCACGTGTTGATATTGTCACGTGTTGATAATGTCGCGTGTTGATGATGTCACGTGTTGATAACGTCACGTGTTGATGATGTCACGTGTTGATGATGTCACGTGTTGATAATGTCACGTGTTGATGATGTCACATGTTGATAATGTCATGTGTTGATGATGTCACATGTTGATGATGTCACGTGTTGATAATGTCACGTGTTGATAATGTCACGTATTGATAATGTCACGTGTTGATGATGTCATGTGTTGATGATGTCACGTGTTGATAATGTCACGTGTTGATAATGTCACGTGTTGATGATGTCCCATGTTGATGATGTCACATGTTGATAATGTCACGTGTTGATGATGTCACGTGTTGATGATGTCACGTGTTGATAATGTCACGTGTTGATAATGTCACGTGTTGATGATGTCACGTGTTGATGATGTCATGTGTTGATGATGTCACATGTTGATGATGTCACGTGTTGATGATGTCACGTGTTGATGATTTCACATGTTGATGATGTCACGTATTGATATTGTCACGTGTTGATGATGTCACGTGTTGATGATGTCACATGTTGATATTGTCACGTGTTGATGATGTCACGTGTTGATGATGTCACATGTTGATGATGTCACGTGTTGATGTTTTCACATGATGATGTCACGTGTTGATGATGTCACATGTTGATATTGTCACGTGTTGATGATGTCACATGATGATGTCACGTGTTGATGTGGTCACATGATAATGTCGCATGTTGATGATGTCGCATGTTGATGATGTCACATGATGATGATGTCACGTGTTAATGTTACGTGTTGATGATGTCACGTGTTGATGATGTCACATGTTGATAATGTCAAGTGTTGATGATGTAACATGTTGATAATGTCACGTGTTGATGATGTCACGTGTTGATGATGTCACGTGTTGATGATGTCACATGTTGATGATGTCACGTGTTGATAATGTCACGTGTTGCAGGTGAAAAACACAGCTGCGAATGTTCTCAGGGAGACGTGGCTCATCTACAAAAACACCAAACTCGTGCGAAAGATGGACCACGCCAAAGTCAGGAAGCATCAAAGGAAGTTCCTCCAAGCCATTCACCAGTAGGTACCACAGGAATCAGGTACCACAGGGACTAAGCAGGTACCACATGCATCAGGTACCACAGGGACTAAGCAGGTACCACATGCATCAGGTACCACAGGGACTAAGCAGGTACCACATGCATCAGGTACCACAGGGACTAAGCAGGTACCACATGCATCAGGTACCACAGGGACTCAGCTGGTACCACATGCATCAGGTAACACAGGGTCTCAGCAGGTACCACAGGGTCTCAGCAGGTACCACAGGGTCTCAGTAGGTACCACAGGGTCTCCGCAGGTACCACAGGGTCTCTGCAGGTACCACAGGGTCTCAGCAGGTACCACAGGGTCTCAGCAGGTACCACAGGGTCTCAGCAGGTACCACAGAGTCTCAGCAGGTACCACAGGGTCTCAGCAGGTACCACAGAGTCTCAGCAGGTACCACAGGGTCTCAGCAGGTACCACAGGATCTCAGCAGGTACCACAGGATCTCAGCAGGTACTACAGGGTCTCAGGTCTCAAACCCAAATGAAGATAAGCTGAAATCTGACTTGTTTGACACCTGTAGCAGCAAAAGTAAAACATGTAGAATCTTCATTGTTCTGATGTATCTGTCATCTGTGCTCCTCCTCTGTCCTCCTCCTCTTTGGTTCTCCTCTGTGCTCCTCCTCAGGGGCACAGAGCAGGGAGGAGCAGACAGGAGCAGGGAGGAGCAGTGAGGACCCTCAGATGCAGCTGCTCTATACTACACAATTGATTATGTTAAATCTCTCATTTGTTTTCTTCCTCTTTTCCTGTTTGTGTCGACACAATGTGATAGAGCGCGGAAGTAAGTGTTCTTCATCTGTGTGCGTGTGTGTGTGTGTGTGTGTGTGTGTGTGTGTGTGTGTGTGTGTGTGTGTGTGGGTGTGTGTACGTGTGTGTGTGTGGGAGTGTGTGTGCGTGTGTGTGTGTGTGTCTGTGTGTGTGTGTATGTGTGTGTGTGTGTCTGTGTGTGTGTGTGTGTGTGTGTGTGTGCGTGTATCTGTGTGATTGTGTGTGTGTGTGTGCGTGTGTGTGCTTGTGTGTGTGTGTGTGTTTGCTTGTCTGTCTGTGTGTTAAGTGTATGTGTGCGCGCGCTTGTGTGTATTTGCTCGTGTGTGTACGTGTTCTTGTTTGTGTGTGGATATGCGTCTGTGTGTGTGTGTGTGTGTGTGGTTGCATCTCTGAGCGTGTGCGTGTGTGTGTTTGTGTCTTTGTGTGTGCATGCTTCAGAGACTCTCCTCCCGCTGATAAGTGAAAGTCAAACTTACATATGAGCAAACCTTTCACTGATCAGAGGAGACTGTGTGTGTGTGTGTGTGTGTGCGTGCGTGTTTGTGCATGTGACTTTAATCAGGGACAAACTGATTAAAGTTAATACTGTGCTTTCACGTCCCGAACGATGGCGACTGCAGCAGACTATCAGGCAAGCTCTATCAGGCAGGCTCTATCAGGCAGGCTCTATCAGGCAGGCTCTATCAGGCAGGCTCTACTGTATCAGGCAGGCTCTACTGTATCAGGCAGGCTCTACTGTATCAGGCAGGCTCTACTGTATCAGGCAGGCTCTACTGTATCAGGCAGGCTCTATCAGGCAGGCTCTATCAGGCAGGCTCTATCAGGCCGGATCTATCAGGCAGGCTCTATCAGGCAGGCTCTATCAGGCAGGCTCTATCAGGCAGGCTCTACTGTATCAGGCAGGCTCTATCAGGCAGGATCTATCAGGCAGGCTCTATCAGGCAGGCTCTATCAGGCAGGCTCTATCAGACAGGCTCTATCAGACAGGCTCTATCAGGCAGGCTCTATCAGGCAGGATCTATCAGGCAGGCTCTATCAGGCAGGCTCTAGGCAGGCTCTACTGTATCAGGCAGGCTCTATCAGGCAGGCTCTATCAAGCAGCCTCTACTGTATCAGGCAGGCTCTATCAGGCAGGCTCTATCAGGCAGCCTCTACTGTATCAGGCAGGCTCTATCAGGCAGCCTCTATCAGGCAGGCTCTACTGTATCAGGCAGGCTCTATTAGGCAGGCTCTACTGTATCAGGCAGGCTCTAGGTAGGCTCTACTGTATCAGGCAGGCTCTATCAGGCAGCCTCTATCAGGCAGGCTCTACTGTATCAGGCAGGCTCTATTAGGCAGGCTCTACTGTATCAGGCAGGCTCTAGGTAGGCTCTACTGTATCAGGCAGGCTCTAGGTAGGCTCTACTGTATCAGGCAGGCTCTATCAGGCAGCCTCTATCAGGCAGGCTCTACTGTATCAGGCAGGCTCTACTGTATCAGGCAGGCTCTACTGTATCAGACAGGCTCTACTATATCAGGCAGGCTCTACTGTATCAGACAGGCTCTACTGTATCAGGCAGGCTCTACTGTATCAGGCAGGCTCTACTGTATCAGGCAGGCTCTACTGTATCAGACAGGCTCTACTGTATCAGACAGGCTCTACGGTATCAGGCAGGCTCTACTGTATCAGGCAGGCTCTACTGTATCAGACAGGCTCTCTAAGCTCAGGGTCATCTGTTCGGTTCGTAGAAACCACTGTTACTTCTGGTGCATCGCAGCAACATCTTCATCTCCCTCTGACTCTCTAGAGCGGGCTCTTGTGAAGCTAACGTGGGAAGCTAATGTGTGATGCTAACGCGCTGCTAAAGCTGTAAAGTTTGTGTCTGGGCGCCCACATGTGGGTACAGGGACTCGGGGCACCCCTCAGAGTTTGCGCGCTCTCTATACTATACTGTTCTATACTGGTCCACATTGGTCCACATGGTCCACTCTGGTCCACTCTGGTCCACATTGGTCTACCTGGTCCTGGAACAGTAGCCTGACATAGCACTAACTGAGATTGCTCTAACAGATTTAGTGAGGTCTAATGAAAAGCAGTTTCCCCAATGAATAACAAGCAGAAAGAGAGTGCTCTGAAAGGAGGGAGGATGAGGGAGGGAGGGGGCGAGGGAAGGAGGGATAAATGGAGGGGGAGAGACCCATCTGTCAGATCTACTCTAGATCTACTCTCTCGTCTGTAGATCTCTTCTCTCATTTGTAGCTCTACTCTCCCGTCTGTAGATCTACTCTCGTCTGTAAATCTTCTCTCTCGTCTGTAGATCTACTCTCTCGTCTGTAGATCTACTCTCGTCTGTAAATCTTCTCTCTCGTCTGTAGATCTACTCTCCCGTCTGTAGATCTACTCTCGTCTGTAAATCTTCTCTCTCGTCTGTAGATCTACTCTCTCGTCTGTAGATCTACTCTCGTCTGTAAATCTTCTCTCTCGTCTGTAGATCTACTCTCTCGTCTGTAGATCTACTCTCGTCTGTAAATCTTCTCTCTCGTCTGTAGATCTACTCTCTCTTCTGTAGATCTGTGCGGATGCTACATGCATCGAGGCTGAAGTAAAAACTACTGATGATCGACTTTTGCAGAATGAGATAAAACGTTTTGCTGCTAACATTAATTTAAAAGAACAGCAACAAACAGAAGGACCTAAGTAATACACACACACACACACACACATACTACTGTACATACACAGACAAACACAAACATTACATACACACACACATTGCGTACACCCCCACACATTACATACACAAACACACACATTACACGCACACACACACACACATTATGTACACGCCCACACACACATTACATATACACAAACACAGGCTACAAGTGTGAGTAGCCTTCAGGAGGATCAGGAGAACGGTCCTTACAGCTTTAGCCCGCACACAGGATCCGCACACATGGTCCGCACACATGGCTCGCACACATGGTCCACACACATGGTCCACACACATGGTCCGCACACATGGCTCGCACACATGGCTGTCCAGGGGGTGCAGTGTTGAGGCAGTGTGAACATAAGGTTTAAGGTGAGGAAATAGATACAGCTGTTGTTGCCGTGACAATACAATAATCTCATGTTTCTGGGCAAATACATAAATCACAGCAGCTATATTAAAACACAGACACACACACACAGACTCTGATGTTTCTTGCTGAGTCGTGCGTAAACATCTGCAGCTTCTGTTTTTCAATAATTGACGAGCTGCAACCAGAGTGGACCATAAACACGCTCCTCTGGTCTCTCTCATCATCTGGCAGATCGTGACCTTCACCGTGGCTCAGGGTTAGCTCTCCTTTTAGTTCCTGATTTAGCTCCTGTTTTAGCTCCTGTTTTAGCTCCTGGTTTAGCTCCTGTTTTATCTCCTGGTTTAGTTCCTGCTTTAGCTCCTGTTTTAGCTCCTGCTTTAGCTCCTGTTTTATCTCCTATTTTTGCTCCTGTTTTTGCTCCTGTTTTAGCCCCTGTTTTAGCCCCTGCTTTAGCTCCTGCTTTAGCTCCTGTTTTAGCTCATGTTTTAGCTCCTGTTTTAGCCCCTGCTTTAGCTCCTGTTTTAGCTCCTGTTTTAGCCCCTGGTTTAGCTCCTGTTTTAGCTCCTTCTTTAGCTCCTGCTCTAGCTCCTGGTTTAGCTCCTGCTTTAGCTCCTGCTTTAGCTCCTGTTTTAGCTCCTGGTTTAGCTCCTTGTGCCCTCCTGTCACCTGCATGCAGCTCATCTGAACTGACTGATCCGTGCTTTTCGACACTGATGCATGTGTGAGTGCTCCGTGAGCCGCCTCCGTGAGTCGCCTCCGTGAGTCGCCTCCGTGAGTCGCCTCCGTGAGTCGCCTCCGTGAGCTGCCTCCGTGAGCTGTCTTTGCCTGCTGCCTCTGAGTTCACTCCTCAAACTATCAACAGTATAACTTCCTGGTTCTGAATGCTCTTGTGTTCAGATTGAGAAGTGTTAAAATGGAGCAACGCAAGCTGAACGACCAAGCAAACTCACTAGTGGACCTGGCAAAGGTAAGCTGGACCAGCAGCACTGTACTAGGTGACTGTACCAGGTGACTGTACCAGGGCTTCACTGCCTGAATGATGCTTCAGTCTTCTCTGTCTAAAACCATCAAAGTCTACAGGTGTCAAATGAACAGACAGGCTTTGTGCTGATGTTAAACACTGATGTAAACACTGTCTTTCCACAGGCTCCTGTTCACAAATCCAACATCAGTTCTCTCTGTGTGCTCTGCATTCTCTGTGTGCTCTGCATTCTCTGTGTGCTCTGCATTCTCTCTGTGGGTTCTAGATCCTCTCTGTGGGTTCTTGATCCTCTGTGTGTGTTCTGGATATGAGCCTCCAGATGCTCCAAACAGAAGGTGACAAACCTCAGAGAAAGACCAGGCATAGTGCCAGCCTGACACAGCAGAAAGAGTAAACTGGAAAGGGGAGGGGAGGGAAGGGGGGGGAGGAGAAACGAGGATAGGGAAGGGGAGAGAGGGCAGACACAAGTTGATATTTCAGATTCTTGAGGGTCTGTTCAGCAGCTTTGTGTTGCTGTGTGGTGTGTACTCGAGTACTCTGCAGCCTCAGTGCAGTTGTTATGTGAGCTTTCGTCCACATGAGGGCGGTGCTGTCTGCCTCAGTGTTCAGTCCATGGAGGTTTTCCATCAGTCCCTTTGACACAAACAGCAGTGTTATCCAGGGCTCATTGTCACATTGTGAGATCTTTGTTCCAGTTTTCCAGTTGTTTTCAGACAAAATAAAATCAGAGACAGCATTTTATTTGACAGTGTGCGTTAAAAAAAACAGGTGCCCAACACCTTAAAGACCTGCTGTGTTTGTCCCAAGTCCATTCTGTGAATGATGATCCGCAGAATGGACTTGGGACAAACACAGCAGGTGTTAATTTGCAGATTTACGTTTTTCTCCTTTCACTTCTTTCCTCTAAAGCTGAAAAATAGTGTTTGACTGTGTTGTTATATTTTTGTCTTTAAGTCTCCCACATTGGACCATACACAGGTTGAGCATGTACACAGTGATTTGGTAAAGATAATGTGGAATCTGACCTCTCTCAGTTAGACTTCGGACTTAATGAAGTTATGTTCACGGACCTCTCATTAGGAATGCACTAGTTTACTTGTGACATAAGGTTTTGCATTATTTAAGTTTTATTCCTGTGTGTGCCCTGTTTTCCAGGGCATCTGAGTGTTGTGTGTGTGCCATGTTGTGTATCTGAGCAGAGTGTATTTCTGAGTGTTGTGTATGTTCCCTGTGGTGTATCTGAGGGTTGTGTGTGTGTGTGTGTTGCAGACTCAGAACATCATGTATGACATGATCTCAGACTTGAACGAGCGAGGAGAGGACATGGACAAGAGGATCGGTCTGTTGGAGACCAAACTGGAGACTCTGTTGAGTAACCTGCAGGCTCTGCCTGGACTCATTAGCCAGGTGATCAGCCAGCAGCATAGAGACTTCCTGGAGGTGCAGCTGCAGCCGTACGACAAACACAGTCCAGAACGTTCCCAGTCGGTGTCACGGCGGCGCTCCTCGTCTACAGCTCCACCCACATCCTCTGAGAGCAGCTAGAGCCCACGGCTCTCCAGACTTCTGCCATCATATGGCCACGTTGCATTTATTGTAAAGCCTTATGGTTTCAATAAGTATTATCCAAATTCTGATGACAGAATCCAAGATATGTTTGAACAGATAACTGCAGCTGTTATGTGTTTTATTACCTCAGAACTCTTGATATTCTTGCTCTGGTGACATGAACACAAGCGCTTCCATGGGGCAGTGAGCAGAACTCTACCCACTTCTATGCAGCGGCGAACCACGTGTGAAACTATTGCACTAAACTAGTGCTTCTCACAGACTTTTGTGCTTCCACAGGCTCGAGTCAGCCACAGGTCCTAAAGAGAGAGCATCCTTTTGCAGAGAAACGGCATGACAACCTTAGGAGGTCAGCAGGGGGCGCTCACACACCTGAGGAAAAGCATATATATTTAGACTAGGAACAGCATCAAATAAAGGAGTTTTCTGTTACAGAGTGCCCTGTAGAATGTCGATTTTGGGGGCATTACTGCAAATAAACTTTAGTCCAGATGAATGCATTAACTCTGTACTTGCACTTACTTTTTAATCAATGCACTTCGATGATGACTGATTATAAATGTGTTGCTCATTAAAAGAAGATTTGAACATGATTGGGTTGAGTTCACTGCTCTATGTTCCAGGTCTTTGCTCCAATAGAAGTTCTGCTGGAGCTTCAGGGCCTCAAACACACTCGTGTCAGTGTCAACTTTGAACAGGATTGTGTGCTTCATTTTACAGGTTTTCCTTAGATTCAGGTTTCGGGTAAAGAAAGTATTTATTGAGTCTGTAGCAATCACTGAAGGCATCAAAACGATTATACTCTCGTCCATGGGTATAATCAATGCTGCTGCTGCCATCTTGAAACTCACAATGTCCATATAAATACCACAAAAGATTTTAACCAAAAAAAACTTTGTACACTTAAAGTTCATAATAGTAGATGCAAGAACCAGTGGCAGATGAAGCCGATTAAAGTAGCCTAATCTGCCTCATCGAACAGGCAACGAGGAGAGCGGCAACAGCCAAATATCTCCAGCGAGTAAGGCAGGTCCTAAGAAGCCGGCTCACTGGCAAGAACAAGGCCCGGGCATTAAACAGCTACGCCCTGCCAGTGATCAGATACCCTGCAGGAATAATCAGGTGGCCAAAGAAAGAGATTCAGACCACGGATATTAAAACTCGAAAGCTTCTCACCATGCATGGCGGGTTCCATCCCAAATCCAGACCCTGAGATTGTATGTAAGCCGTAAAGAATGCCGAGGACGAGTGAGTGTGAGATCCACTGTCCAGGACAAAATATCAAAACTCCATAACTACATCATGGAGAAGGCCCAAACGGATGACGTACGTCAGGCCCATCATGGGAGGACAAGCCCCTACAAGGCATGTACCACCGGAGCATAGCAGAAGTGGCTGATCTCAAGTCCTACCAATGGCTAGAAAGGGTTGGCCTACAGGACAGCACAGAGGCATCATGGCTGCACAGGAGCAGGCCTTGAGCACCAGGGCGATAAGAGGCCCAGATATACCACACCAGACAAGACCCAAGGTGTCGGTTGTGCAAAGGGGGACCTAAGACGATCCAACACAGGGGAATGCAGGAAAGGCCTACATGGAACGCCATAACCAAGTGGCTGGCATAGTGTACAGAAACATTTGTGCAGAGTATGGGCTGGAAACTCCAAGGTCTAAGTGGGACCTCCTCCAAAGATGGTGGAGAATGAGCGTGCAAAGATCCTGTGGGACTTCCAGATACAGACCGACCGAATGGTAATGGCAAACCAACCTGACATCGTGGTGGTAGACAAAGGGCAGAGGACAGCCGTGGTGGTGGACGTGGCAATTCCAAGCGATGGTAACATCCGGAAAAATGAATTGAAAAGCTTGAGAAATACCAAGATCTCAGAGAGGAGCTGGAGAGGGCCTGGAGGGTAAAGGTGACAGTAGTGCCCGTGGTGATGGTGCACTTCGGGCAGTGACCCCGAAGCTGGAGGAGTGGTTACAGCGGATCCCTGGAACAACCTCGGACACCTCGGTCCAGAAATGTGCAGTGCAGGAACAGCAAAGATACTGCGCAGAACCCTCAAGCTCCCAGGGCTCTGGTAGACGACCCGAGCTTAGAGAGAGATAACCGCCCGCAGAGGGCCAAAGGTGAGATTTTTTTTATTTATATGTATATATATATATATATATATATATATATATATATATATATATATATATATATATATATATATATATATATATATATATATATATATTTCAATAGAGTTGGACACACCTTCTCATTCAAAAAGTTTTTTATTTTCATGATTATGAAAATTGTAGATTCACTTTGAAGGCATCAAAACAATGAATTAACTCAAGTGGAATTATGTACGTACTTAAAAAAAAATTAAACAACTGAAATTATGTCTTATATTCTAGGTTCCTCAAAGTAGCACCTTTTGCTCTGATTACTGCTTTGCACACTCTTGGCATTCTCTTGATGAACTTCAAGAGGTAGTGACTTGAAACGGTCTTCCAACAGTCTTGAAGGAGTTCCCTGAGATGCTTTGCACTTTTCGGCCCTTTTGCCTTCACTCTGCGGTCCAGCTCACCCCAAAACCATCTGGACTGGGTTCAGGTCCGGTGACTGTGGAGGCCAGGCCATCTGGTCCAGCGCCATCACTCTCCTTATTGGTCAAACAGCCCTTACACAGGGCTGTCAATCTACTGTCAATAGTCATGTAAAGAAAGGAAACTCATTGAATGAGAAAGTGTGTATATATATATATATATATATATATATATATATATATATATATATATACACACTTTTCTTATATACACTAAATATATACGGTTGCCATGGATTCATTCAGACGGACTACAGTTTCGGACGCGACCTCAGTCTCGCGAGAGTTGGCGACTCCCGGGACGTGGGTTAGCGGTTAGCAAACACATGCGTATGCTACATCACTAACTTGAGTTGAGTGTTTTCCTCTGGATTGGCAAAATAAGTAAACATTCACCAAGATGAGTATACTCGCGAAAATAGCAGAAATCGAAAATGAGGTAAGTCGCTGTGGATTCCACTTCTGTTAAACGTATTTAGCAGTTAGCGTTAGCCGCTAATGCTAATATGTGAACTACAGCACACCAGACCAGTCATATGTCTCCTGTTCATACATATGTAACTGTTCAGACTACATCACACACTTCACATGGTGTTGACGTAAAACTGCTGATTTGTCCCAAGGGTAGAATCTGGTAAAAGTTAAAGTTTGCGAACAAACAAGACCTCTGGTTATTATAAAACGTGTTATCTTTAGTGCACTATTATTACCCAGCAGTGGTCCTCTGTGTTTCTCTGTCTGAAGAAGCTAAAGATGTGACAGATGTTAAAACTAGTGATAGAAGCAACTGTTTTAGAGCCAGGAACTAGAGACATGGGTCCATTACACATATTATAATGTTATAAAGGTCAAAGCTGAAATAACAACAAATGTATTAAACCCTAAAAAGCATTAAAACCCTTAAAAAGCATCAATAAAGTGGGCATATTTATTATTATGTTTACTTCTCCCCACTCTAAAAAATAATCAGAAAAAGAATTCATACAGAAATGCAAAACTCCATGAATAATGTTCTGTCAATAGACTTACCAGTGTGTACAGACAACAGTGTGATAACTAGCATATACTCTGCCACACACAGAAGCAGAATGTATAAAATGTTGTGCATTAACTGGACATATGTTTGATAGATGAACAGGACCCAGAAGAACAAGGCCACAGCTCACCACTTGGGGCTCCTCAAAGCACGTCTGGCCAAACTGAGGCGAGAGCTTATAACCCCCAAAGGAGGCAGTGGTGGTGGGACAGGAGAGGGTATGTTATATTTATGTTCAGACTGTTTCATAGATGTGTTTGTGTGCTGCATGTATACTCCAATAGTAAAATGTAACCACTTATATAATGTGATTTTACATTTATTTAAAGTTAAAAGGAAACTTTTGTAACTTGTGTGCACTGCAGTTCTTGTTCAGAGGTTTCTCTCTCTCTCTGGTCTTTCTCACTTCAGCAGTGGTGAGTTCAGGTGGTTAGAAATGTAAAATGTGAGGGGTTTACAGCCTTAAAACAAACAGCTGCTACTGAGAGGATTTGCCTTATTGTGGGTTATTTTTAGAACACTTCACCCCTGTCATAAACCAGAAAAGAGTAAATTTTTGTCATATTGTTTTGTGTCTGTGCTCCTCAGGTTTTGATGTTGCTAAAACTGGAGATGCTCGAATAGGGTTTGTCGGGTTTCCGTCCGTGGGGAAGTCCACTCTGTTGAGTAACCTGGCCGGGGTGTATTCTGAGGTGGCTGCCTATGAGTTCACCACACTCACCACTGTCCCTGGGGTCATCCGCTACAAAGGAGCCAAGATCCAAGTACAGGATAAATCAGAGCTGTTGTGTGTTTAACAGGAGAACTGACATGTTCTGTCTGCTCCTCCAGCTGCTCGACCTGCCGGGGATCATTGAAGGAGCCAAAGATGGCAAAGGCAGAGGTCGCCAGGTGATCGCAGGTGAACTGCACAACACTTTACAGAACTTTACAACCATCAGGACTTTCACAATGATGTTAGACATGTCTGTGTTCCAGTGGCTCGAACATGTAACTTGATCCTCATTGTGCTGGATGTGCTGAAGCCGCTGGGACATAAAAAACTGATTGAACACGAGCTGGAAGGATTCGGAATCAGGCTCAACAAACAGCCTCCAAACATCGGCTACAAGAAGAAAGACAAAGGAGGCATCAACTTCACTGCCACGGTGTGTTCACTAACCCTAACCCATTATATGTGGAACATTCTGTGTGTTTGGGGGATCCTGACCACCCTTTTTCACCAGCGGATCTAATGCAGTGCAACTCATTAGCGCCCTCTTGTGGAGAATGGCCTGTACCTCTACGCTGCAGTCGTTATCCATAATGTAATTAAGTAGAACAAAGACGAAAGGCGTGTTCCCGATTCTACCACGACTGATGCAGCCTCACTGCAAACAAGTAGGAGTAGGAGAAGGAGTAGGAGAAGGAGTAGGAGAAGGAGTAGGAGAAGGAGTAGGAGAAGGAGAAGGAGAAGGAGAAGGAGAAGGAGTAGGAGAAGGAGTAGGAGAAGGAGTAGGAGAAGGAGAAGGAGTAGGAGAAGGAGTAGGAGAAGGAGTAGGAGAAGGAGTAGGAGAAGGAGTAGGAGTAGAATCCATTTTACAGGAACAGTCAGTTTGACTTGTGTGTGTGTGCAGTGTGCTCAGAGTGAGTTGGACCTGGAGACGGTGAAGACCATTCTGGCCGAGTACAAGATCCACAACGCCGACATCACTCTGCGCAGCGACGTCACGGCTGATGACCTCATCGACGTGGTGGAAGGAAACCGGTGAAATGTGTTTTAGTTTATTTGTATTTTATATTATTATTATTATTATTCCACTGGTTCAACACTGTGTGAACCATTGGAATCTTTGATGTTCTGACAGGATTGGGCTCAGGTGGAGTGGCCACATTTTAAATTATTTTGATAATTTGCCAATTATTCCAAATAAATTGATAATGCTAAAAAGCTAACAGTAGTAATAATAAACTGCAGAAGTGGAGCCGCTTGGTTTGGGCCACTTTCTCTGCCCTGGTCCAAAGTAAAATGCTTTATGCTTCATTAGCATTTTTTTTTTTAAGTTAGCATTCCTCCAGTGGGTTTTCCCCTGGTCCACTTGGACCATGAATCTTCTCTGCTCTGGTCTGGACCATTGCAAAACCATGAACACTGTACCGCAGCAACATCTTGGGCAGAAAAAAGAAAGAGAAATAACAACTGTAAAACACAGAACAATCAACCATTTCAGAGACATTTAGGTCTTGCTGCTGTTTCCAGAAGATTCAGAAGTTAAACTAAGTGTGACGTGATTCCTGTTCCTCCAGAGTTTACATCCCCTGCATTTACGTTCTCAACAAAATCGACCAGATCTCCATCGAGGAGCTGGACATCATCTACAAAGTGCCACACTGCGTCCCCATCTCCGCTCACCACCGCTGGAACTTTGACGACCTCCTGGAGAAGCTCTGGGACTATCTGCAGCTGGTGCGAATGTAAGACACCCTCGTCCTGAAGCGTCTGTGTTTGTGAGTTTAGTGACTCTGTGTTTCCTTCCAGCTACACCAAACCCAAAGGGCAGCTCCCGGACTACACCTCCCCTGTGGTTCTCCCTGATTTACACACGTCTGTGGAGGACTTCTGCTTAAAGATCCACAAGAACCTCGTCAAGGAACTCAAATAGTGAGTGTTTCCGTTTCATTCATCTCAAAGTAACTCATAACGATTATAAAAACACGATACTGGCCTCTTTTGGACTCCAACCTGGAGTCAGAATAATGAACTTATAGGAAGTGGGCGGGGCTAGGTGGGAGGTGAAAACAGACAGACAGACTGAAAGGATTCACAACAGTCTTTTGGGGACTGCACGTCTAGAGTCAAACAGTTTGTCCCATTCCTCTTTACAAGACAACAGTTCTGTCAGATTAGATGGTGTCTGGGAATTTAGGTCTGGACTTGACCGAGCCCTAACTCTAAACCGTTCTATTGTAGATTCATGTTTGTTCTGCTGAATGTGACTCAACAGGTTTTTCTCCCAAATGTCCCTGCATTTGGCTCCATCTTCCCTGCTGAAGAAAAGCAGCCCCATTGCTCCCCCATTATATTTTGGGGGAGCATCTTAGTGCCTCTATGTGTCTCTGCTCTTTGTGTCTGTGTGTGTGTGTGTGTGTCTCTCTTTCTTTGTCTGTGTGTCTGTCTCTGTGTCTCTTTCTGTTTCTCTTTGTCTGATACAGAGTTGTGTGTTGCAGTGCTCTTGTGTGGGGAGCGTCTGTGAAGCACAACCCTCAGAAAGTGGGAAAGGACCACGTGATGGAAGACGAGGACGTCATCCAACTGGTGAAGAAGTAACTCAGAGACCAGGAGAGAGACCAGGAGAGAGACCAGGAGAGAGACCAGCATGGCAATGGTTCCGGCTCATTCAACAACAACCATTTGAGATGTGACTTTAAACTTCAAAGACTTCATTTTTGCACCATGAAGAGTTAATAAAAACGTGTCCAGATGATTGTGTCCTTTGTGCATGTCTTCACACCAACACGTGGTGCAGTGGTTAGCACTTGTGCTTCAGTGACATCGGTGTTCCATTCACACACCTGACTGTGGCGTTTGCATGATGCGTCCGCGTAGGTTTCCCCTACTCCTCTAATAGGTGAGTATGTAAGTAAGGTTTATTTATACAGCGCGTTTTAAGATTGTGAGATCCTTTATTTGTCCCACAGTGGGGAAATTTCAGTGTTGCATCACAAGTTATAGAACAGTAGGAAAGAGGAGCACACAGCACAAGATAAGTGAACAATAGCAATAAAATTAGCATCAATAACAAGTATAAAAACTAAATCTTGAAAATAATAAAATGAAGTGTAAAAGTTTTACATTTGGCAAAATAAGAGGCAAGTATAAAGTACTATGTATGCTAGTACAAGCAAAGTGTAGTTATATGTTAGCATCTGTACATTAGCAGCAGTATGTTTACATCTGTACATTAGCAGCAGTATATTCTGATATAAGTTAAGGATGTTGCAACGATGCATGACACGTGGGATCAAGTTGGCAGTGTTCATTAGTCGTCATTGTTGTAGTCTGACAGCAGCAGGAAGGAAAGACCTGCAGAACCTCTCCTTCACACATTGAGCTGAATAAGTCTGTCACTGAAGCTGCTCTCCAGAGCAGAGAGAGTGTCCTGCAGGGGGCGACAGTCGTGGTCCAGCATAGATGTTAGTTTGTCCAGGACCCTCCTGTCCCCCACCTGCTGCACTGTGTCCAGGGAACAGCCCAGGACTGAGCTGGACTTCCTCATGACCTTGTCCAGCTTCTTCCTGTCTCTCTCTGTGATGCTGCTGCTCCAGCAGACCACACCGTATAAGATGGCTGATGCCACTACAGAGTCATAGGTCTTTAGGAGTGGCCCCTGCGCTGATCTGAGCCTCCTCAGCAGGTAGAGCCGGCTCTGGCCCTTCTTGAAGAGGGCATCTGTGTTATGAGTCTAGTCCAGTTTGTGGTCCAGATGAACACCCAGGTACTTGTAAGAGTCCATTCTCTCAATGTTCTTTCCCCGGATGTTCACTGGGGCTGGAGAGGCAGAGTGACGTCTGCGGAAATCCACCACCATCTCCTTGGTCTTCACCGCGTTGATGAGGAGGTGGTTCCGCTGACACCAGTCCACAAAGTCCTGAATTACTCCTCTGTACTCTGCGTCATCGTCCTCAGAGCCGAGTCCGATGATGGTAGAGTCGTCGGAGAACTTCTGGTGGACACAACCGTCCATGTTGTGTCTGAAGTCCGCAGTGTAGAGGGTGAAGAGGAACGGCGCGAGGACTGTCCCCTGGGGGACCCCCACACTGCAGGTCAGGACCTCAGACCCAAGATCTCACAAACTGGGGTCTGTCTGTGAGGTAGTCCAGGATCCACTCAGACAGATCGTTGTCCACTCCAGATGTCTCCAGCTTGTCCCTGAGAAGCCTCGGCTGGATGGTGTTGAAGGCGCTGGAGAAGTCGAAGAACAGAATCCTCACAGTGGAGCCGGGTTTCTCCAGGTGGGACAGGGCGCGATGGAGGAGGGAGATGATAGCGTTCTCAACTCTGATGCCCGGCCTGTAGGCAAACTGCAGCGGGTCCATCGCTGAGGTCAGAGTGGAGCGGAGATGTCCCAGGACCAGTCTCTCCAGACTAAGGTCACCCAAAGCGGCAATTGTTCAGAGTTCAGATATTGTTCCAATCATTCCACACACCTCATGCAGGTAGCGAGTCACCGGACACATTGGCACATCAAAGCCTCCAATCAACACCATCCGTTCACTCACTCACTCCATTCGGGCATATTGTGCATGTTTTCATGATAAGGGGAACAGGAGCATCCGGAGGGAACCTACGCATACACAGGGAGAACATGCAAACTCCACTCAAACTCCCCTCAGAAAGACCCTGTTCTCACCGGGCTTTGAACCCAGGACCTTCTTGCTGAGAACCGAGCCCAGAGTGTGAGACAGATTTAAATTAGCTACAATCTGTTTATTTACAGCTGCTGCTGCTGAATACACACTGTTCCATACAAATAAACAGTAACACCATGGGACATACGCTGTTGCATCACCTCCCAGTCCCACATCCAGGACTCTGCCTCTAGAGCCTCGTCCACTCAGTGATTTATGGGACTGATGATGACGGCACCTCCCCCTCCCTCTCGTGGGGACGGCCACTCAGGTTAATCAGTCCATTCACTCAGACTCTGAGGACAAACCAGCTGTTCAGGAGTAACGAGCCTCTGCAGTGCGACGACCAGCGCACATGGTACAGAGAACTGGAGAGACAGAGGACCAGGGAGGCAGGACCAGAGAGGCAGGAGGCAGAACCACGGGGACAGAGGACCAAGAGACAAGCCTGGACCATAGGGGTCAGGGGCTGCCTCACTAATATAATGTATAGTTAGAAATTAGTCATTTTATATAAACATAAAGGCAAACCATGAAACGCTGCTAGAATATAAGTAAGTAAAGTTTATTTGTATAGGGCCTTTCACAGACCAGGATCACAAAGCACATTTGAAACATACCAATGAAAATAATACACAAGTTAAAATATAATGTCCTACTCAGTGATATAAATGTAGGACACGCTCGCATGGTTCACCTCTGCACAGGCCTGGACTGAACTTGTCCCGGTGTATGTGTCCTGGACTATAGCCCAACCATGGGAGTGGCTCTGTCCATCTCTATAGATAGTCCTCTATGGTTCTTAGTGGTCCTCTCTGTTGCTCTATAGTCCTGTATGGTTCTTTGTGGTCCTCTCTGTTGCTCTATAGTCCTCTATGGTTCTTTGTGGTCCTCTCTGTTGCTCTATAGTCCTCTATGGTTCTTTGTGGTCCTCTCTGTTGCTCTATAGTCCTCTATGGTTCTTAGTGGTCCTCTCTGTTGCTCTATAGTCCTGTATGGTTCTTTGTGGTCCTCTCTGTTGCTCTATAGTCCTCTATGGTTCTTTGTGGTCCTCTCTGTTGCTCTATAGTCCTCTATGGTTCTTTGTGGTCCTCTCTAGTTTTCTTTCTCATTGGTTCTGGATATTTTAAGGACAGGATCTTTGAATCAAGTGTTTAACTGGTCTCAGTGCAGGCCCCTGATGGGACAGAATCCCCAAAAGGAGCAGTATTCAAACAGTGTCTTCACAGAAAGAGCTGGAGCCTGTGGCGGGAGCAGCAGCAGCAGCAGCAGCAGCAGCAGCAGGAGCAGCAGGAGCCCCACCCCCCTCTCCCTGTAAATTATAGCAGCACTTTAGCTAATGAAAGAGTTGAAGACCAGGCACTAATAAAAGCCATTAAGTGAATAACGCACTTCCCCCTCTAACAAAATGAAAGAATCCATTTGGAGGAGGACTCTGTATTAATATTTATGAAATGCGGAGCCCCCCAAACTCTCCGTCTCATGTCCAATCCTGGGCCGTCCCAGCGCACCTATCCCAGTGATCCCCAGCCACCCCTCCTCAGCAGGAAGGAGGAGCAGGACGGGGACTTGAAGGGTGTCGAGGACGCAGTCAGGACAGTCTGTCTCCAGCCGAGCAGACGGCAAGACCCCAAACTCCACTCCAGCCTGAACCACCCAGAACCACCCAGAACCACAGACCAGAGCCCGGAAAGGCCAGAGAGACCAGAGAAACCACAGAGACCAGAGAGCAGAGGACGGAGACCAGAGAACGGAGACCAGAGGACGGAGACCAGAGGACGGAGACCAGAGGATGGAGACCGAAGACCAGAGGCTGGAGGACAGAGACCAGGCTTCAGGGTCAGGTGTATAGACCACAGCTGGTAAATATTTCATGTTGCCCATTGAAAAAAAAACTTCATACAAACATCATGTCTGGAGCCTCCACTTCCTCATATCAGTCATTTCTCAAAAATTCATTAAAAACATGTTTCATCAAATCATTGAAATGAAATGAAATCATTCCCACGTTGACTTTCCCCAAACTTCAGACCCTTCCCCTCATCAGCCTCAAATGTACTTCACTATTTTACTTTTCGGAGATTCTTTCTTTACTCAGATCTCTCCCTCTCTGTTCCTCTCTCACATTTATCCAAAGTCTAAGTTGATTAGAGCGATGTCTGTTTAGGACGTCGTCCCCAGAGACTCCGGACGATGTCGTTATCTGGAACAAATGTCTTTACGTTTCGATCCCGTCAGACAAAAAGCAGAATGAGTTTTTCTGTGGTTCTCTGTGTTTCTCTGTGGTTCTGCTTAAAAACCAGTTTAAAATCTCAGACCTGAGTTTGTCGCAGACTTGAACTTGTGTCTCATTTCTAAAAGTCGCTAAAAGTCGCTTTAAAGATATTGTCAACGGAAAAAGAAGAATGTAAGAACGTGACCATCGCTGCGGAGACGGCGTGAGGGCGGGGCTTGTCGCAGTTGGGTGTTGCCCATTTTACCGCAGTGCGTTTGACCCAACTGTTCGTGTCTCAGACGTCCCCATCTGACGACACAGATCTGACTTATACACTTTCAGGAGTCGCCCTTTGACCTTCAGTCTGTGCAGGTCCTTTTTGCTTGTCTGTGGGAGAAGCAGAGTCAGAAGTATTAGTAGTAATAGTAGCAGAAGTATTTGTAGAAGCAGACGTATTTGTAGTAGTGTTTTATTTCAGACGTTTGTATTATGGACATGTTTTGGAGTTTTTTGTTGTTCCTACCTCTTGCCGTTCTGCGCTGGACCCTGGACTCCTGCAGAGTCTCGGTCTCAGTCTTGGTCTCAGTCCTGGTCTCAGTCCTAGTCACAGTCCTGGTCTCAGAGTCTTCATTGTGCTTGATCTAACCATGCAGTGCGACGCCGTTCATGGTTGTGCCAAGCACCTTGGAGCCTCGTGAGCGTTTCTGCTTCCAGAGAGCGGCGAAAGATCACTTCTATACGAATCTTCTATACTTTATATAATCTTCTATAATCTTCTGCTGACCTTCAGTCATAAACGCAGTGCTGGAACTGACTTCTGTGTTTTCACCTGTTCAATAAAGATGGAGAAATGTGTGACTGAAACAGGATTAAAGGATTAAAACAGATTTGAACGATTCAAATAAAACTGTATCTAACAATAAACATCGTCCTCTTCTTTGTTGCTTTTCTCTAAATCTGCCTTTTCTCTAAAGCAGAACATCATTCTCTTCTGTGTAACGACCTCAGATATATCAGGGATCGATGAATCACCTCAGACACAACGTCTGCGACAAAGAAGCAACACGTCATCAGAATAAAACTACAGACTCCCGGCGACCGCAGGGTTCAGGCTCCACCAGTAAATACTAGTTTATTCACACACATGACCAGGCCCAGTGTTCAGCCGTAAAGACACACACATGAACCCAACGAGTCACACACAGACTTCTTTTTATCACAAAATGAGCCCAGAGAGAAATGTCGGTGTTGCATCGCACTATAGAACTGCAGTAAGGGCACAAAGGAGCATGACACATACACAACATACACACACAGAACCACATAGACGCTCACACAGACAATCAGACACACACACACACACCCATAGACACACACACAGACGCGCACACACATACACACACAAATAGACATATAGACACTCACACAGACACACACACCCATGCACATCCACAAAGACGCTCACAGACACACACACAGACCAACATAGACACTCATACAGACACTCAGGCACACACACACACAGCCATAGACACACACATAGACTGCCCCACACACACACACACACACACAGACAGACCCACACCACCGTACACACCTAGACGCACACACACACACACACACACACACACACACACACACACACGCACACAATTAGACACATACAAACACTCAGACACACACTCACACCCATAGACACACACACACACAAATAGACACATATAGACACTCACACAGACACACACACACACAACACACACACACACGCACATCCACACAGACGCACACACAGACACACACAGACCAACATAGACACTCATACAGACACTCAGGCACACACACACAGCCATAGACACACACATAGACCACCACACACACACACACACACACACACACACACACATTGACCGACATACCCGTACACACCCAGACGCACACCCACCCACACAGACGCACACACAGACACACGCACACATTTGAAAGCTGTGATCATAGTGAGAATGGGCACAGGGCACAGACACTGGGTACAGTGGTCGTGAAGTACTCGAGGGTCTCACAGAAAGTGTGAACGCAGCAGTGAGGGCGATACTCCCCTCCACCATCACTGAAACCAATGAGCTGATACACACTTCGGCAGCAACCATGGGACCATGAACAACACCCACCAGGGAAGAGACGGTTGGAGGTTTAGATCAAGGCTGTAAGTGAATCAATTAACAGACCCAGAGAGGTGCAATGAAAAGGCCGGTACCCAAGAAGTACAGCCAGATGACCAAACCTGAAGCACTCGAAACTGCCAAACCAAGGCCCAGGCCCCGGCCAGCCGCCTACAGAGGTGCACCGAAGAGAATGAAGCCAGAAGAGTAAACAGGCTGTTCGCTACACAACCTGCGAAGGAGTACGCTCAGTTGCAGGGTAACAACAGGGGAGACCCACCAGGAGGAGCAGACCCACCAGGAGGAGCAGACCCACCAAGAGGAGCAGAGCCACCAAGAGGAGCAGAGCCACCAAGAGGAGCAGAGCCACCAAGAGGAGCAGAGCCACCAAGAGGAGCAGACTCACCAAGAGGAGCAGACTCACCAAGAGGAGCAGAGCCACAAAGAGGAGCAGACTCACCAAGAGGAGCAGAGCCACAAAGAGGAGCAGACTCACCAAGAGGAGCAGACTCACCAAGAGGAGCAGAGCCACCAAGAGGAGCAGACTCACCAAGAGGAGCAGACTCACCAAGAGGAGCAGACCCACCAAGAGGAGCAGACTCACCAAGAGGAGCAGAGCCACCAAGAGGAGCAGAGCCACCAAGAGGAGCAGACTCACCAAGAGGAGCAGACCCACCAAGAGGAGCAGAGCCACCAAGAGGAGCAGACTCACCAAGAGGAGCAGACTCACCAAGAGGAGCAGAGCCACCAAGAGGAGCAGAGCCACCAAGAGGAGCAGACCCATCAGGAGGACCATCAGGAGGAGCAGACCCACCAAGAGGAGCAGACTCACCAGGAGGAGCAGACCCACCAAGAGGAGCAGACCCATCAGGAGGAGCAGACCCACCAGGAGGAGCACACTCACCCGGAGGAGCAGACTCACCAAGAGGAGCAGACCCACCAGGAGGAGCAGAGCCACCAGGAGGAGCAGACCCACCAGGAGGAGCATGTTCTATACATTTGTGGGTAGTGGGTTATAATCCACCTCAAGACTTTCTTCACCGACTCCCACTGTCTGCTGTCGTTGTGTCCTTGGGCAAGACACTAAACCTCTGGGAACAGCAGGTGCAACAGTGGGGCGGCTGCGGCTGTAAAGTGCCAAAATGCTGTCGTGTCCTTAGGCAAGACACTTCACCCACATTGCCTAGAATGAGTCTGGTGTGTGTGTGTGAATGGTTGGTGGTGGTGGGAGGGGCACATACTGGTTGCCTCACTTCGGTCAGTGTGCCTCAGGGCAGCTGTGGCTACAGAAGTAGTTTATTACCACCGTGTATGGAGTGAAAGAATAATGACATAAGCGTCTGAGTGTCCAAAAAAGCGCTATATAAAACCGATGCATTATTATTATATTATATACAGTGTCTTGCAAAAGTATTCGGCCCCCTTGAACCTTTCAACATTTCGCCACATTTCAGGCTTCAAACATAAAGATATAAAATTTTAATTTTTTGTCATGAATCAACAAGTGGGACACAATCGTGAAGTGGAACGAAATTTATTGGATAATTTAAACTTTTTTAACAAATAAAAAACTGGAAAGTGGGGCGTGCAATATTATTCGGCCCCTTTACTTTCAGTGCAGCAAACTCACTCCAGAAGTTCAGAGAGGATCTTTGAATGATCCAATGTTGTCCTAAATGACTGATGATGATAAATAGAATGCACCTGTGTGTAAACAAGTCTCCGTATAAATGCACCTGCTCTTTGATAGTCTCAGGGTTCTGTTTAAAGCGCAGAGAGAACTATGAAGACAAAGGAACACACCAGGCAGGTCCGAGATACTGTTGTGGAGAAGTTTAAAGCCGGATTTGGATACAAAAAGATTTCCCAAGCTTTAAACATCTCAAGGAGCACTGTGCAAGCAAGTATATTGAAATGGAAGGAGTATCAGACCACTGCAAATCTACCAAGACCCGGCCGTCCCTCCAAACTTTCATCTCAAACAAGGAGCAGACTGATCAGAGATGCAGACAAGAGGCCCATGATCACTCTGGATGAACTGCAGATAACTACAGCTGAGGTGGGAGAGTCTGTCCATAGTGAAGAAGATGGCATAGTCTGGGATCGCGTCTTAAATTCAGACAGAAGACATGTTTTATTGTCGATGGTAGAGACAGCACGAACAACAGATACAACAGAATGCAAGTGTATTATACAGAGCGGAGGCATGGAGACCTCCAATCAGCAGCTTCCACGGTGCCATGTAGCTTGGCCTTCAGATAGACAAAACAAGGGAAAAGTACTGGCTTCTGCACATTGATAGAATGATGAGTTTAACTTTAACAAAAGTTGCTTAAAAGTGTTATGAAATCTCACATTCTCCCCTCTGGTCATACATTCACGTGTGACCATCAGGATCGATAAACAGCAACATAACATCATAACTCAATACTTCAAAAACTCATAAACTCGGTACTTCACTCGGTACCTCAAAAAACTCAGAACTCGGAATACTTCAAAAACTCATAAAACATGTTCAGATCTTTCATAAAACTTGTCAACAATCTTCAGTAAAATACCAAACTTCATCAGTCGATGGTTCTCAGATATTGCTTTGAAAACAGTCTCTCCCACTTCTCCGTGTTGGTTTCTTCAGGCTGCATTTGTGTCGAGCCATGAATTCTTCTGTGACGTGTCTTTCAATCACACGTTTCAGCTTTAGTGTCCAGATTCAGCAATTCAATTCAGTCCAAATTATGTCCAAATTCAGATATCCAGATTGTTCCAAATCATGTCCAAATTGTGTAATCCAATTGTTCCAAATGGTGTCCATGCAAAAGAGGACGCTGGTGTTGTCCATGTCTCAACAGCTCACAGCCTGACTGGAATCAGGGGCTGTGCAGATTGTCCAAGTGTGCTGGTCCAGATGGTTTCTCTTGAGGTTTCTCAGTTTTGGCTTAAAAAAAAACACTTTTTGTGTGAAAAAAAAAAAAAGTCTTCTGTTCTGTAGATGTTACAGACAAGGCCCGCATCCTTCCACCACCTGAAGAAGATGACAAAGTCTGGAATCGCGTCTTTAATTCAGACAGAAGACATGTTTTATTGTCGATGGTAGAGACAGCACGAGCACAAACAGACGATCACAGATACAATAGAATGCAAGTGTATTATACAGAGCGGAGGCATGGAGACCTCCAATCAGCAGCTTCCACGGTGTGCTTGTAGCTTGGCCTTCAGATAGACAAAACAAGGGAAAAGTACTGGCTTCTGCACATTGATAGATTGATGAGTTTAACTTTAACAAAAGTTGCTTAAAAGTGTTATGAAATCTCACAATAGGACAACAATCAGTCGTGCACTGCACAAATCTGGCCTTTATGGAAGAGTGGCAAGAAGAAAGCCATTTCTCAAAGATATCCATAAAAAGTCTCGTTTAAAGTTTGCCACAAGCCACCTGGGAGACACACCAAACATGTGGAAGAAGGTGCTCTGGTCAGATGAAACCAAAATCGAACTTTTTGGCCACAATGCAAAACGATATGTTTGGCGTCAAAGCAACACAGCTCATCACCCTGAACACACCATCCCCACTGTCAAACATGGTGGTGGCAGCATCATGGTTTGGGCCTGTTTTTCTTCAGCAGGGACAGGGAAGATGGCTAAAATTGATGGGAAGATGGATGGAGCCAAATACAGGACCATTCTAGAAGAAAACCTGTTGGAGTCTGCAAAAGACCTGAGACTGGGACGGAGATTTATCTTCCAACAGGACAATGATCCAAAACATAAAGCCAAATCTACAATGGAATGGTTCACAAATAGACGTATCCAGGTGTTAGAATGGCCAAGTCAAAGTCCAGACCTGAATCCAATCGAGAATCTGTGGAAAGAGCTGAAGACTGTTCACAAACGCTCTCCATCCAACCTCATGGACCAATGGGCAAGAATTCCAGTCTCTCGATGTGCAAAACTGATAGAGACATACCCCAAGCGACTCCAATAAATTTCGTTCCACTTCACAATTGTGTCCCACTTGTTGATTCTTGAAAAACAAGTTAATTTTTTGTTTGAAGCCTGAAATGTGGCGAAAGGTTCAAGGGGGCCGAATACTTTCGCAAGGCACTGTATATATATATATACATAATATACATTTATATACAATTAAACATATATATAGGATACAATAGATTATATCCCTCTCCTCCTGCTGAACCTTCTCGCTTCTCCAGCTCTATCCCTTTTCCGTTCATTCTCTCTCCCCTCCTCCTTCTCTAAAACACATGAGAAGAAGTTCAAGTCCAGTGCTTTTATTCGGTCACTCATTTTCATTATTATTATTTTTTTTACATATTTCAAAAGGAAAACTTCAAACACACAGGAGCTGCTCACAGCCGCAGCAGAAAATTATGGGTCTGCTTGTGGGCGGAGTCCTGCTGTTTGTGGGCGGAGTCCTGCCAGTCGTACATTCATAACTGCTGCAGGTTTTCAGTCCAAACACAAAGTTACAAATCTTTACAAAACACTGAAAACAATTCTAAAATAATGTCAGTGAAACTATGGCAACAGTGGACCAGTGACAGATTCATGTCAGAACTACAACTGTACCAACTTTTAGAGAGTTTAGAGATATGTCCTACTGCAGAGTCTTCCATCTCATCTTTACTTTCAGAAGGACTTTAATGATTCATGTTTTAATCCCAGGACAGGTTTACAGCTGAGCACATGCTTGTGGGAGTCGAATCAAAGACCATCGAGTAGTGTTAACCACTCTGCCACTGTCCCACTGAGGACAGAGACATGAGGGACGTGTTACAGCTACATCAGAACAAACACATGTGAGACGGAGCTTTGGCAAAGTGTTGTTATGGCAACATGTTGTTAATGTTATATGTTGTCATCTCTGCGGCTGCAGGTCTTCAGAGTGACCTCTGAGCCTCTGCAGGCTCAGGCCTCGCTCTCAGAGTGCTGCAGAGTTACAGAAGGCGTCTAAGCGTAGATTTGGCCTGAGGTCCCTGTGTGCGAGTCTTCAGTACGGCGCTCGGGGGACGCCAGGCGGGTCTTTACTCCTGCGTAGTCGTAGATCCCCACCTCCAGGTTCTTGGCTCGCACAGCAGCAGTGTGCAGCTTGTCCAGGAAATCAGGCATACCTACATATACAGCAAGAGATTATTTATCATATAAAATCAATTAACATATTATATGAAATATCAGTGTTTTGAGTAATGTATTACAAAAGTAATGTAATTACTGTAATTATTACTTTTAGCTGTAACTCTGTATTGTAAGGCGTTACAAATCAAAAACTGGGTAATATTTACTGGTACAAAAGGTAACGTTACGTAACATTTGAAAGAGGTTTGTTTTTATACTATGTCACCGCGAGATCAGCAGGAGAAAAAGTGCCAATAGTAGCTGCCTGAACAGGGGTCACTACCGCAAGCAGACGGTCGGCCACAAGGACCACGGAGAGCGAAGCGTGATGTATAAATAATGTTAGTCTCTGTGGACCCAGTCTTTAGTCTCCGCGCTTTCGCACAGCGATGTCCAGAGAACATTCACAGAGATTTGAGCCGCCCAAGAGTCCGGTTTATGAGAGACACTTCTCAACGAGCACGGAAAATAAGCAGGCGTGTTACGCATGTTTAAATGTTCAATGTTTTAAAACAGATAAGAATTATGTAATTCCATCAAGTGTCCGGGCCAGGACCGAGTTTGTTGGAGTCAAAGATGTAGAATATAACAATTAAGTGCACTTTATGCCAAACCAACAGTAACTTCAAACCAATGCAGTGTCTAATGCAATTCAGAGACAGTAATATTGTAGTAACACATTACTCTGGAATAAACAAATAACACATCATGGATTATGTTTTGATATCACTTGCTCAACACCACTGTATATTATATAACACCCCTAGACCAGAGAGAGAGACCAGAGATACCAGAGAGAGAGACCAGAGAGGTCAGCGAGAGAGAGAGACAGTCAGGTCTCTCAGAAGCTTTAACTCACCACTGGAGACCATCCAGCTGACACAGTATCGAGGGAAGGCTGTCTGCGGGTCATCACTGTATGTCAGCAGGTAATCAAACCCATTCTGAGAAACAGATACACAAACATCACATATAAACCACAGAAGCACACACACACACACACACACACACACACACACACACACACACACACACACACACACACACACACACACACACACACACACACACACACACACACACACACACACACACACACACACACACACACACACACACACACACACACACACACACACACCTCATCGAAGGAGGAGTGAGGACGGATCACCATCTTGGACTGGTACGAGTTCACTCTCACAAACTCTTGAGACTCTGGCACTTTGGGGTGTTCCACAGCCCTGAGACAAGAACGCTTAGTGTGAAGACCTGAAACACTGCATCAGTGTGAAGACCTGAACATCAGTGTGAAGACCTGCACATCAGTGTGAAGACCTGCACATCAGTGTGAAGACCTGCACATCAGTGTGAAGACCTGCACATCAGTGTGAAGACCTGTGCATCAGTGTGAAGACCTGTGCATCAGTGTGAAGACCTGTGCATCAGTGTGAAGACCTGAGCATCAGTGTGAACGAGCATCAGTGTGAACGAGCATCAGTGTGAAGACCTGAGCATCAGTGTGAACGAGCATCAGTGTGAACGAGCATCAGTGTGAAGACCTGTGCACATCAGACCTGGACATGAGAATCATCAGGTTCTTCTCCACATCCACGTCATAGCGGCGCACGTACACATAGTCCCTCGAGTACATCGGATACTGAGGAGAGACCAGAGAGATCAGACACCAGCGAGAGAGAGACCAGGGAGAGACTAGAAAGAGCCCAGAGAAAGACCAGAGAGAGACCAGAGAGAGACCAGAGAGAGACCAGAGAGAGACCAGAGAGAGACCAGAGAGAGACCAGAGACAGACCAGAGACAGACCAGAGACAGACCAGAGACAGACCAAAGACAGACCAAAGACAGACCAAAGACAGACCAAAGACAGACCAGAGACAGACCAGAGACAGACCAAAGAGAGACCAAAGAGATACCAAAGAGATCAAAGAGAGACCAAAGAGAGACCAGATTTAAACTGGGCTGCACGGTGGCTGAGTGGATTGCACTCTCGCCTCTTAGCAAGAAGGTCCTGGGTTTCTGAGTGGAGCTTGCATGTTCTCCCCGTGTCTGCGTAGGTTTCCTCCGGGTACTCCGGTTTCCCCTACCACTAAAAATATGTACAATAGTTCTGGCATGCGCCTCCTGTACTGGCGACCCCACTCCCAACTCTGTGTGGAGTGAGAGGACAAGTGCCCAAAATATAACAATTGTAAACTGCTTTATGACTCTGGTCTGTGAAAGGTGGTATATAAATAAAGATTACTTACTTAAACTAGAGAGAGACCAAAGAGAGAATTTAGAGAGAGCCCAGAGAAAGAGACCAGGGAGAGAAACTAGAAAAAGACCAGAGAGAGACCAGAGAGAGACCAAAGATAAACTACAGAGAGACTCAGAGAGACCAGAGAGAGAGAACCTGCTGGTTGCTAACACCTGTAGCAACCAGCAGGTGGCAGGCAAAAGTTAAAAACAATGAACTCACAGGGAAATGTGTGGCCCAGTGCACAACCTCTGACCCCGTGTGGGCGTCGCGGTCCACGACCTCCAGCTTGATGACAAGTGCGTCCCATGTTTTTCTGTACTCTGTGTCCAACTGTGGACGAGACGAGTGAAGGACACGGGCACATTTAGAACAGTAGACACAGCAGCAGCATGTGGGGCAACAGCTGTGTCCAAGACCGACCAACACTAACACGGACCAACACTAACACCCAACGCCAACACGGTGCCAACACGGTCCAACGTCAACACGGTCCAACGCGGTTCAACACCAACACGGTCCAAAAAATAACAAGGTCCAACACCAACACGGTCCAACACCAACACTGACAAACGCGGTTTAACACCGACACGGTCCAAAAAATTACAAGGTCCAACACCAACGCGGCCCAACACCAACACGGTCCAACACCAACACGGTCCAACACCAACACGGTCCAACACCAACACGGTCCAAAACCAACACGGTCCAAAACCAACACGGTCCAACACGGTCCAACACCAACACGATCCAAAACTAACACATCCTTGTCCAAGTCCAACAATAGTAAATCTGTCGCAAGAATCCAGTTTTTTGATTATAGCTAAGATATTATTAAGATATTTTTAATAATTATAGTAAACCGCCCTGTCCCAGGTAAACCACCCTGTCCCAGATAAACCGCCCTGTCCCAGGTAAACCGCCCTGTCCCAGGTAAACCGCCCTGTCCCAGATAAACCGCCCTGTCCCAGGTAAACCGCCCTGTCCCAGGTAAACAGCCCTGTCCCAGGTAAACAGCCCTGTCCCAGGTAAACCGCCCTGTCCCAGGTAAACCGCCCTGTCCCAGGTAAACCGCCCTGTCCCAGGTAAACCGCCCTGTCCCAGATAAACCGCCCTGTCCCAGGTAAACCGCCCTGTCCCAGGTAAACCGCCCTGTCCCAGGTAAACCGCCCTGTCCCAGGTAAACCGCCCTGTCCCAGGTAAACCGCCCTGTCCCAGGTAAACCGCCCTGTCCCAGGTAAACCGCCCTGTCCCAGGTAAACCGCCCTGTCCCAGGTAAACCGCCCTGTCCCAGGTAAACCGCCCATGTCAATTTCACTGTGACAAATGTTTCTTACACTTTTTTTGTTTGTTTGATTCTTGTACTTTTAACCTTGTTTTATGTTTGTACTAAATGGATCTGAATCTGAACACCGACCAACACCAACACAGCTGAACACAGTCCATACCTGAACATTGAAGAACTGTCTCGGGGTGACGTCGTTGTAGGAGCCCAGCACTGTAGAACAGAACAACAGTTACATCCACAGGTGGACACTGAGGGCATTGATCCAGAACCATCTGCTCTGACCTCGGTACTCGTACAGGTGGCTGTCAGGGACTGGTCTCCTCCACACTTTGAAGTCTTTCTTGTCCATCACTATCTCCCAGTCCTGCTCTGAGAAACTGGCTGCTTTCTCCGAGGTCGGACGTGTCACCGAGTCCAGGGCCTGCAGCTCCAGTCCACATCTGGACAGGTCAAAGGTCAGAGGTTGGAGGTCAAGAGACAGGCATCATGTACCGTACCATACCATGTGATAATGCACACAATAGTTGTGCTTCTGACAGTAACATGGTTCTCCTTCATAGATTATTTCTCTCGCTCCGGCCTCTCTCTCTCTCTCTCCCTCCCTCTCCCTCTCCCTCTCTGGCCTCCCTGGCCGGTCTCTCCGGTCTCTTTCTCCCTCTCCGGTCTCTCTCTCCCTCTCCGGTCTCTCTCTCCCTCTCCGGTCTCTCTCTCCCTCTCCGGTCTCTCTCTCCCTCTCCGGTCTCTCTCTCCCTCTCCGGTCTCTCTGGGATAGTGTTACCTCTGTATCTCGTCGTCTTGGATCTTCTCGCTATCCCACATGAAGACTCCGGCCAGAGCAGCTAGCAGGCGTCCGCTGGAGTGTCTGCTCTGAAACGTGCGCCACATGGTCCCCACCAGGTTCCGCTTTGTCCGATCAGAGTAAATGTTGGAATACAGCTGTCCCACCTGCCACGCTCGCCGCAGCCTCTGCCCCGTCACAAAGCCACAGTGGTCAGCTAAGATGGACAGTAACCCCCTGCACCTGGAGGCCTCACCAGAACCTCCTGTGGAACCTCCTGCTCTCTGTAGCCATGTGAGGAGCAGTCCTATGTTCTCCTTCAGCCATGGCGTCTCCTTTAACTTGGCTGTAGCGGACTCCACTGAGCGGCTGAAGCTGCGGGCGCTCGGACATCTGAGAGCACTCATCTCACACAGCGACCGTCGAGGCACAGACTGAAACATCGGGACAAACACCAACTCCTAGAGCACCAAGACCAGCACCAGCACGAGTCCCAACCCGGACCTGAGGCTGCGGTCAACCTCTCTGTGAACACAGAAGATCAGAACTGTTGTTTTGGTGCAGCTCTCCAAGCCCTAAAGGTGAGGTACGTGACATCTAATAATAACACGTCTCCATCTTACATTTGTTGAAATCTTTTGCATGAGAGTCACGAGCTCTGAGTGAAAGGTTGACGGTTTGAATCCTGCTTGTGACACTGGTAGAGTTCTTTGTGTGTGTTTGTATGTGTATCTCAATTTTTTCACTTTTCTGACTGAATATGCGGGGACAGAGGCCAGAAATACATGATGTGGAAACTAGTGATAGAAGAAACTGGTTTAGAGCGAGCAACTAGTTATATATTGTTATTTAGGGTCGGCACCACCGCTTTAACAGAATTGTCGAACAGTTTAGCAACAGACTCACACAGATTACAAATTAGAACAATTAGAACTTTCATGAAATAGACGAACGAGGAGGACTTAACCAAATGGTAAATACAAACGTATCCCGGAGACACACACAGAGGTCCACTCCGCACACGGCTCGCTGCTGTAGCATGGATGTGACTGTTAGCTAACACACACACACACAGCTGCTTTCCCAAGAACAACTGTAACATCAGACAGCACACAGTGACTGTTCAGAACCCATATGTGTGTTTGATGCTCTAACCTTTGAATGGATCGGTCAAATTTCCTCGCGTTTCCACAGTTTACTGAAGACGTTTGACCTCCACACTTCCGACAGGCTCAGGCTGACCACGCCCACACGGAAGTCACGACCCACTCCCCTTCAACGTCAGCGCTGATTGGATAGACGCCCTTTAAGATCTCTGGTGATTGGACAAAACACCACTCCGTTATAAATAACTGTTTTAATGTGTCTCTTATTTTTTATTCTCATGATTCTGAAGAGCGAGGATAGAACTACGAATCCCCGTTAGTGAAATGCAAGTGTCCAGCAGCAGAAACACACCCTCCCATATGTAATCCATATGTGTTATAAACACGTAATTGTATAATTCCAAATGTCAAAACAGTGCAGCAGCCCTCCCGCCCTCAGATTCCAAGTAGCGCTCCCAGTGGTCACTTTACACACTACAGACCTCGTCACGTGGTGTCGCTGTGATGGATGGAAATAACAATGCACATATGAATGAAGTTATACTGAGGTTTAAAGCATATGGAGAGAAAGACTTTATCACCATAAATTATACATGTTTGTCCCGAGTCTTGTAAGAGTTTGACGTGGTGCATGCTTATGAGTAGTGGCTTGGGGTTTGAAAGTTAAGTTCCCCATAGTACACCCACATAGTAAAACCACCCACATAGTCCACTCATGACTCCCATACATACTCCTGGCTGAATACATTATAAAAATAAAAAACATGTATGATGCCACTAGATGGCGCCATGTTACGTGTACAATCAGACAATAGTAAAAGGGAAAAAGTATATCTCCTCTCTCATCTCAGTTCATGTTACAAATGCAAAGGTCTCTGGTCTCTTGTGTCTCTTTGTCTCTTGTCTCTGGTCTGGTTTCTTCTCTGGTACCTGCGGTCTCTGGTCTGGTCTCTTGTCTCTGATTGAGTCCGTTCCTGTGCTTCCTGTGGTACAGTGTTGTTCCTCAGGAATAGGGCAGGAGACTGGTCATAGCATGATTGTTAGAATGATCCATTTACTTGGTTTTTTTTTTGTGTGGATGGATTTGTTTTTGCTGCTACTGGACACCTTTCTTCTACGGGGAATCAATAAAGTATCTATCTATCTGTGTATCTATACCAGACCATCATATAAATGTATAATGATTGACCAGAGTTTACGGATGGCTAAGGCCCGGCTAGGGCAGGATAAAAGTATATAGAGTGACATTCTGAAATGCAGTATTGCACATGGCACATACAGTGTATATTAAGTGTCAAAACACTTGACCCCACTTTGCCTGAAGCTCCCACTGAAAGATCAAGGCTGTGCTCTCTCCAACAGAGCAGCCTCCTGTGGACTCACCACCTGCAGGAGGATCAGTGAGGGGCTGGTGCTCTGACTGCCACCCCCGATCCAGAAATGGATCAAGGGGAAGAGGATGAATGGATGAATGGACATGGTTACAATATTGACTATTATTTACCGATGAGATGAATGACATGTACAGACTCAGCAGTACAGACTGAGGAGGCCGGGCAGAGCCTCCTCAGTCTCTTCAGGTAGAGCCTCCTCAGCAGTAGATCCTCCTCAGCAGTAGATCCTCGTACGCACAGGACGCCACCACCACATATACATTTTCCTTTCGCAGGTTTTTTTTTTACAACACTATGACTATAGACAACTTCATCTGTCTCTGATCGGGTCTCTCGGGGGCGTGGTCTCTTCAGGGCGGGTCTTATGCTGAGGGCGGGTCACTCTGGTCTGAGCCGGTTCAGCACTTCCGGTCCCGCGTGAGCCTCAGAGCAGAGAGGCTTCATTCAGTTTGGACCAGACAAGAGATCATCCTCACGGACTCGGACTTGGATTCGGACTCGGAGACCTGGACTCAGATCGGTCCGTGTTTGGATCAGTTGTACTGAGGCGGCAGGAGGAAGTTTCCATTGATCTCCGTTATCCCGCCCAGTGCTTTGGAGCGCGCGGACCATCTTCATCATCATCATCTGGTGAGTCCGGAACACTTTACTACAGCTGCTATCATTACAGTTGTAGTAAACTAAGAAAAACAGCTGTATAACTACAGCTGTTATAATTGCACATCTGTATTCTACAGCTGTATTACGCCGTAAAGGAGCCTGTACTGCTGCGGTGTTAGTGTTTAGAGAGTAATGCACTGGTGCCGTTAAACCCGGTGTAGAGACGCGGCCCTGAGGCACGTTCTGTAAAGCCCATATCGTCGTAAAACGACGACAGTCTGTCACCGTTAGTAAAGTAGGTGCGTCACTGGGAACCGCGTGAATGACGGCACGTGCGGCGCACGCAGATGACGTTTTCTCTAATATATACTGTCTGTTTAAGAGCAGACTGTACCAGACACGTGACATATGTTTGTTTGTTTTAACCTGAGCGCGCGACACGAGCCAATATGGCTCTTCTTGATTCATTATGAACAGCCGCTTCCGGTCTGACGTCACTCTGTGTTCAGTCTGTATCATAGATCTGTTCTAACCCGTGTCCCTGTTTCCCTGTCCCAGATGCACAGCTGCACCATGGCCTCCTCACTCTCCACCACTGAGCTCCAAACTAAAGACAACAGATTAATAATGACAGGATAACATTAGTCTGAGTATCTCTGAGTCCAGACTGTAGCAGTATTTATTTATTTAAGGTGCTCTGACAGACCTATATTGTTAAATAACTAAAGTAAATTATAAAGTATTATAATGGATTCCACAACTGCGACTACGGTCCTCCTGCTGCTCGCCACCTCCTCTGGAGCTGTGGTCGACACTCCTCTGAGCGCCTACATGTGGCTCCTCATCGTGGGCTTCATCATCGCTTTTGTCTTGGCCTTCTCTGTGGGCGCCAACGACGTGGCAAACTCCTTTGGCACCGCGGTGGGCTCGGGAGTGGTCACGTTACGACAGGCCTGTATCTTAGCCACAGTGTTTGAGACTTTGGGCTCAGTGCTCCTTGGCGCCAAAGTGAGCGAGACGATCCGGAAGGGCATCATCGACGTGGGAATGTACAACGGCTCGGAGCAGGTGCTGATGGCGGGCTCTGTTAGCGCCATGGTGGGCTCTGCGGTGTGGCAGCTGGCGGCCTCCTTCCTCAAACTCCCCATCTCTGGGACGCACTGCATCGTGGGAGCCACCATCGGCTTCTCGCTGGTAGCCAGAGGGCAGCAGGGCGTCAAGTGGTTTGAACTGCTCCGCATCGGTGAGTGCTGTTTAAAGAGTGGGAACTGGCACAAAAGTGACAATTCCATAGCGCAATATTTGGTCCACAATTCAGTATTATTGCGATTCTTCACATATTGTGATTGGATTCTGTGATATATTCATGTCTCTCATATTATTCAAAAGCAAACATGGAGGAAAATAAGACTCATGAACTGAAGTCCAAAACCACGACAAGCACCACCTTCAGATGTAATAAATGTGTTACAGGGACACGTGTTAGAACAGAAAACACAATGAAACTAACTGAAACAGATAATTATTTTATTAAATATAGCAATACTTTGCTCCACTGTATCGATTCAATTGTGATTAATGAATCCCATTGGTTTATTTTTATCGGTCCGCCCGAAAATATTATTTGATTTATTTTTATAGACTAAAGGCATCTGGTCAATTCCATTACTACTTGAAAACACATGATAATTTGACTACTTTTAGGGTTTAGGGACGTTTTTCCACAATATTGAAACTATGCGTCTGGAAAAAAATGACTGACTGCTTCTTTAGATAACATATCCTGTTTGTGTGTAATCTGAGTTATTTCCTCGTTATTCTCCTGTAATGTGCAATGATGACATTCAAACTTTCCCACTGTGGGACGAATGAAGGTCTATCTTATCTCAAGTCCATGTGACCTTGTGTTGCAGTGGCCTCCTGGTTCCTCAGCCCTCTGCTCTCTGGTGTCACGTCTGGAATAGTGTTTTACTTTGTTCGAATATTTATCCTTCAGAAGGTAATGTTGATCTTCTTCAGAGTGTTCAGTCCAACCCTGACCCTCTGATATTTACACTTTTGCAGAAGAACCCTGTCCCCAACGGATTAAAGGCTCTGCCTGTTTTCTATGCCTTAACGATGGGAATCAATCTGTTCTCCATCCTGTTCACCGGAGCTCCGGGTGAGTGGCATTGTGTGTCATTGTGTGTCCTTTAGCGCTGCATGCCTGAGCACAGCCGCAGACGTGTTTACCTCAGACTGTGGATACACACACTGCCCCAGACACTCAAACACTCTCTCGCACACACACACACACACTGCCCCAGACATAAACTCTCTCTCTCACACACACACACACACTGCCCCAGATGTGTTTACCTCGGACTGTGCTCTTAAACATGTTTTTGTGGTGGATGTGGGTCTTAGCTGCAGTTTCAGCACAGACACAACGGAGTCATGGAAATAGTTACAGTTTGGTCTTTATTTCAGAGTTTGCAGAAGGAACTGGGTGTTGGTCATAGATTCATTGCACAAAACAAGTACAGAAGTCATCTCTGAAAATAATCCCAGTTTTAAACAAGACACTTCACTACAGAGCCTTAACTGGCCTTCTCTCACTAGTGTTAAAACTGTTCCCTCAGACTCTGCTCGGTCTCTTGAGTTGCACCGTCGTCAGTTCTTCCTCAGTCTCGTTCTCTTCTCGTGTCGTTTTAGGAGAAGCACTTTATGTTCAACCAAAACCTCACCCTGTAATGTGATTAGATGCCTGGTATTCACCCTAATTCCAGAGCTGAGAATAGGACCAAAGCAGCTTTAGTGTTCTTGTAAAGGTCCCATATTTTGCTGCCTGCGAGGCCTGCAGGGCGGGGCGGGGCGGGGCGAGGCCTGCGGGGCGAGGCCTGCGGGGCGGGGCTTTTTGCCGCTTGGACTCTGCCCTGAAGCTAAATTCTACATTCTCTTTAGTCAAGGTCGTTCATTAAGGTTAAATGTTAAAGGTTAAGGTTCATTTTATTTCTCTCCGTCCTGCGGCTTTACTGTCGTCAGGAGCAGTGGTGGCAGACTGCAGCAGTGCTTCTGCTGACTCAGTCTTTGACAAAGATGTCCGCCTCCTTTGGGGAATAAACCTATAGTTGAAGCTGCATTACTCTATCTCCAGCTGTACTGCAGTCTTGGCTCACACAGAACACTGCCTCCTCCTCTTCCTCCAGGAACCTGGTCCAGTGGAAGAATACCTTTTATTCTCATCACACATACCTTTCCCTCTTCAGTCATTTCCTCTTGTACGTCCTGTCTGTATCCCTCTGAATGTTAAATTTCCTGTTTTTGTGTTTTTTGTTCAGTGCTTGGATTTGACAAGTTCCCGTGGTGGGGGCTCCTCCTGATCTCTGTGGGCTGCTCATTACTCACTGCTGTCATTGTGTGGTTTATAGTCTGCCCCTTCCTCAAGAAGAAGATAGAAAGTAAGTCCTGATAATGTTAATATACTGTCAATGAACATATAATGTTTCCCATCACCTCATGCGGCCAGAGAGTGTCATCTCATCTTCTCTTGGTTGAAGTTATTTGGTTCTTCTACACCAGACAGATTGTCTCACTCTGCTCCTCTTGTAGGAGACGTCAAATCCTCCAATCCTGTAGAGAGTCCTCTGATGGAGAAGCGGGAGCTCTCTGAAGCTCCTGCTGCAGACCAGGCCTCTGCTGCTGTAGACCAGGCCTCTGCTGCTGCAGACCAGGCCTCTGCTGCTGTAGACCAGGCCTCTGCTGCTGTAGACCAGGCCTCTCTTGCTGCAGACCAGGCCTCTCCCGCTGCAGAGCCCCAGGAGGAGGAGGGGGAGGAGCACAGGGTGTCATGTGACATCAGTGGTGGTGAAGCTGCGGACAGTAATAAAGAACGCAGAGTGGCGTTTAACATCGGAGAGTCAGACGCTGAAGACGACAGTGACGGCGGTGAGCAGTGTTTAGTGTTATTTTTCTTAGAGACGAGCATTCGTCTGGACTCTGTTTTTTCAAGCTTTTTAGCTTTGAAACTTTGTCCAGAAGGTTCTGATGTATTTGTAAAAAGGTTGTTGTCATGGGTGAAACATACAGACTTTGTGGATCTGTCATTGTAATGTGTTTCTGTCTCTAGTCCTGGACCAAGTCCAGTCCAACAACCAGCTGAACCAGCAGCACTCGCTCTGCAACGGCTCCTCTAACGTCTCCCACCAGGCGCAGTTCAGCAACCGGCCGGCTCAGGCGCCCAGTAACGGGTACTCGCAGTACCACACTGTGCACAAAGACTCGGGCCTCTACAAGGACCTGCTGCACAAGCTGCACCTGGCCAAAGTGGGCGACTGCATGGGGGAGGGCGGCGAGCGCATTAGGAGGAACAACAGCTACACCTCCTACACCATGGCCATCATCGGGATGCACGGGGACTTTAGGCACCGAGAACCAGACTTCAGAGCTGAGGGTAGAGACAGAGCCAGTGCGGCAGGAGGCGTCAGGAAGCGCATCCGCATGGACAGCTACACCAGCTACTGCAACGCTGTAGCAGAGAACACGGCTCCTGAGGGCCTGGCGGAGGGAGAGGTTGTGGTGGAGCTGGGGCAGAGCAGCACTCAGAGCTCTGTGGACGATGATGGCCCAGAGGCCGACAAGCCTGAGGTCTCTATCCTCTTCCAGTTCCTTCAGATCCTCACTGCCTGCTTTGGTTCCTTTGCTCATGGAGGAAACGATGTGAGGTACGAGACTTCTCAGTCGCAGGATCCAATGGTTCCATGCTACGCACAATAATACATTACATCTCTATTGCACTACACTGGTCCCTCCCTTTTAGCTGTTTCACTGATGGCGCTTCTCATGAGCCGCGTGTTCACTCCAACATCATAAAACACTAGTATAACATGTTACTTTTATTTGAAGTTAGAGATCTCTCTCTCTTTAGGTGGTTAGAAAAGTGTTAAGTGTGAAGGTTTTACAGCCTTAAACCAAACCGCTGCTACTGAGAGGATTTACATTATTGTGGGTTGTTTTTAGAACACATCACCCCTGTCATAAACCAGGTGTTAAAGGGACATCTACAAACTCATTTCTTGAGTTAACTACCACTTGCACAAAGTTTTAACTGAATACAGATGGAGCTCTGTGATGTTGTAGTTCTGTGTGTTCTGCAGTAATGCCATTGGCCCGTTGGTGGCGCTGTGGCTGGTCTACACCACGAGCAGTGTGAACTCAACAAATCCCACCCCGGTCTGGTTGCTGCTGTACGGAGGAGTGGGCATCTGTGCTGGACTCTGGGTCTGGGGTCGACGAGTCATGCAGACCATGGGCAAAGACCTCACCCCCATCACCCCCTCCAGGTCAGCTCTAACGCAGCTCTCTTTTTTCGTATTATTAAACGGAATTTCCGCATCGGTGAACACACTCGAAGCAGTTGCATAAGGTCACGGGAGCATGACAACGCATATTTTCACAAGCACAGAGTCCCCCATTGTCAACCCTGGTTTGAGTTCTGGTGAAGTCTGGTGTGGGTCCTGTTTTGGCTGTTTAAGAGTATTTTCGGTCTGCTCGCTCAGTCCGCTAATGTCCCCGTGACCACTTTGCTGCTCTCTGATTGGTTGCCGCACGAACGTCCCAAGGAAAGGATGAGCAGAATCCATCTCCTGTGGGCGTTGATTTTTCGAACGTGCGCCACCATAGACTTTGCATTGAAACCCGACGCAACGCATGATCCGTTCTGAAAGCACCATAACGCAGCTCTAACGCAGCTCTAACTCCTGTGTTTATGTCTCTCTTGCAGCGGCTTCAGTATTGAATTGGCATCAGCTCTGACCGTCGTGATCGCATCAAACATTGGTTTACCAGTGTCCACAACGCACTGCAAGGTCAGCTCCCTGTAGGTCAGCTCCCTGTGGGTCAGCTCCCTGTGGGTCAGCTCCCTGTGGGTCAGTCCCCTGTGGGTCAGTCCCCTGTGGGTCAGTCCCCTGTGGGTCAGCCCCCTGTGGGTCAGCCCCCTGTGGGTCAGTCCCCTGTGGGTCAGTCCCCTGTGGGTCAGCCCCCTGTGGGTCAGCCCCCTGTGGGTCAGCCCCCTGTAGGTCAGACCTAAGACAATGAAAAGTAGACTGGTTTTGACTTTCCTTCAAATTGACCACAAATTGGATTGGACCACAGCTCTCTGCTGCAGTGTGATTGGACCACAGCTCCTTGCTGCAGTGTGATTGGATCACAGCTCTTTGCTGCAGCGTTATTGGACCACAGCTCCTTGCTGCAGTGTGATTGGATCACAGCTCTGCTGCAGTGTGATTGGATCACAGCTCTCTGCTGCAGTGTGATTGGATCACAGCTCTCTGCTGCAGTGTGATTGGATCACAGCTCTCTACAGTTGGTGTCCACCCATTGACCCAATAGACCATGATCAAAAGCTCAAGTCCCTGTTATGACAATGCTGCTCCTCCCTCTCTCCCCTCATCTTCCTCTTCCTCCTTAGGTTGGCTCGGTGGTTGCAGTTGGATGGATGCGTTCTCGTAAAGCGGTGGATTGGCGTTTGTTCAGAAACATCTTCATGGCGTGGTTTGTCACGGTCCCCATCTCCGGCCTCATCAGTGCCGCCATCATGGCTGCCTTCATCTACAGCCCCCTGCTCTAGGATCACCTTGAACCCAAGGACCTGAACGGTGCTGTGTCTGACCTTTGAGAGTCCAGGGGCCAGAGGTGAGACCCACATGGCTCTGACCTTTGACCTCTGGCTCATTGGGAGATTCACTTTAGGGAGTTTTGTTCCTAAACATTTCCACATCTTTGCATTTTCATTTGCTGTCTTTTTTTAAAAACATTTTTACATGCTTTGTTTAGGTGTGACTGTGTGTGTGTGTGTGAATGTGTGTATGTGTGTTTTCTCTCCACGTGCTGAAACTTGAGTCCTCGTTTAACTGATGAACACTCAGCTGCAGAGTTTGAGTTTTGCTCTTAGACCTTTTTAAAGCCACTGTGCGTAAATGTAGACAGTGGCTTCAGTGGGCGTGGCCTCAGAGGTTCCTTGATCAAACCTGTATTTAATAAGTGCTTTTTCCAGCAGCAGAACTAAATGCGTTTAGACCTGAATCTGTAGATTCTGTAGATGCCTTAAGTTTTCGTTCCTTTAGGTACCAAAGATGTTTTTATGCAGATTAACATGAAAATGTGAAAAAATAAATAAAAGTAAAGTGTAATAAAAAAAGGTAAACGTTTTTTCTGTGGTCATTAATTCATAAATGGTCTGTTTCTTACATACAGAGCTATTATATTATAATATTCATACAGGTCAGGTTTACAACCATAAACAAAGAATTGATTTTTATTTCTTGACTGAAAGTTTAAACAAGTAACAGACTGTAAAAGAGAAAGTACAATGATTCATTATTTTGTTTTCATAAAAGTTGGTTCTGCGCCAGTTCATTCAGCAGTTAGTACGGACTCTAGCTCAATCACAGACTCTGTGCGACTGTTTCCCATGATCCTCAGCAGCAATACGTCTGGTTTCTGACCAGTGTCCCCTGTTCCATCTGTTGAGGTGGACGGCCGTGTCTTGGTAAGTTAGCAGTGTATTTCCAAATGATGGATTAAACAGTGGTTTGTGAGCTCTTCACATCCAGGAATAACACTGACCTCTGGTTTCTCCTTCATAATGTCCTTTATCCTTCATAATGTTGTTTACTGACGACACTCAGGCCTCAGAGTGGTTATTGAGAGATCACACACAGAAGCATCTGTTTCATCATTAGAGCCAGGAACATGCAGTCATTATGACTGTTTTAAAGGCTTTAATGCAAACACCTGTATAAACATTGTTGCAGGACCAACTTTAAAATAAAAACAATCAATTCTTTTACTTTCACTTTAGTCATCTGATTCTTGTGTGATCTTTCTGAAACAATAAAATGGTTCAAAATGTTTATGGTGTATACCTGAGAACATTGAAAGCTGTGTACTTTTGGGGCTCTGTAGTGACTCATTTCTGAGCTTTTAGGGAGGACCACCCTCACTCAGCCCAAAGTGTCAAAAAGTGACTCAGGGCTCTCACAAGAATGGAAAGGACACAGACATGAAACTGATGCAGAGGTGGGAGAGCTCTTTAATGTCCCAGACAGACGCATATACAGGGACAGACCCAGTGGGGGCGATGGCTCAGTCACTGTCTTCCATCTGTGACAGAAAAACAACATAAAAGCAGCTGACACAGTGTGGTCAGGGTTCAGGACGATTCAGGTCAAATGATGAATAACATGTTTTGAGTCTGGTTTGGGCTGAAGTTGCAGTAAGTGTGAACCTTCTGAACCAGACTGTGGCTCTGGTTTGATGGTTTGTTGTCCTTCTGATTCTTTTCAAAAACACTTGAGCAGGTGCCGTGACCAGAGTCACAGAAATGTGAAGACCAACTCACCGGCTGAACCCTGACCTCCTCCTGAGACCAGTCAGACGCCTCCTCTGTTAAATCAACAAAACACCATCATCAAACAAGAGAGACCAAAGAGAAAGACTGGAGTGAAACCATAGTCAGAGAAGATAGAGAGACCAGAGAGAGAGAGAACATAGAGAGAGACAAGAGAGAAACCAGAGATAGACAATAGAGAGAGAGACCAGATAGAGAGACAAGAGAAAGACCGAAGAGCAACTGGAGAGAGACAAGCGAGAGACCAGAGGGAGATTTCAGAAGATGTTTGTTTCTCACCAGAATGCCTGGCAGCTTCTGTCACAGTCTGCATCACTTCTGTAAACAAAGACTAAAATGACACAAAGAAAAATAAAAGACATGTGTTCTGCAGCAGCAGTGGCCAAGTCTTATCCATGTGTAAACTCTGGTCCACGATCATTTCCTACATGTACCTCTGGGTCTAATCCTAGTGGCTGCAGTTTCCTTGAATCCCCTCCGACCAATCAGAGAGCGGGGGAGGCGGGTGTTGTACCCCAGAGAGAGACCAGAGTGACCCCAGAGAGACACAAGCGAGAGACCAGAGACCCCAGAGAGACACAAGCGAGAGACTAGAGACCCCAGAGAGACACAAGCGAGAGACACCAGAGAGAGACAAAAGAGACCAGACCAGACAGGATCTGCTGCTGCTCCATTGTCTCATTTCACACAAAGAATAGAAGGACCAGAGTAAATGTGACTCACCGCAGCTGTCTCTCTGCGCCTCTGAAACACACACAACTGTAAGACTCACATTAAGGCTCTAACTCTATTCTATTTCTAACTAAATGAATTACACATTTTGTTTATTGTAACACAACAATCTTGTAAAAGTAACATGTCTCCATCTTAAAAAAGATCCCTGTGAGTCACTGTCTGACTCTGTGGGCTGAGAGCTGATTGGTCGAGGGAGGGGGGTCCTCTCTTTGTCACTTTTCTGTCTGAAAAAGCTGATCTAAAGATGTGACATCACAAAAACATGATGTGAAAACAGAGATGGAACTGTTTTAGAGCCGTGGACTGGAGACATTACCACAGACTGTAATTAGATTATTTGTGGTGTGAAAATTAAGTCCCTCGGCTTTAAAAGAGATTACATTAGACTACATTGGACTTACCCACGTGGCGGCCATCTTCATTATCATCTTCATCATCATCGTCATCCTCAGTCACCGTCACTTCAAAGGAAAAAGGAGAAGTCTTAACACACTTTCTAATTCAGACTTTTTTTTAATGAACACACCCACACAGACAGACATACACTGACAGACACACACACAGACGCACAGAGACACACACACACACACACACAAATAGACACACACAGACACACACACACACATAGACGACAGACAGACACACACAAACACACACGCACACACAGCCTGATCTGAAACCTTCACAGACACAAGGAGAACATGCAAACTCACAAGTTCATTTAAAGACTTTTTGTAACAAAGGAAACTGCAGAACTTTAAGTTCTTTAATGAAGAGATAGAGGCTCATGTTTGTTTTCTGTCAGAGCGCCCCCTGCAGCAGGAAACTGGTATGTTTATGTGAACTGACAAATAGTTAATGTGAGGGTGAGGACTTTACCGCTGACAACGATCACATCTTCTTTCTGAGCTGCTTCAAACTGCTCCAACTCTGAGACAGATGAGACATCACAACAACGGCAGGGAGAGGGGGAGGGAAAAGGGGGAGCGAGAGGGGAAGAACAGTGTGCAGCAGTGAATATTAAACTCCAGTTTAACATAAACACACACAAAAAGAGAGACAGACAGACAGAAAGTGTAATGGTCCTCTCCTGGTACATACCTTCCTGGTGTCCTGCGTTCTCTTTCTGAACAGCCTCAAACTCTCTCTGATCTGAACAGAACAAGACCCTGAGTCTGAGCACAGCTTGGACCACATCATGCCGTCTTTGTCTCATTAGAAAACATATCTGTCAGAGTGACCCCTGTGAGTCACTATCTGCCTCTTTGGGCTGAGAGTTGATTGGCTTAATGAAGGTGGTCCTCTCTTTGATCTAAACATGTGGCATCACAAATACATGACGTGAAACTAGAGACAGAAGCAACTGTTAGCTCAGGATGATGCACATCATATAAAAGGCTTCATGTCTGCTGACCACCAGGGCTCCACCCCCTGGTGGTCAGCAGGAGTACTGCACACATACCTCTCTCCTGGAGCTTGGTGTCTGCAAGAAAAAACGTCATTAATGACGTCATCTTAATCACTTAGCACTTAGAAATACAGCACACAGCCGTTAGAGAGATTTCACAACTTTAACAATAAATATGTCGCCACTGGTCATGAGGGAGCAGCGTCTGCAGTCAGAGCTCTACCCACACCTATGGTTTTGAGGGAACAGCATCTGCAGTCAGAGTCCTAATGTAAAAGCTTCTGCTTCTGGGAGTTCCATTTTCACAATGTAACACATGTACTTTTAGGGACTGTGTGAATTGTGAATAAACTAAACTAAGTCCCCTCCCTCATCACTGCTCTCAAAGAGATAGAGGAGCTCAGAGTAGCGCTGCTGCTCCCTCAGAGTTTAGCTGAGGTCAGTTTGAGCAGACTTGCAGAAGTTTCTAACGTTGTTAAAAGCACAAACAATAAGAGTGTTGAATAGTAAACGCAGATTACCATGAAGCGACCCTTTGTCCAGAGACACAGACAGAACTGAAACAACGGCAAACACTGTGATCATGTGGAACAAGAGGATGATAATAACAACAATGACAATAATAATAATAATAATAAGAATAATAATAGCAGTTGCTCTCACCGCTGTGACACACAGCCACACACAGCGCCGCGCTCAGGAATCTCATCTTCAAAAATGAACTGGAAACTGACGGATGTGTTTTGGTGCAGAGGCTTTTATCTGCCTCAGTCACATGTGCAGCCGGGACCCGTGATACCAGGACCCGGCTCTACGGCCCCTGGTACCTGTGCGACATCAGAGACATCACAGAGACATCAGTCTTCTCAGAACACAGGCCTTTGTGAAGCTCAGTCACGTGACACAAACAGCCGCAGTACTGTGACGTCAACACAACAACACACTCAAAATGTATCATCCACATTTATTTTGAACATTAATTATTTATTATCCACAATAATCATTTATCATTCACATTCTGAGACAAATGTTAAGTTCCTCAGTCACAGATCTTTCACTTTAGTGTTGATAAAGTTGTGTTTCTGTGGTTTTTGAGTCTGAGGACAGTGTTCCCGCTCCCCATGGACCAATGTCTGTGTTTCTTATTATTGCACTTCCTCTGTTGGAACGATTTGATTCTCTGATCTGTTGTCGGTAAATCCACAACTTTGTAAAGACTGAGGCGACGGCAGTGATCGAGGGCGAGACACAGAAAACATGTTTTTGAGTCTAGTCTTTTTTTACTGCTGCTACTGACGCATAATAATCAGAGACATTTTACCATCAACCTGAGGAAACCACAGACCCGGGTCCGGACCCTGAGGATCTGTTTCAGTGCATCATTTTGGACCGGTTAGTGATTGGTCAGGGCTCTTCCTAGTTGGTGATCGGTCAGAGCTCTCCTCGTAGACGCATGTGGAGGTCTTCCTGGTCCACCTTCCCGCTCTGTTGGTGCCAGCGGTGATGAGCGAGTAACGCCACGTTCCTGGCGGAGATGGCGCTCATCTCCATGGCGCTGGCGGCCCACTCCAAGGCGTTGAGGTAGTACACACGCTCATGCAGGATGAAGGGGGGGGGCTTCCTCTGCAGAGCGGAGTATGAGGGATAAGCTAACCAGCGAGTCTCGGACTTGGAGTCCCAGGACAGGAACATGCTCTGCAGCTGCTGCTGCGTCAGTGGCTCTGAGGAGAACACTTTCCAGACCTTCTGCTGGTCTCCAGGAGGTCGTCTGTATCCAGGCGGGACGTGCACAGGGTCCAGGGCGTTGAGGGAGCTGAGGGAGCGTTCTGAGGCAGTGGTAAGGACCTCTGAGACCCTGAACTCTGAGGAGCTGCAGCCCAGAAAGGACACGTTCAGGCGCCCGTGCACCAGAGTGGACACCGTCTGGTGGAAGCGTCCGGGGAAGTGTGAGGGGACGGAGGGCGAGAACCCTGAGAAGCTGATGTCAGACATCCCAGAATGCAGTGGGGTCGCAATTATTACGATGTCATACAAGGAGTGGGAGGCTCCGCCCTCCCCCACAGAGTTCACCTCATAGAAGCTGCCGGCAGCACCTGCAACAGAGGTCAGAGGTCATAGACCTCGCTTTACAGAGGCTTAATGTTCATGAACATTATCTGGTACCTGTGAGCAGTGGTATCTGTGTGGAGAGTGGTACCTGTGTGCAGTGGTACCTGTGTGCAGTGGTACCTGTGTGCATTGTTACCTGTGTACAGTGGTATCTGTGTGGAGAGTGGTACCTGTGTGCAGTGGTACCTGTGTGCAGTGGTACCTGTGTGCAGTGGTACCTGTGTGCAGTGGTACCTGACTTGGACGGCCGCAGCTTCAGAGACACAGACGTCACTCTCTCTTTGATCACGACACTTTTACTGTTGTACAACAAACCAGAGCAGACTCTTTTATTCCCTCCATCCACTGCCCACAGCCCAGGGCCTGCTCCGGCTAATGCTACTGCACCTGTGTACACAGGGTCAGGGGTCAGAGGTTAATGCTACTGCACCTGTGTACACAGGGTCAGGGGTCAGTGGTTTGGCTAATGCACCCGTGTACACAGGGTCAGGGGTCAGAGGTTAATGCTACTGCACCTGTGTACACAGGGTCAGGGGTCATAGAGAGGAAAGAGAGAAAAGCCACAGCCCCTGTCCAACACACAGGTTGCACAGGGTCAAAGGGTCAGAGGCAGGGGTCAGAGGTCACAGACCCACAAAGCCGTGGATGCGGACGTTCTGGCCGTAGTTGACCCGAGTCACGGGCTCCACCAGGTCGTTGATGAAGGTCTGAGAGAAACCCTCTGAGATCATGGCCTCCTGCAGCGTCTGGTTCTTCAGACTCAGGAAGTGCTCTCCCCCCATGGCATGAAGCAGTCTGTCCACGCTGGTGAAGGAGTACCCGAACTGCTGGTACTGGTAGATCCTGCACACATCATTCTTTACTTACTTCCTGAAAATGTGAGACAGGCTCCTCCTCTGTTCCATTTCGCTGTAACGGGGGTGGGATTGTATCTCTACTCTGCGCAGAGTAGAGTAGAGTAGAGTAGAGTAGAGTAGAGTAGAGCAAGTAAGTAATCTTTGTTTATATACCGCCTTTGACAGACCAGAGTCTCAAAGCGGTTTACAATTGTCATATTTTGGGCATTAGTCTCTCACTCCACACAGAGATGGGAGGGGCCAGTACAGGAGGCGCATGCCAGACCTATTGTGCATGTTTTTAGTGGTAGGGGAAACCGCAGCACCCGGAGGAAACCTACGCAGACACGGGGAGAAAGTGCAAACTCCACTCAGAAAGGCCCTGGTCCGACCGGGATTCGAACCCAGGACCTTCTTGCTGAGAGGCGAGAGTGCTATCCACTCAGCCACCGTACCGTACCGTACCGTACCGTGCCGTGCCGTGCCGTGCAGAGCAGTGCAGAGCAGTGCAGTGCAAAGCAGAGCAGTGCAGAGCAGTGCAGTGCAAAGCAGAGCAGTGCAAAGCAGAGCAGAGCAAACCTCATGAACTTGTCCAGAATGCTCTCGACCCAGAGCTGGAGGCGGATCATGTTGAAGCCGTATCTCCAAAGCAAACGCAGCATGTTTATGAAGAACCAGTCGCTCTCCTCAAAGATCAGCTGCTCTCCGTCAAAGATCGCCATCTTAGAAGAAACAGCTTCACGAGGAGGAATCCCTGAGGAGGAGAGAGGAGGTCAGAGTCGGTCTGTTTACATCCATGAGGAGGAGAGAAGAGAGAGGAGGAGACTAGAGGAGACAGGAGAGAGAAAAAGGAGGAGGAGGCTAGAGGAGAGAGGAGAGAGAAAAAGGAGAGAGGAGGAGGATAGAGGAGAGAGGAGAGAGAAAAAGGAGAGAGGAGGAGGATAGAGGAGCAGGCTAGAGGAGAGAGAAGGAGAGAGAAAAAGGAGAGGAAGAGGTCAGAGTCAGTCTGTTTACTCAGGAGTGATGAACGTGTGACTCACCTAATGTGTCCACAAAGTGTTTCATGTGGAGATTAAGGGGGTGTATGATGGCCCCTCCCACCTCATACTCATGGTCTCCCATCCGGACAGTGCTCAGACGTCCCCCAATCTCTCCAGGCTCAAACACATCGATCTGAACCCCAGGACCAAACTCCTGCCTCAGGTAATACGCTGCAGCCGAGCCCCCGATCCCCGCTCCGACAACAGCTGCAAAAGACAACAACAGTCAGAGACCCAGGACTGAGGCTGTAGATCCAGGACTGAGGCTGTAGATCCAGGACTGAGGCTGTAGATCCAGGACTGAGGCTGTAGATCCAGGACTGAGGCTGTAGATCCAGGACTGAGGCTGTAGACCCAGGACTGAGGCTGTAGACCCAGGACTGAGGCAGTAGACCCAGGACTGAGGCTGTAGACTTACATACAGTGAGTCATAAACCACTGAGTCGTACCGATCTTTTTGGGTTGATTCCCAAACTGTGGGGCGGAAGCCAAACTTCTCCTTGTGGAATGCCACAGTCCCAGAAACAGAAGAGTTCTCAGAGTTGGCATCATGGTCCTCCACGTCTGTCCTGATCTGAAGAGAAGGTTTTTACAGTTACTACAGAGGGGGAGCAGCGTCTGCAGTCAGAGCTCCATCAGACTGTTGTGGTAAAGTGTGCTGAAAAGTGAGTGTTATTTATTTCATCACTGCATTTCCTGTGTTTGAACTGTTTGATTCTCTGATCTGTGTTGGAGAATCGACAGCTTTGTTAAGTCCTCAGAGATAATAAACTGAATTTTTGTGTGTCTGCCATCTTCCTGAGGACCCACCACCTGCCGGAGGATCAGCGAGGAACTGGTGGCAGCCCTGATTTCCTCCTCCTGACTCAGAAATTGACTAATAAAGGGGTAATCCCGGCTCTGTGTGTTCAAAATAAAGATTTTATTTTGTGAAGATTACTATCAGGAAGGGTTTGAATCAGCACTTTCTCTGAGTCACGTTTCCTCAAAAGGTTCTTCTCATAAAAACAAGTTTGGAGAAGTACTTTTTAATGTCATTCATATGAGTAACGTTTTATACTTTCAGTCCTGAGGTCAAAGGCCACACTTAACAATTTCACAATAATGTATTGATAGAGTGGGTTAGGGTTCTATAATTATGATGAGAATTACATTAGCTATATTACCATAGCTAATGGGGATCTAAATTAAAAAAAAGTAAGTAAGTGACTTGTTGTAACACTCTATATAATGGATCATTCGTAAGTGTTGCACTAACCTCAGGACAGGATCAGTCACACTTTACGAACTTTAACCACAATAAAGTCTGCACTTCCGGGACGTCCTCCCGGTTCCTCTGGGTGCAGCTTCCTTATCCTTTTTTCTCGTTTGCAGAAACAATAACATGTTACGTGTGGCACTCAAACGAACTCTAAAGTTGTTTTATTTGACTTGGACAAACACGGTTGTATCCCGCACTCAGAAAGACGGCTTTAAACTCATGAGGAAGCACAAGAAGGATGAGGAACGTGTCTTTTGCATTCGGATGCAGACAGACGCACACAGCGGCCCCTTGTGGACACGACGAGCACCAACACATGGACCATCTACAGTGGACCATAGACTGTGGACCATGCTGTGGACAGTATATATACAATATATAGACAATATATACAGTCTATGGACAGGACACAGTATTTACCAGTGACGTCATGGTTATATCTCTCATAAACTGACGTCAAACTTATTTACCGTGCTCTTCCTTTTAGTGACGTGCAGTAAGTCATGTTTAAATCATAGACTGTATATATTAAAGGTTAAATACATGTTGATAGAAAGTAAACTGAATTGATGCATGTGAATCTTAAAGCTGTTGTTGGAGACTGTAAAGCGTTCTCTGATAAAACAAAAATATTTTTAATATTATAAGGATACGCCACGTGAGTACAACGGAAATTGGTTGATGTAGCGTTACATTCAAGGAAGTAAACCGGAAGTTGACTTGAGCCCATTGATTGCAGCATGTCTGGATGGAGGTGACCTCGACAGCAGTAAACTGTGTTAAAGCTTTGTTATTATTCTCATTTTAAACTCAGACAACATGGCGGAGGCTCATCAGGCGAGAGTGCAGGCGGCGGTGGAGGACATGGTCCAGAGTTTGGAGAGAGACCACATCCGAAAGATGCAGGTGAGTCCTGTACCAGCAACATGTACCAGCAACATGTAATAGCATAACTACGCACCAGTAGAACACGTACCATGTGTTCTGAATAAGCCATATATATAAAATGTCTTCTTCTGTTCTTGTGTCCAGAGCCGCATGTTCTCCTGTAGCGCCTCCTGCTGTGATCGTTCTGAAGACTCCATGACACAGGTGCATCAGTGCATCGAAAGGTGCCACACGCCACTGGCCCAGGCCCAGGCCCTGGTCAGCACCGAGATGGAGAAGTTCCAGGTACGAGTCCAAAGTGTGTGTGTGTGTGTGTACACACACACACATGTGTACCTATATACATATACTAGAGCAGTCTAAGGTGGGGAACAGGGTCTAAATGCAGAGAGAAAAAGGTGAAAACATATGTATGCACGTAGTGGTTTGTCCTCAGATATTTAAGCAGTGATGCTGCAGTGACCTGGCCTCCTCCAAACACTTACTTTATCACGTCTTATGTTTATAATCGTCAGTCTGTGTCTTATAGACACAGATGTTCACAGTACATAAGCGTTGGACGTGCATAACATTACACGGCTGTGAGTACACTGCCTGAGCACGCAGGTCGTCTATGGAGAAGTGTAGAGGACGGTACGGGCCAGAGGTCTGATATAGAGCAGCAAAAACACATGTTTGTCCTCAGAATCACTGTGAAACCTGCTCCTCCTCATCATGTTTAATTCTAAGTTAGGCACAGCCTTGTCAATACGTTCGTCATATGGGTGTATAAACCAGTGTAATTATCACAGATTAACATGAACACTGATTTCCACAGGAGGTGTTATGTGCTTTAACGCCTCTTGTGGAAAGTCTGACATATCAAAACGAAGTGTTTCCTTAATGTTGACTCTGGTTTATTGTTTTCGATCATGTGCAGTACCTGTGTCTGTGTCTAGGACCGGTTAGCCAGGTGCACCATGCACTGCAACGACAAAGCTAAGGATCTGTTTGACTCTGGAGCCAAGGAGCCGGAGGTCAGGGCCCTGATGGAGCGCTGCGTGGGAACCTGTGTGGACGACCACATCCACCTCCTCCCCAGCATGACGAGGAGACTCAGGGACAATCTGGACTCTATCAGTCAGTGAAGAGGAGCAGCAAGTGGATGCCGCATGCAACTGTATAAACCAATGTCCAGTGAGAGTTCTGTGTGAAAGGCAGCGGTGACCCCTGGGACTGTGACCTCTGACCCTGAGTTGATGTCCCTGTGGTCCACTAACATTAAAGATGAAGCCTTTGTCGACTGTGATTATATTTAAGTGTTGTTTATGTTCAGACCTGCAGCAAATGAATCAAGATCTCAAAGGGACAAATGTGTGACATAAGCAACAGTTGAATGCAGTACACGCGTGTACGCACACACAGGAAGCATGTGGCTTCAGAACAGCTTTAATCAGACGATAGCACCGCAGCCCGAAGGCCAGTTAGTGTATAACAAGACTCTAAACGTTTTCTACAAAAAAGTTTGGAATTACATTAATTACAAGTGGAAGTTTTCATGAGTTTGTAAACATGCAAATATGTGAAGTGTCAGTTATATAATAAACCAATAAAACTAATGCTGAGCTTTATGAAGCCAGAGAAAATGAATCACTGCAAAATAAAACAGGCCTTGAAATGGTCAGGGTCAGTCCCATAATCAAAGTCCTCCCTGTGAGGACTTGTGCGATATAACACGTCCTCACTGCCATCTCTACTGCAGCTGATTAAAATATTTCTAACAGAAATATTGTGACAGACTTCTGTGTGGGTCAAAGGTCTTTATGTCCTGTAAATTAATACTGGCTTCATTTGAACCTCACACTGGTCCAACAATAAACTGGTCCTAAAGGCTTTTGCTCCATCACTAAAACATGAAGATGTTTAGTTGAACCAAATGTACAAAAGCACATCACATACACAGTATGAAGAGAGCATGCAGACATGATGCAGTGGAAATGTGGCGCTGTAGTTCATCTCAGTTCCACCAGAGGGCGCTCATGGCACACTGCTGCTTTCTGTTTCTGGAGAGTCTGCTCTGACGTCCGAGCGTGATGACGTGTATAGGAAGTTACAGCAGACGTAAAGTGGGAACGATAATAACCGACTGTCCAGGTTCATCACCACGTACTCCTGATGACGACACAACAGTTACTACACACAACATGTACGCCTGATGACAACAGAGCACTTCACAACAGTGTCTGCTCAGACACACAACAATACAATACTACCAGGACATCACCCACCTGGTCTTTCTCTAATGTCAGGAGCTGGTAACCTGTCGAGCGACTGCACACTAATTTCCCACGACTGTCGAAGGAGGCGAGGCGTAACCTGAACAACAACAATAATGTTAGATTATTGTAGATTCTTGTTATTAGAACACCCACACACACACACACACACCTGTATGCCAGGTGTCTCCTGGGCTGGAGGCTGACAGCGCCCCCACATGGTTGACTTAGAGTGTTTCGCTTGAAGACTATGAAGCGGTTGGTGTAAGTCACCAGGAGATCAAAGCCGAAATTAAAGCCTGTCCACCGCCAGCAGTACTGCAACACACAACACCATGAGCAGGAGAGAAACCATGTGATGTTTGGCACATGGTGCGGCTCACATCTCCTTCTTTGGTCAGCTTCCTGCCACAGCGCATACTGCTCAGTTCAAACTCCTCCCGGTTCGCCTCCTGGGGACTGACCACACAATATAACGATAAATATAAATATATAATTATATAAATATAAAATTATTTATATATATATATATATATAACTCAGCTTCTTACCCAGTGTCGTTGTCGAACTCAGTCCTGAGCATCGCAAACCACTGATTTTTGTAGACAGCAGTGAGCCAATCTGAGACACACAACACATGAGACTAGAGACCAGAGAGAGACCTGAGCTAGACAAACCAGAGAGAGACCAACCAGAGAGAGAGACTAGAGACACAAACCAGAGAGAGAGAGACTAGATAGAGACCAACCAGAGAGCGAGACCAACCAGAGAGAGAGACTAGAGAGGGACCAACCAGAGAGAGAGACTAGAGAGGGACCAACCAGAGAGAGAGACTAGAGAGGGACCAACCAGAGAGAGAGACTAGAGAGGGACCAACCAGAGAGAGAGAGAGAGTAGAGCGAGACCAACCAGAGAGAGAGACTAGAGGGACCAACCAGAGAGAGAGACTAGAGGGACCAACCAGAGAGAGAGAGAGAGTAGAGCGAGACCAACCAGAGAGAGAGACTAGAGAGGGACCAACCAGAGAGAGAGAGAGTAGAGCGAGACCAACCAGAGAGAGAAAGAGTAGAGAGAGACCAACCGGAGTAGAGAGAGACCAACCAGAGAGAGTAGAGAGAGACCAACCAGAGAGAGAGAGTAGAGAGAGACCAACCAGAGAGAGAGAGTAGAGAGAGAAAAACCAGAGAGAGAGACTAGAGAGAGAGAGTAGAGAGAGACCAACCAGAAAGAGAGAGTAGAGAGAGACCAACCAGAGAGAGAGACTAGAGAGATAAACCAGAGAGACCAGAGAGATAAACCAGAGAGACAAACCAGAGAGACTAGAGTGAGAGCTGCCTTAGAGCTGACCTGTGGGCAGGATGTTGTCTCTCTCCAGGATCCGCGCTGAGGCCAGATCGTTGATGATGAATTGGAGGCGAACGTGTTTAAACACCGAACTGAACGGTTTCCCATCTTCTGTGTATAAGAACGGCTCCTGTTCGCCAAGGTCTGTTCGAGACAGAGAGCACAGGTACAGAGACCATAGATACAGAGAGCACAGGTACAGAGACCATAGATACAGAGAGCACAGGTACAGAGACCGCAGATATCGCACCTGTTCTCCTCTTACAGAGCCAGGCGTCTGCATCAGCGAGCAGCTGTTTGATTGGTCCATCCCACGAGGAATTCAGCTGCAGGAACATCCACTATAAAAACAGAAACACACACACTAAAACACACACAGCAGAAACACACACTAAAACACAGAAAACAGAAACACACACTAAAAAAACACACACAATAATTGTCACCTTCTTAAGTGCTGTGTACACGTCCATCTCCACTTGCATCACAAACAGGTCTGAGGACTGAATCAGCAACTCCATTATCTCTGACCTGCAACACACACAGACACACACACACACACACACAGAGAGAGATACATATACACAAAGAAGGAGACACACACAGACACACACATACATACATACTTAAAAATAGTACATGAAAATCAGTGTACCCTGACGGTCCCGACGCACATGGTCATGAAGCACACGGCCGCGAAGCACACGGCCATGACACACATGGTCATGACGCACATTGTCCAGACACACATGGTCCTGACGCACATGGTCCTGACGCACATGGTCCTGACGCACATGGTCCTGACGCACATGGTCATCAGGTCCTGTGGTAAAATGAGGCGTACCCGAGCTCCTTCATCAGCTCCACGTTCTGGTGGGTCATGAGATTATTGAGGAGCCATTCCAGACATCTGTAATAACACACAAGTTCAACCAGTGAGGAACCAGTGAGAACCAGAGAGGAACCATTGAGGAACCAGAGAGAAACCAGTGAGGAACCAGAGAGGAACAGTGAGGAACCATAGATGAACCACAGAAGAACTAGAGGGGAACCAGAGGGTTCTCACTTTTTCATGACTGAGTCCAAGCCGTAGAGACTGGCGCAGAGGTAGTAGCTGCAGACGCTCTTGGAGCTGAGGTTCTCCTTCATGCTCTCTCCACACTGTTGGATCAGTCCGTCCTGTCGACACAAACAGCTCAGAACCAGAACCTCCAGAGGAACATCTGACATGTGACATCACACGCACCAGCTGGAGCATACAAGCAGCGGCCAGGATACTGACGACTCTGCTGGGTTTGATCAGGACGTCGTCTCGATATAAAGACCCAAACACCACCTGAAGAGCTGCACACAACGGCATGGGTTCTTTGAATGTGGAAATGCATCGACCCCATAACGTCTGGTCGGCTCTGGTCTGGTCTCGTCGGCTCTGGTCTCGTCGGCTCTGGTTTCCTGGTCTCGTCGGCTCTGGTCTCGTCGGCTCTGGTTTCCTGGTCTCGTAGGCTCTGGTTTCCTGGTCTCGTCGGCTCTGGTTTCCTGGTCTCGTCGGCTCTGGTTTCCTGGTCTCGTCGGCTCTGGTTTCCTGGTCTCGTCGGCTCTGGTCTCGTCGGCTCTGGTCTCGTCGGCTCTGGTCTCGTCGGCTCTGGTCTCGTCGGCTCTGGTCTCGTCGGCTCTGGTCTCGTCGGCTCTGGTCTCGTCGGCTCTGGTCTCGTCGGCTCTGGTCTCGTCGGCTCTGGTCTCGTCGGCTCTGGTCTCGTCGGCTCTGGTCTCGTCGGCTCTGGTCTCGTCGGCTCTGGTCTCGTCGGCTCTGGTCGCGTCTGGCTCTGGTCTCGTCGGCTCTGGTCTCGTCAGCTCTGGTCTCGTCAGCTCTGGTCTCGTCGACTCCGGTCTCGTCACTGAGTCCAGGCTAAAACAGTTCTCCTCCCGCTGAGTGTTTTACCCTCGGTGTCGATGTTCTGGTCTGGGATTTCCAGGTTGATCTCCATCATGTTAGACTCCTTCCATGAGCCGCTGAACATACTGGAGAAGTATCCGGACTGCAACAGAGAGACAGGGTCACGCTCACCAACAGAGTTAGGGTTCACCCTCAGTCACGCTCACCGACAGGGTCACGCTCACCGACAGGGTCACGCTCACCGACAGGGTCACGCTCACCGACAGGGTCACGCTCACCGACAGGGTCACGCTCACCGTCAGGGTCACGCTCACCGACAGGGTCACGCTCACCGACAGAGTCACGCTCACCGACAGAGTCACGCTCACCGACAGGGTCACGCTCACCGACAGGGTCACGCTCACCGACAGGGTCACGCTCACCGACAGGGTCACGCTCACCGACAGGGTCACGCTCACCGACAGGGTCACGCTCACCGACAGGGTCACGCTCACCGACAGGGTCACGCTCACCGACAGGGTCACGCTCACCGACAGGGTCACGCTCACCGACAGAGTCACGCTCACCGACAGAGTCACGCTCACCGACAGAGTCACGCTCACCGACAGAGTCACGCTCACCGACAGAGTCACGCTCACCGACAGAGTCACGCTCACCGACAGAGTCACGCTCACCGACAGAGTCACGCTCACCGACAGAGTCACGCTCACCGACAGAGTCACGCTCACCGACAGAGTCACGCTCACCGACAGAGTCACGCTCACCGACAGAGTCACGCTCACCTGACAGAGGTAAACCTTGTGGAGGTTCCACTCTTGGCCTAAAGCACAGATGCGAATGTCGCTGTTTTCTCCGTTCAGAAACAGAGTCTGATAAATGTAGCGAGACGTGCTCTTCAGCTTCTTCCTGAAACAAAAACAGATCAAACAGATTTACCACGAGTCCAAGCTGAAGTCCACAAACCAGAGAGAGACCAGAGAGAGAGACCAGCGAGTAAGACCAGAGAGAGAGACCAGGGAGCGGGACCAGGGAGAGAGACCAGGGAGAGAGACCAGGGAGAGAGACCAGCGAGAGAGACCAGCGAGAGAGACCAGCGAGAGAGACCAAGGAGAGAGACCAAGGAGAGAGACCAGAGAGAGCGACCAGAAACCCACACAAAAAGAAACAGTAAGGCCCTGAGAGGTGAGCTGTGTGAAACAATAAAATATGTTGAAGTTCCTCATGAGACACCTGCGCGGCGTGTCCAGCACAGCATCCTCGTCCTCTGGTTCACTCTCACAGTCACACTGCGCATTCCGTTTCCTCTTTTTACAATCACAGCTGTGTTTATGGATGCTGCTGATGGCCTCCAGCCCCTCCTCTGGTCCTGGAGGAGACGGGGACTGGAACTTGCTGCCCAGACTTCCCATCTCTATTAGTGCTGTTCAAACAAAAAGGTTCAGGTGTCATATCAGTGATCAGTACCAGCATTAAGCACATTAACATAACCTATGGACCAACGTCATGCGTTTGATTCTCTGATCTGTTGTTGGCAACCGCAAAGTCCTCTGAGAAAACTGATTCAGAGCTGTACACAAATAAATTGAATTGATTTTTCTGACAATGGGGTCAAAGAATAAGTCATAGTCCGCACTCCTCGACTGATTAAAACCACTGTTTGGACAAAAGCAAAAGGCTGTACTTTCAATTGTTTAATCATTTAAATGCATTAGACAAATTATGTTAGTATAGAGCGTCTATGTAATGTTATAAAACTACAGAAGATTCTCCACTGCTGCTCTTTCAGCTCTCAGACCAAAGACTCTCTAACAAACATGATAAAGACGTGTCTGATTTGTTCACAGCGTTTTACTTTTACAAGAAGCTTTCTGTCGGGACAAGCATGTTCTATTTAAGATATATATGTATACTCTTTATAACATGTGCATAATACTAGATATGAACGAATACAAACTTAGCCGAGTCATATGGTGGAAGAGAGACCAGAGAGAGACCAGAGAGAGACCAGAGAGAGACCAGAGGGAGACTAGAGGGAGACCTGAGAGAGATCAGAAAGAGACCAGAGAGAGGGAGAGAGACCAGAGGGAGACCAGAAAGAGGGAGACCTGAGAGAGACAAGAAAGAGACCAGAGAGAGGGAGAGAGAGACCAGACAGAGAGACCAGAGAGAAACCAAAGAGAGACCAGTAAGAAACCAGAGTGAGAAGACAAATGTGCAAAACACGGTCATTTAACGTGATTTAGGCTAATGCTAAATACCAACCTCCACTTCAGGGATAGAAAGGAGCCAAAAAAATGAGTAAAAATGTGAAGCTGTGTCTCGGGTTGAAGAGCTACAAACAAAAACACTTCAGGACAAACCCTGACGACGCGTTTTGAGTCATCTCTGCGGCTTCAGACACTTCTGCTGAGAATCTGTGGTTTGCAGACACAGATCTGAGGAGAAACACTCACAGAAGCCTCAAACAGGGTGTTGTTGGGGGTTCTTCTTCGTCTGTCTACTCTGTGTACGTCACTACGTCACCTACAGTCAATACTGCGCCCTGGCGGTGGAAGTGACAAATTACAATATATATATAACATGAAAAAAACTGCATAAATATTTATTGAAAAATCATAATGAACTATTTATTATTAGTACTATTATTATTACACATTATATGAAAACAATGTGAGGTAATAGACAATGCTAACCCGCTGGCTCAATGAAGGGCTCATGGTGAAAATCGGCTCCAACTATTTATTTTAAGTACACTCCTCTTGCCTCTGACTCAGTGCAGACCATAGAACGTTATTATGGATCCATGCCATAGACTGTAAATCGTTATTATTATAGATCCATGCTGTAAATGTGGACCACAGACTGTAAACACGGATGTGACGTTTGAAAATTGGGGCGGACCTTATTGGAATCCAACCAATCAGCGTCGTCCTCCACTTTCACAACATTCTTGTCTCCTCGGTCTGTGTTGACTGTGACACGTACCTCTGTCCTGCTCCTGCTGTGCCCCCAGTCTCCACAGAGACCACAGACACCACAGACACCACAGACACCCAGGCCCCATGTCTGTGAGCCTGACACTCTGAGCAAAATGGAGACTCAGGAGCATGCTGCAGGTGAGCTGGTCTGAGTCTGCAGTGTGTGCTTTAGTGACAGTTTCAGAACAGAGTCATATACTTTGCTTTTACTCGAGAGAAGAGTGTCCAAAATACTGTACTGGACTGTATACATCAGCGCTGCACACATCTGTACTTTAGTGCTCTTGTTGTAATGTTAAAACTAAGATTTGTATGCATGCTTTTTGCACCTGAACTGAAGCCTTCCTGTTACTTCATACTTGAGATGTTATTGTATTTTAGTATGGAGCTATTGTGGTATCTTGTGCTGTGTGCTCCTCATTCGTACTGTTCTGTAATTGGTGATACAATACTGACATTCTCCCGCTGTGAGACTTATAAAGGATATCTTCATTTTCATCTTACAATAACAAAAACAATAATAATAATCCTGATTCTGACATTCTCATTCTTCTAATGGCTGTCTCTTCAGGGGCAGTGATGGGCCTCAGTGCAGGACAGACGTCTGCAGACAGAACCCCACAGGAGCAGCCTCATCACACAAGCAGAATGCAGCAGCCTCAAAGCACAAGCAGAATGGAGCAGCTGTTTGGCTTCAGCACTGAGAACCTTGGCTCCTGGCAGAGTGTGGTGACCCTCCTGAACCGCCCTATGGACCCTGCGTCTCTGGGCATCTTCCGGTTCTTGTTTGGTGCGTGTAGCGTCACATGGGTCCGTTACAGACTTTTGTGAGTTCACGTGTTTGTTTTGTTTTTGTTAGGAATGCTCATGGCCATCGACATCACCCAGGAGCGCGGCCTGAGTCACCTGGACTGGAAGTACCTGGACGGAGCTCCTGTGTGCAGATTCCCTCTCTTTAACTTCCTCCAGCCCCTTCCTCTCGACTGGATGTACCTGGTGTACCTGGTCATGTTTCTGGGTATGGTTCATTAGTGTGGCTTCATGGAGATGTGTTGTTCGTCATAGTAAGTGTGTTCTCCTCACACGTGTTCAGGTTCAGTGGGGATCATGCTGGGCTGCTTCTACAGACTCTCCTGCCTCATGTTTCTAACGACGTACTGGTATATATTCTTTCTGGATAAGACGGCGTGGAACAATCACTCCTACCTCTATGGACTGATTGGCTTTCAGCTCACTCTTATGGATGGCAATCGTTACTGGTAATAAACAAATCAACTGATGTGAATCTGTATGAAAATGCTATTTGTGACTGTAATCTTCAGGTCGATAGACGGTCTGAGAAATCCTGGCATAAGAAACGCTCATGTGCCTCTGTGGAACTACACTGTGCTCAGGACGCAGGTCTCTACACCGGCTGTTTATGTGTTTATTTGTATTCAATTATGCTAACGTTTGCTTCTTTGTTGTAGATTTTTATTGTTTACTTCATTGCTGGGATCAAAAAGCTGGATGCTGATTGGGTGGAGGGATACTCTATGTCTTACCTGGCGCATCATTGGCTGTTTGACCCGTTTAAGTATGTTTCCTGCTCTGCCTTTTCCTGTTAGCTGTACAGTCTGTGTCTCACCCTCTACGCCTCCCCCTGTGCCTCCCCCTCCTCAGGCTGGTCCTCCCGGTGGAGCTGGTGAATGTGCTGGTGGTCCACGGAGGAGGCCTGATCCTGGACCTGAGCGCTGGGTACCTGCTCTTCTTTGATGCAACACGTCCCTTTGCTTTCGTTTTTGTCTCATACTTCCACTGCATGAACTCTCAGCTCTTCAGCATAGGTACAGTTGTTTTTTGTTTATTTTCCTCCACAGTTGTTGATGACGTAGACTCCTTCTCCTCACAGGAATGTTCCCCTACACCATGTTGGCCACCAGTCCTCTCTTCTGCTACAGCAATTGGCCCAGGAGGCTGTTCGCAGGTTTCCCACGCGTTCTCAAGCCTGTCCTGCCGTCCACCTCACAGGACCTGAAGCCCAGCACCTCCTGCGTGTATGAGGAGGCGCCGAGGTCTGAGGAGCCGAGGTCTGAGGAGCCGAGGTCTGAGGAGCCGAGGTCTGAGGAGCCGAGGTCTGAGGAGCCGAGGTCTGAGGAGCCGAGGTCTGAGGAGCCGAGGTCTGAGGCGCCGAGGTCTGAGGAGCCGAGGTCTGAGGAGCCGAGGTCTGAGGAGCCGAGGTCTGAGGAGCCGAGGTCTGAGGAGCAGGAGGCCACAGCCGCCAAAAAACCCATCAAATTTAGACACAAACTTGGCGCAATTTTCACCATTATTTACATCATGGAGCAACTTTTTATGCCATATTCGCACTTCATCACACAGGTAAACAACACTCTCTGGTCTCCCTCTGGTGTGTCTCTCTCTGGTCTTTCTCTGGTCTCTCCCTGGTCTCCCTCTGGTCTCTCCTTGGTCTCTCTCTGGTCTCTTTCTGGTCTATCTCTGTGGTCTCTCTGTGGTCTCTCTCTGGTCTCTCTCTGGCTGCGGCTGTAAAGTGCCAAACTAGTGAATGAGGAGTGCTGTAAAAGGACTTTGAGTGTCCTGAAAGCACTTGATAAAACCGATGCATTGTTATTGTTATATTTTGGGATCACATTTTAAGTGTTTCCTGCATTTAACCTGTGTTCTTCAGCTGGTTGTTTAAACTCAACACGATCATTGACCTGAGGACAAATAGAGACACAGAGGTCACTGACTCTGTGTGTTTGTGTTCAGGGCTATAATAACTGGACCAACGGCCTGTATGGTTACTCCTGGGACATGATGGTTCACGCTCGCAGCCACCAACACGTCAAAATCACGTATAAAGACGGAAAAACAGGAGAGATCGGATATTTGAACCCAGGGGTGAGTCCTGCTGCTGCTGCTGCTGCTCTATGTCTCTGTGACATGCCTTTAATAACAGGTCTCTGTGTCTGTGTGTGTGTGTCTGTATGTGTGTGTGTGTCTGTGTCTGTGTAGGTGTTCACTCAGAGTCGTCGTTGGAAAGACCACGGTGACATGTTGAAGCAGTACGCCACGTGCCTGAGCGAGCTACTGCCGAGATACAACATCACAGACGCAGAGATCTACTTTGACATCTGGGTGTCCATCAACGACCGCTTCCAGCAGAGGTGACGCACACACACACACAAACACACATTCTGTAGGATTCGATCTAACCCCAGTGCCTGCTGCAGGATCTTTGACCCTCGTGTGGACGTGGTGAGAGCGCCCTGGTCGCCGCTGCAGCCGACGCCATGGCTGATGCCGCTGCTGGTTGACCTGTCGCCGTGGAGGACCAAGTTCCAGGAGATCGAGGGGACGCTGGACAATCAGACAGAGATCGTCTTCATCGCAGACTTTCCAGGTTTGATTCTGTCTCTGATCCCAGTCTCTCTCCAAAGTAAACTAAACTTTCTGCACATCTGTCCTGTTTATAAACACAAAGATTTAACTTTTTTGTTTATTGATTTTTAAAAAGTGTTAGTGTTCTCAGTGTGCTCAGTAGCACATGGGACATACATGGGCACCGAAAGATTAGCGGAACATGTTTGGACATCTACTGGTACTCCCGTTTCTGCACAGTGGACGAGCTCTTTGCGCCAAAGTGTGTGTGGCTCTCATGCACATGTACAGAAGGGCTCAGCCCAGTGGCGGCCGGCCAATAGAGGGCGCTAGGGCGCCGCCCCACCACTCACAACTTGCCATGTTACCTTGAATAAAACGTTAAAAAAAATAATAACATTAAAATATTTCGAAATTTATGTGTGTTTTATTTCAGATGTGGAAGAAATACTTTATAGTTTATGCTGAGTTGGATTGATTAAGCTCATCAGCGTTGTCTGTGTCGGACTGAGGACGTATTTCCGCCTCAGGGCGCAAAAGATTGCGCCCTGAGCCGTCTATGGACTCTCGTTAAAAGTTGTACATGCGCAGTAGCTCCTCTTCAATGCAAGAGATAAGACGATTTGGGGGCGCAGGAGAAGTGCGCCCTGAGGGGGCGGGATCGCCCGCGACCTGTACTGTCACTGTCTGTGACGTCCGTTTACAGTGATTGACAGGTCAAGCTGTGGGAGTTTGAGACGAACGTAAAGAGACGCAAAATGGAGAACGAAAAAAAGAATAATTCAGTTAGATCACTCAAAACAATACCGTTTGAGAGAAGATCATACCAGGAGAAGGTTGAGGTTAAAGAGCTTGGACCTGATCAGCCAAATATTACCATTAGTCAGCAGTCCAGCGACAGGGGGAGACGGTACACTCGTACTTTTTCCAGGACCTGGTTCAGCGCCAAATCTTGGCTTGCAGCATGTAGTGAGGCTAATGCTTTATTTTGCTTTCCATGCCTCTTGTTTCAAACATCAGGATCTGACCCAGCATGGATCAAGACAGGTATGACTGATCTGAAGCACTTTTTAGAAAAGGCAAAGAAGCATGAGCAGACTGGTATCCACATGCAAAATGCCCTCAAATTAGCTATGTTTGGGAAGATAAATATTTCATCCCAGCTGGATGAAAGCTACAGGGTAGGGATCAGAAAGCACAATGAGGAGGTTGACAAGAATAGGCACATCCTATCAAAAATAATAGACTGTGTCAAATTCTGTGGTGCATTTGAACTTGCCCTGCGATCCTGATCATGTGACCTTGTTGATTCTCGTGTGAGGCTTCAGTCACAACAGTCAGTGTAAACTTACTTACTTGTGGTATATATCTAGTCATCATATTCATAGCCCCCCCAGTAGAAAATTCCACCAGCCGCCACTGGCTCAGCCGAGTTCTGACCAGTCAGAGCTGCTAAACAGAGCGGAGTCAGAGCGGGAAGAAAACAAGCAGAGTTTGTTGCATTAAAGTGTGGATTACTAGAAAAGCGAAAGATTTAAGAAGAAAAAAAGTTCAGGATGACAACTAAAATCCCCGCTAAATATGACCTTTATGAAAGCTGTAGGTTCTCTGTCAGGTTCTCTGTCAGCTGAGGTCGAGCTGTTTTCGTTGAGATTGAGTTCTATGGGACATTTTTCTGGGTAACCCATGTGAATTTAGTCTGCAGTACCACGGGCGCCCCCTGGGTCCATTGGCTAGTAAGCTAGTAATACCCTATCCACATATTATTATAGATCCATGGTTTAGTGTTCTCGGTGTTGTCAGTGTTGTTAATGTTGTTGACTTGAGGATTTCTGTGCAGGTCTTCACTTGGAAAACTTTGTGAGTGAAGACCTGGGAAACACCAGTGTTCAGGTTCTCCAGGGGGAGGTGATAATCGAGCTGGTGGAGGAGAAGAAGAACTACACTCTGAAAGCGGGGGAGCAGACACAGGTATACTCAAGTATTTGTACTTGTACCTGTCCTCCTCTCACCCTGCGCCTCCTCAGGGAGCTGACACAGGTATACTCAAGTACTTGCTCTCACCCTGCGCCTCCTCAGGTCCCCGCTGGAGCCTACCACAAAGTGCACACAGTGTCTGACGGCCCCTCATGCTTCATGTACGTCTACGTCAACACCACAGAAGCCGCGCTCCAGGAAGACCTCACCAGACTGCTGCACCTCCAGGAGCGACTCCTCAACGGCACAGGTGCAGCCAGAGCCTCCTCCTCCTCAGTATAACCCTGTGTGTGTCTGCAGACTCTCCTCCTCAGTATAACCCCAGTGCGTGTCTTGCAGAAACTGAGCCACTGCCTCCGGAGCTGCAGCCCCTCCTCTCAGCAGACGAGGGGTCAGAGGTCAATGCCACGGATCCCGTTGTGCGAATATTTCTGAAAAGACAGCGGCGAATGAAGGAAGTGAAGAAGCGACGAGAAGCGAGCGTGATAGAACGATTGGATCGATTCGTGACAAAGAAATACTACACGATCAGAAGAGGGTATGTCTGTGGTGTTATTGTTTTAGTGTTTCTCCTGCACCACCTGTGTCAGATAACATCTTTATTTAAAGTCACAAAACACACAGGAGGAGCTTAGAGTAGAGCCGCTGCTCCGTTAGAGATAGAGGAGCTCAGTCACACAGGAGGAGCTCAGAATAGCCATTGCTCCTCCACATGGAGAAGAGCCAGTGGAGGTGGCTCATCTGTTTTGGATGCCCTGAAGAGGTGTTCGGACATGTCCCACAGCAGGAGACCAGGGGAAGACCCAGGACTGTGTTTCAGCTCAGGATTCCCCCAGATGAGCTGGAGTGTGAGAAGGAAGTGTCTCTGCTCAGACTGCGGCTCCAAAGAAAAAGAAAGTGTTTAAATACATCTTCATCTCTGTGATGTCTTTACGGTGATTTCAGATTCCTGATGACGGCCATCGCGATGCGGAACCTGGCTGTGGGTCTGCCTTCTGTGGAACAGCTGACCAGAGAGGTGTCGTACGCCAACATGAAGGGACCGCAGTATGAGAACCATGAAGCTCTGAAGGACGAAGCAGGACACGCTGAGCTCTGACCCAAGAGTCACTGCTCCCTGAACATTCTACTAACTGTATTATTTTTTATGCTTGTTTATATTCAGATCTTTTTCTTAAACCAATTCAAACACTGTCGCTGCTTTAACAGAATCCTTAAAGACTTTTAATCCTGGTGCTTTTGTCATGATGCAGTTTTAAAGGTTCGACACAAATGTGAATAAAAAGTGAATCCGACACAAGATGTTTGAATATATTTAATGACTTCAGTTTAATGCAGTGGTTCCCAAAGTGTGAGCCGCAGGACACGGCTGTGATCATTTACAAACATTAGAGATTCTACATCAACATCTGTTCTGACAATGATCAGTTTGGCACTTCACAGCAGAGTTTTCTCTAAAGACTCAGAAACAGACGTCAGGAACACTTATGTTTATTGCACAGGAGTCATGAACAGTAAACCTGGCCTACTCTAGTGTTACTGGCCTCAAAACGCAATATTCCATTTGAATCCTTTGTATAAAGTGAAAAGCTTAAGCTACAACTATAATGATACAATTGTGAGCAACACTGAAGAAATAACTTCATAAAGACATTATTTTCAAACTTGGGCAAACGGACTGTTTCACACTGAACCATGCGGAGTTTTAGAAGCTGCAGAGATTCCCTCTTTGTAAAGTGCGTATGTTTGAGTGTTTGCTCCAGCACCACTGTTCAGCACTGCAAATATATAGGAACAGTTCAATTCTGTCAGTAACAAATCTGTGTAAATAAGAAACACACATATTATACCTGTGTGTTTCTGCTGCTGAATCACTACTCAAAGTCCAAGACCCGACCTTCCGCTGGGACTGACTGGTCTGAACCATGGGAGAGGAGTAACACTGGTACCGGACCATTTATGGACAGTGGTCATCTGCCGCTTTTGAAACTATGGCTCTATGTGTTTTATTATTGCTTTTCCTGCCTGGGTTGGCTGTTGTGATTGAGAACGAGACACAAATACATTGAAATGACCAGACCATGAATGAGGGACGCGGCCTTCATACAGTACTCAGACCGTCTCCTGATGTCTGGATTCTTCAAACATGATTTTTAACTGAGCCTGACGACATCAACGAGACGGACCCGGACTGAGGCTCTACCTCATCTGACGCTCAGGGCAGAAGATCCCATGGATAACGCCTTCAATCACCATGTTTGAATAAACATCTGAAACATATTTCATCGTTGTTCAAAGTAATGCACTGGTGAAGCTTTCAAAACGAGGTAAACTTGGGACAAACCGTGGCTGGAGGGAAGCAGGTAGGGGTCCCTCAAAAACAACATGACCGGCTGGTGTGAAAGTTTACTGTGAGAGAAAGAATCGTTAAACCAGAGACTGAAATTAAAACATGTGATAAACATTTACCTTGATCCTTCAGAAATGGAATCCAATGACCTGAAACAGAAGAGACACATGTGACTCTTCCAGTCCCTGTTCTTAATTTCATTGTAAAGAACCAGATTCCACACTCACCCACAGCTCTCAGTTTTCGGCACCGAAGGAAAATGGCGGATGTTCAGGAAATCCAGAAATATTTTTGGAAGCATCTCATTTTCCATTATTATGGTCTGTGAAAATAGACAAATCAATGCAATCGTTATAAGTGTGAGAAATATCAGGACAAAAACTTTGCACAGGGTTCGAAGTTTAAACGAAAGGACACTATGGAACCAGGTTTTCTGGGCAGACGAGGCCCACTCTCCAGGGTCAGACCTTGTGGAGGGGGCAGCATCGTGCTGTGGGCTGCTATTCTTCAGCAGGGACAGAAAAAAGCCAAGGACGGAACTAAACGCGTCATATAATAACAGGTGTGAAGAACCTATTCTTTCAGAAAGTGCCGTTTACACATTATTTGCAGCTATTGTAAGTAAGTAATCTTTAAGTAGCACATATCACAGACCAAGGTCACCCGAAGCACAATGTTTTTGGAGATCAGACATTTTGTGGTCTAGCTTGCGCTGTTATACAATAGATAGTGGGGAACTACAAATTTCTGAATGAGCAAAGCCGGAGACACAGCCCAATCTGTAATTGTTAGTTAACGAGACAGAGTGTAGTGTCATATAATTACATTTATACAACATGGAAAAGAAGAATGCACCTGTAGGTAGTGTTCCAGCCCCTGCCTCCTCTGCTCCAGGACTTTGGGGACCCAGTTTCTGACATGTTTGGACGGGATGTCAGGAGGTCGAATGCTCTTCTTCAACTGTGTGAGTCCAGGAAGCACAGTTAGAGAGCAGACCACCCACCGTTTTCAAACACAGACCACTCACCGACTTGTGCAACGTGTGGAATTCACTGTAGCGCTTCTCAATCGTGTGCTGCCGGCCGTTTATCAGAACTTCTATTTTGAAGACCTGAAAATCACAATATCATTATTTTTGCTGAGCTGTTGCTTCGTCAGCGGGTTTACAGGACACACAGGCATTAACTTCCCACATCTGTTCTCTTCCAACCTTCATTTTACACACATAACCCAGACACAAGATTTTTACTTCAAACATAAGGGCCACAACATGGAACCAAATAGATTCATAGGCTTTACAAATGACAACAATCAAAGCTCTATTTACAGTGTGTGCTCTGGACACACCTGTACTGTTAAAAATCCATTGTGCGTGTTTTACGAGTTAAGATTTTACAAATGCCTTTATGTCTATTGTTGTCTTCTTTATTGCTTGTCTGTGCCCTTTACCAAAGCACAGTTTGACATTTCCTGTTATATACAATGCATTAGACAAGAATTCTGGAATAGGCTAAAGGGTTATACATTATTTTGGTTATAAACACATTACATGAAATACAAACCCGTCATACAAGCAAACACGCGAGACACTGGAACTAATATGTTTTGGTCTGGCCATAGAACACACATCATAGTCTCAGAGATTCAACAGAACCGAACCATAGACCGTGGATGGAACAGAACAGAACAGAACCATAGCCTGTGGATGGAACAGAACAGAACATAACCATAGACTGTGGATGGAACAGAACAGAACCATGGACTGTGGATGGAACAGAACAGAACAGAACCATAGACTGTGGATGGAACAGAACAGAACCATAGACTGTGGATGGAACAGAACAGAACCATGGACTGTGGATGGAACAGAACAGAACCATAGACTGTGGATGGAACAGAACAGAACCATGGACTGTGGATGGAACAGAACAGAACCATGGACTGTGGATGGAACAGAACAGAACAGAACCATAGACAGTGGATGGAACAGAACAGAACAGAACCATAGACAGTGGATGGAACAGAACAGAACAGAACCATAGCCTGTGGATGGAACAGAACAGAACATAACCATAGACTGTGGATGGAACAGAACAGAACCATAGACTGTGGATGGAACAGAACAGAACCATGGACTGTGGATGGAACAGAACAGAACCATGGACTGTGGATGGAACAGAACAGAACAGAACCATAGACAGTGGATGGAACAGAACAGAACCATAGACTGTGGATGGAACAGAACAGAACCATAGACTGTGGATGGAGCAGAACAGAACCATAGCCTGTGGATGGAACAGAACAGAACCATAGACTGTGGATGGAACAGAACAGAACCATAGACTGTGGATGGAACAGAACAGAACCATAGACTGTGGATGGAACAGAACAGAACATAACCATAGACAGTGGATGGAACAGAACAGAACCATAGCCTGTGGATGGAACAGAACAGAACTATAGCCTGTGGATGAGCAGAACAGAACCATAGCCTGTGGATGAGCAGAACAGAACCATAGCCTGTGGATGAGCAGAACAGAACCATAGCCTGTGGATGGAGCAGAACAGAACCATAGCCTGTGGATGGAGCAGAACAGAACCATAGACTGTGGATGCAGCAGAACAGAACCATAGCCTGTGGATGAGCAGAACAGAACGCAGTCTCACCGTGAAGCCCTTCTCCACATGGCTGTGCTCGGATCGGTGCGATGGGATGGACACAGACAGAGGGCGCATGTTGCTAAAAGGAGAACAATCTGATATTGAACAGTTTGGATGCGTCAGCTCATATTATAACAGATCCATGGTCAGCTTGTGTCTCATACTTGTGTCTGTGGCTGAGTGAGAGTGTGCAGACCGCCCCCCAGCGGCCAGGAGGACTCCGCGCATTTAGCTTTAGCATTAGCATTATTAGTCTGTGTCTACTTATATACAATATTTACATCAAACGACTGACAAGTTTTTATGATTATAAAAATGTAAAACATCGAGACATTCCGTTCTAACATTAGCATAAAGCTTAGTTTACTTCCTGAGCTTTTGGAAAATGTTTGGGGCTGATCATGGATCTGTAATAACCATATTAATAATAACTGATGAAGAGAAGAAATAATCACCAGAGGTCACAAGTTCAAGTAAGTTTTATTCAAGTCATTTTCAAATAGAATTGATTTAGTTTAACAGTTAATTAACGTCACAATTTTATGACAATTATTAATGTATTGCTATATTGGTGCATATCTGACATTTTATGTTTGTTCTTTTCATTTAGATTTAAGATTTAGATCTATATATTTTTTAAGTTCATTTCTGGGTTAGGGTTTAAACTGACCTTGAAACCTGTGCAAAACACTCCAAAAACAATACATATTATGCAAGTGTGCAAAACAATTCCTTTATTTATATTAAACCATGATACGAGACATATGTTCTTCATTTCCAGGAGATGTATCTTCTTAATACCTGAAACAGTGACATTATATGTGAGTAAAAACAGGAACATGAGCCTTTGGTGTCTGAGAGCAGTACGTACGGAGACATGTGGCAGCCGGACACTGAGGCGTGGTTCCCGCTGTAGCGAACGTCACAACGCACTATGTTGTTGCTGTAGTCCAACTCTGGGACAATGTACTGTGGGTTCACACTGACCTGTGGAACACCAGAGTTATTATCACATTTATACACACACACACACACACACACACACACAGTTTTACTCCTAATGCTTCAGTGTGGCTACAAACCTTGAGGATATAGTTTCCAGGTTTCACATCTGTGATGTCAATCCACTGACAGTCTATGTCTGCATTGTACGTGTCATAGCAGCCTGGACTCAGACCCTGCAGTAAGGAACAATACAAAGGAACTCAAACAATAGTGGAGAGAATACCACATGTATTCAGAGCCATCACATTTAGAGTGAGTAACATATACAGATGCTGTGAGCTTCAGGGTGTGTTTCTTCTGTCAGGAGCAGACCTGTCTGTTGGAGGTGCAGGCGTAGCGGCGATAGTATCCATAGTCACAGGAAGTGTCCTCCAGGCAGAAGCTGACCTTGTGGCCCTCTGCCACCGAGTGGTGGGTGCTGGCGTCCAGTAGCTCATAGTGACTGAACTCGTCCATGCTGTGGTAATGTCTGTAAACAGTGTTCAAGAGTGTTATCACTGGGGGCTCCATGACGCCATTCTGTTTAGCATTGATTCTAAGGGCACGGTCACATAGGTTTTCACAAACGAACTAGGCCACAAAGTGGCCCAGATTGTCGCCACAGGGATGTGGGGATGGCCCGCGGTCAGAAAGGTTTATTTTTTCAATCGTGCCATGCCAAATGCGGGAGTATAACAACGCTTTTGTGCTGATACTAACTTCAGCGACTTAAGAAAATTGAAGGATTTAAGAAAAATAAAAGTTAAACATTAAAATCCCCACAAAATCCAACCTTTATTAAAGCTGTAGATACTCTGCCAGCTGAGGTCGAGCTGTTTTAGTCTACATTGAGTTCTATGGGGAAAATGTCTGGGTAGCCCACGTGAATTAGTCTGGTTCAGTCTGCAGTACCGCAAGAATCCCCCGAGCACATGGGTCCTTCAGCTCCAAGCTAGTAATACCCTATCCAGATATTATAATAGATCCATGGAGTTATCCCAAGTAAGAAACACATCCCTTTGACCCTGGAGCGACAAATCTCCCCTGGACACCTCGACCCTGGTCCAGGGGTTTACATGAAAGATGTAACACAGGCAAGGGACTGTAGAATGCGAAAGGATGCAACTGTTGTGAGGTTCTGTTTACACGAGGACGCTGCAACAGTAAAATGTTGGATATCGGATTGGCCTTTCGTTTACATGGAGACTGTTTCAGAGGGGAGAAAACGCAAGCGTTGAGAAACAGCCTTGAGAGTGGAACAGAGTAGATATCTGCGTCGAGGGGGGCACTTCCATGCACATTCATGTGGACCAGTGGGGGCGGGTCCCGGCTCAAAAATGTCCAAAATAACGTGCACTGACATACTTGTAATACCACCCCGGGCCAGTGGTGGAGGACCCGGAATAAGAATTATCCATCCATTCATCCATCCATCCATCCATTTTCTTCCCATTAATCCATTTCTGGGTCGGGGGGTGGCAGTCAGAGCTGCACCCAGTACACAGAGCACCAGCCCCTCACTGATCCTCCTGCAGGTGCTGAGTCCACAGGAGTTGAGATCTTTCAGCAGGGGCTTTGGGCAAAGTGGGGTTAAGTGTCTTGTCCAAGGACACAACGACAGCAGTCCTCAATTAGCCAATGCTAATGTATAGCATCTTCTTTCCTCCTGAAAACACCTTTACAGGATGGTCCAAAAGTCGCTCTTGGTCCAGAGCTGCGTTCCACATGTGTCAATGCTGAGGGAGTGTTTTTATTTGGACCAGTCTAGTTTAGTCGCTGTGGAATTTTGAATGCACTCGTTAAATGAATGCGTTTTTTCACATTTTCCAGCCTCCGCAGCCATTTTGAAACTGCCCATAGTAGGCAAAAGTGGTGGCCCATTAATTTGAACAATGGAGATAGTAGGCGTGACAACGTCCGTTAATATTTACAGTCTATGATGTGGACATGCACAGTAGAACAAACGTAAACAACAATGGAAGCGGGACGACTAATGCTACGTGTGCGTTGAGCGCTACACGGAGGAGAATTTCGGCCGAGCGCTAGAATTGTGTGGACGCTGTGCACTTTAAATTAGGAGCCTGGTTGTTTTTGCACATTGCTTTTCAGCGTCTCTGCAGTGTCTCCGTCTAAACAGAGCCTAACTGTTAAAGAACCAAGAGGTTCCTGTGTCTTTTATCTAAAGTACAACATTTTTTCATGCTTTCAGTAAAGTTTACTTTCAAAACACTCTCACATATGTCTTATCTGAGCTTGGGCCAGATGTGCAGATAAGTGGGTTTCTCAACATAACTCTGAGCTCCCTAACTCCCTCTGCTCAATACAGGACAATTCACAGCCGTGTTTCCTTTGTCTGAGAGCCTTGTAAGGCCTGCTGCTATCAGCGAACTTTTCCAAGTTCAGTTTCAGGAGTTAAATACAAATGTTTGGTTTGATTTTTTGTTGAAGGTCATATAGATGCTATTCCAACACTCAGCAGGGGGTTCGAAGCTCTGATAAAAGTCCACACTGCTGCACGTATCCATATTAGGGACCACTTCTTGAGTCCTTGTCCCGTCATACTCAGAGTTATTCTTTGTGTGTTTTAAGTTTTGTTGTTTCTTCTGTGGCTTTTAAATGATGGGGATGACATAGCATGTGACTTACTGGTGACAGCTGTGCCACTCCCAGGAGTAGCGCGGTCTACTGGGTAGAAAGTCCGCCGTGCCCTGGTTCTTGACTTTCTGAGGGAATCTCAGCAGCATCCGCGTGTCATAGTCCCGGACATTGGATCTGTACGCTGAGCTGCGGTCAACAAGAGAACCACATGAACTGAATTTAATGACCAGCCATATTGTTTTTCCTCCTGCTCCCTCATCCCCTCCCAGAATCTGTCTGATTGAGGCTGTCTGCTCTTAAATGCTGGGTGGAAAAAGCATTTCAGGCTCTGCTTGTTTGAGTAAGCTCTCAATAATGTGTTTACCAGTGAGACTTTCACTGCTCAGGGAGACTATGATTAAACATTACGCAGACCCTCCATCCCCCCCTCTCCACCACCTCCCCCAACTAGGAAGATGTTGTTAATTTCACCAAATGGACTGTTTCCTGTGAGCAGTGGACACACTGACCAAGAGGAGGTCATTTACCTGGACAGACAGTTCTCCTCTGCTGCACACCGCAGGCTGTACATGGGCACTCTCTGGACATAGACTGAGGCTTGCATGTAGTATGGATCAGGAACCAGGTCTGGAAGACCTATAACATAGTTATGTTAATGATCTCACTGAACATTTTGTCCAAGCAATGTTGGGAGTAAATAGTTACTTTTGTAGTCAGTTACTGTATTACTTTGTGAAATATCAAAACTCATTACAAAAATGAAAGCCAAGTAACTTCTTACCATACTGGTGGTACCTGGTGCCGTACCCCGGCCTGGACCTGGCCCTGGGCTGCTCATATGCGTCGTAGTGATTGTAATATGGGTTCTCGTAGTTGGTGGACTTGTATGGATCATTGTAGGGGTCGTCCCCAACCATCACGTCGCCTCCTGCACCGCGAGTCTCATTTTTTGCGTGGCCCCTGCGCTCTGATGTGCGTGCACGCCCTCCAAGGAACCTGTGGATGGGGCCCGAGGCCCGGGGGCCAGGGTTGGTGCCCGGGTTGGTGCCTGGGTTGGTGCCTGGGTTGGTGCCCGGGTTGGTTCCCGGGTTGGTGCCTGGGTTGGTGCCCGGGTTCCCTCCCTGGTCCCCCCCCGGGTTGGTGCCCGGGTTGGGGCGCTGCTGTCTCGCCTGGTCTCTACTGATAGTGACCGTGTGAGAGTCCTGTCTCTGGGCTGCTCCTCGCCTCCGTGCTGGATGGTACTCGGATCCTTGGCTCAGGATGCTGAACAGTTGTCCGTTATGCGACCATTGCAAGGTCTGTCTCCGAGGCGCAGTCTGAGGAGGTGGAAGTGCGTGCAGCAGAGACGCACTCAGACTGACGCACACTAACGTCCAAAGAGGCGCTCCAAGTATAAACATTCCCATCTCGACAGACACGTGGAGCCGGGGCCTAAAAGTCACACATCTCGGGTTTGGATCCAAAGAATAAAGTGAACGCTGCAGTCGCTGAAGTGATGTAGAGGAGAGAGGAGGAGTTTCTGCACTTACGTGATGCGACTGGATTTTCAGTTGCAAATTAGAAGCTAAATGTTGATCAAAAAATAATTAAATAAAGAAAACATTGTTTTCATTGTTAGCAGGATCTTTAAAGGTTTGCAACAGTTTAATCTGATTAAAAACAACTCCAAAGTTCAGCTCTGACTGTTACGAAAACTTCATGACGTCACTCTTACAAAATCTCAAGTCCGTCCTTTTCCAAACTCGCTTTGAGATCTGATGATTTACTGCTGTGTGCGAGATGAACTCAGAGAGACACACACACACAGAGACACACACAGAGAGACACAGAGAGACACACAGAGAGACACATATAGACACACAGAGAGACACACAGAGACACACACAGAGAGACACACAAAGACACACAGAGAGACACACAGAGACACACACAGAGAGACACATATAGAGACACAGCGAGACGCACAGAGACACACAGGGAGACACACAGAGAGACACACACAGAGAGACACACAGAGAGACACACACAGAGAGACACACAGGGAGACACACAGAGACACACACAGAGACACACAGAGAGACAAACATAGAGACATACAGAGAGACACAGGGAAAGACATAGAGACACACACAGAGAGACACACACACACAGACACACACAAAGTGACACACAGAGAGCTGCTCCCTCTGCCAGTGTGTGTCTGTCTCAGGGTTCTGTTGTGTGTCTTTCTCAGGGTTCTGTTGTGTGTCTGTCTCAGGGTTCTAATGTGTGTCTGTCTCAGGGTTATGTTGTGTGTTTTTCTCGGGGTTCTGTTGTGTGTCTGTCTCCGGGTTTTGTCTCAAGGTTCTGTTGTCTGTCTCAGGATTCTGTTGTGTGTCTGTCTCAAGATTCAGTTGTGTGTCTGTCTCAGGCAGAGAGACACACAGAGAGACACACAGTGCTGCTCCCTCTGCCAGTGTGTGTCTTTCTCATGGTTCTGTTTTGTGTCTGTCTCAGGGTTCTGTTGTGTGTCTGTCTCAGGGTTCTGTTGTGCGTCTGTCTCAGGGTTCTATTATGTGTCTGTCTTGTTCAGTTGTGTGTCATCTTGTAAAAATGAACAGATAAAGAGGCTCAATCCAAAGCGCATCTGCTCAGCGTCAGTAGCGTGTGCAAAGTAAACATGTCTGATATGGATTTATTCTTTGGTGCAGTTTCCTCAAGTCTCTGCAAACTTAACATTCACCACATTTCTCTGTTCTCCAGTATCAATCTATTACAAAACATTGGATGACAAAAACAGCTGCTTTTCAAGACTTTCTCCTGAAATACTCCCAAGAACTCACAATGAGATTTATGGAAAACAAGTGAGAATATGAAAGGTTAAAGAAGCAATGAGTAAGAATCTGGCCAAAAATCTGTGCTGCACTCTCACTGACTCAGGTTGCTGGAAATGCAAACGAATCCAGCTGGGACCATAACAGCTGATAAGACAAGAGTTTTGTCAACAACAAATCTTTAACCAACATCTTTTTCACAAAGGCCCGATAGAAATCCTCCTTTTGTTCTTTGTTTTGTCATTAATTATTTCAAAATCAAAACTAGACCTTTTTTATTCCTGCGGCCACATTAGGGGCTGTAAAACAAACTCTGAAATTCAAATATCTCTGAACTACTGTTATCAGTTAAAGAAGTATTGGAAAAGAGCACGTTTTATTAATGCCTTTTGACAGATTAGGGTTAGGGTTAGCAATTACATATTGCTTCTTTAAGGCTCACTTTTATCACTTTTAACACACACATGTTGATGCATTGTCTTGTTGGAGAGTTTGTTACTTTGATACGTTTTTGATTCCCTTAGTTGAAATTCATGTGTCCAGTAGCAGCAAAAACACATTCATTCCCACAAACAAAACAAATTAATTAATTATTCTAAAACGCTAACAATAGTAATAATAAACAACAGCCCTTCAGGTCACAGCATCAGAGGTGGAGTAGCCTCTGGGTGGAGCAGGACGGGTCACAGCAGCAGAGGTGGAGCAGCCTCTGGGTGGAGCAGGACGGGTCACAGCAGCAGAGGTGGAGCAGCCTCTGGGTGGAGCAGGACGGGTCACAGCAGCAGAGGTGGAGCAGCCTCTGGGTGGAGCAGGACGGGTCACAGCAGCAGAGGTGGAGCAGCCGCTTGGTTCGGACCATTTTCTCTGCTCTATCCATCCATCCATCCATTTTCTTCCCCTTAATCCATTTCTGGGTCGGGGGTGTGGCAGTCAGAGCTGCACCCAGTCCACATAGCACCAGCCCCTCACTGATCCTCCTGCAGGTGGTGAGTCCACAGGAGCTGAGATCTTTCAGTGGGAGCTTCAGGCAAAGTGGGGTTAAGTGTCTTGCCCAAGGACACAACGACAGCAGTCATCAGTGGGAGTTGTGAAGTAAGTCTTATGGTGGGCTTGAACCCACGACCTTCAGGCCCAAAGGCCAATGCTCTACCAACTGAGCCACTGTCGCCTTCTCTGCTCTAGTCCAAAGTAAAATGCTTCATTAGCATTTTTCAAAAAGTTAGCCTTCCTCCCGTGGATTTTCACCTGATCCACTCTCAGACCATGAATATTCTCTGCTTTGGTCTGGACCAGTACAAAACCATGAACACAGCAACATCTCAGGTAGGAAAAAATAATCCTACAGAGTTAGTCCCTCTGAAATAGTCCTACTAAGATAGTCCCACTGAGATAGTCCCTCTGAAACAGTCCCACTGAGATAGTCCTACTGAGATAGTCCTACTGAGATAGTCCTACTGAGATAGTCCTACTGAGATAGTCCTACTGAGATAGTCCTACTGAGATAGTCCCACTGAGATAGTCCTTCTGAAACTGTCCCACTGAGATAGTCCCACTGAGATAGTTCCACTTCAGGGGAACCAAGTGCCCTGAGAGGCGAGAGTGCTAACCACTCAGCCACTGTGCCTTCACATTGTACTCATATAGATAGTGTATACATGTATAGACATAAAGTAGTCTTGCCTTGTGTTAAACTTTCTCACTGATTTCAAAACAATTGAATTGTGTTGTTGTGTGTGATGCGTCTGAACTGTTGCCTCTTTTGTTTCAGGCGACTGTGCGGACGACAAAGGCTGTGCTCGGACATTCCGATAGTTCCAGAGTCAGGAGTCTGTGCATGTGTTTCTCCCTCGGACTCAGAACCCGCTGCACCCAGACTGTGGTGGACCTCGTAACTCATGATCCATCGAGGACGGTTCCCCTAAACTCACAAACATCTGCAAAGAATTACACACATTCTTCTGCGCTGGCAGCTGCAGTCGGAGCACAGGAGCACCACTTCATACAGGTGCACAGGACACAGCTGCTTTAGCACTTCATACATGTGCACAGTACACAGCTGCTTTAGCACTTCATACAGGTGCACAGGACACAGCTGCTTTAGCACTTCATACAGGTGCACAGGACACAGCTGCTTTAGCACTTCATACAGGTGCACAGGACACAGCTTCTTTAGCACTTCATACAGGTGCACAGGACACAGCTGCTTTAGCACTTCATACAGGTGCACAGGACACAGCTGCTTTAGCACTTCATACAGGTGCACAGGACACAGCTTCTTTAGCACTTCATACAGGTGCACAGGACACAGCTGCTTTAGCACTTCAGGAGCCTCAACCTTATGTTTATTTTGGTCTTAATTATCATATTTACAGTAGCTCAGGTGGTAGAGCATTGACCTTTGAGCCTGAAGGTTATGGGTTCGAGCCCAACACAAGACTTTCTCCACTGACCCCCATGTCTGCCGTCGTTGTGTCCTTGGCAAGACACTTAACCTCTGGGAACACCAGGTGCCACAGTGGGGCGGCTGTAAAGTGCCAAACTGCCGTTGTGTCCTTAGGCAAAGAATGAGTCTTTTCTGTGTGTGTGTGAAAAGTGAAGGAATAATGAATAATGATCTTTGAGTGTTCAAAAAGCGCTACATAAAACCGATGTATTATTATTGTTATTTATCTGTTTGTTAAGGTCTGAAAACTTAATAACCTATTCAAAGACAGATCAAATGTTATTAACTGACACATTGAGTCATGCTATTCCACTAACATCATCATAAAGTACTGTTTTAGATGGTGGCTACACGTCTCGTAGACAAACCAAATATTCCTTTGATAAATACTCTGTTGGAGCACAAAGCTGGGGCTCTCACTAGACACTGCTCTGTGGACGACGTGGCATCATCGTTATGTGTGTGAAGCAAGGGGAGGAGAAACCAGCAACACTCCTGCAACACACTCTGGGATAAAGGAGTGAGAGTGTCCAGAGATCAACCAAACAGATTCTTATTATGTGACTTCCTGTTACTTACAATAACATCATTCTGACTGTGAGAGGTCTCTGTTGACTATCTCGGTGTGAAGGTCTCTAGACACTTTCTTCTGTAAAGCAAAATAAAGACTGCAAATGAACAATCCTCCACTGTGGTGTTCGAGTCTGAGCACAGGGACGTGCTTGTGTAGTAACATAGTCTATAGTTACATCAAAGAGTATATGGACTTCTATAGTCTTTGGTTACATGACCAATGCCACGTGAACATTACAGGGTGAAGGCGCCATCTACTGGGCAAAAACAAAACTGCTATGAAATGTATTTTAATGTAATATAATAACATAACATAACTTCAGTCTCTTTGACCAATGACCAACAACATGAAATAAAAAAAAACAAAACAACTTAATTTCCCAACAGACTTTATTGAAAGTGAGTGAACCGGCAGCAGCTGGACCTCCACACTGGAAATAAACATGTGTTAGTTTCAGAGTTAGATTTGAACCACACTTTAATCTACTCACATTCTGTCTTCACCTCAGACTCGAGACTTCCTCTTTTTCTTCCTCTTCCTCTCTGCACAGAGAAAAATCAAATAGATCTTGTTACATTAAATACATTGAACATTTGCAATGTTCAATGTATCTAGGAGGATCCACCTGTCAGTGAGGATGGTAGGGGGTAGGAGCAGCTCTGTCCCCCCGACCCTGAAATGGAATAAGGGGAAGAAAATGGATGGATGGATGAATGGATGAATATACTGTATTTAGGTGAATGGTGTCACACTTTGTACAGTATAGAACTTCTTCTCAAAGTGGCGTCTACAATAAGTCAATTTACAAATAACAATTAATACGATTATCTTTTACTTTTGATTGTTTTTTTCTCTAGATATTGTGAATATTAAAGATGAGATCATCGTTTACTTTTGAAAGTGTCGGAAACAGCAGCAAGTTCTAAGTAGCTCTGAAACAGTGATTGTTTTGTGATTTACATTTGTTATTTTTCTTTCTTTTTATCTACCTGAGAGGTTGCTGCGATACAGTATTCATGATTTTACACTGGTCCAGACCAGAGCAGAGAGGATTCATGGTCTGAACCAAGCGGATCAGGCGAAAAACCTCTGGAGGAATGCAAACTTTTAGAAAAATACTAATGAAGCATAAAGCATTTTACTTTGGACTAGAGCAGAGAAAATGGTCAGAACCTCTGCTGCTGTGACCTGAAGGACTGATTATTATTACTATTGTTAGCTTTTTAGAATGATCAATTACAGCCACAGCTGCTACAGCTTGGTGATACAACATGGCTAAAAATGTAACAAAGAACTCAATCCGGCATATTAATTTGAAAGTACTTTGCATGATGTTGGTCTATGAAATGCACTGTTTAAATATAGATGACTAAACTCCTGGGAAATGTGTTGCACCTCTTTTCATTCTGTTCATTAACGCCTACTAATATTCTCCTGTTGTTATTGCTTGGCCCTTTCATCTAACTTCAACATTTGAGACTGAGGAGAGAGACTGAGGAGAAAGTCTGAGGAGAGAGACTGAGGAGAGATACTGAGGAGAGAGACTGAGGAGAAAGTCTGAGGAGAGAGACTGAGGAGAAAGTCTGAGGAGAGAAACTGAGGAGAGAGACTGAGGAGAGAGACTGAGGAGAGAGACTGAGGCATTGGGAAAGTTGTTAAATTTTAAAGCCAGAGCTGCAGTTCAAGTTTCGTTCCCCAGATAGAACCCCACCTTAACCTTAACTCTAATTATAGAATGGTGGGACCATAGGGACTCCAAATGATGTCTGCTGGATGATCAAGGCTGTGACATCACAGACAGAGCAGCCTTCCCTCCTGTGGACTCACCATCTTCAGGAGGATCAGTGGGGGCTGGTGCTCTGTGAACTGGGTGCAGCTCTGACTGCCAGCGCCCGACCCAGAAATAAATTGAGGGGAAGAAGAACGATGGATGGGACTATAGGGCTGTGGGGACAACGGGATGAGTCTTTCTGGCTTTGGTTGTTCAAGTCCATTGTGCCTTCTCAAGTTAAATACGGCTGTGAAGCTTTATATACAAACTGACGGTGGATGTTCATTGGCTCATGCTTTGGTCCTCTTGGAACACTGCTGCTAAGATGCTTTTCGGCACAGACTGTGGAGGGATGCATTGTGCTGTGTTGCGCACCTCTGTGAAAGATAGCATGTCAGCTAAAGATGAGCCATGTTGAGCATGTACTGGAAAATGGGCTTAACCAGTGAAGCCCAAACTAGATTGATACATGGTTCTAGCCCTGTTCTGTGTGGCGCATTTGCAGGAGGAAGAGAAAGCCCCTGCCAGACATCCATGTTGGTAGAACCAACCATATTTTACAGTCTGTGGGTGTAAAATACGTGCTTCGCTTGGGTCGCCATATTGGGGCCCCAAAAGGTAGCCATGGTGAATCTGCGGATCCACAGTGAACAGTTATTTGTACAGGTGAACTGGTGGGAAACCTCATGTTGCTTAGTTTGAGCTATGTTGAAGCAATGATCGGGATGTATTTTTAGTCCTATACTCTCACTGTGGACTGTGTCTTCCTCTGACACCAACTTCATCACTGGTGGTCTCATCAGAGTGTGCTCAGCTGGAGGCTTTTTGTGAATCCATACTTGCAACAAACTCTTCAAATGGCCAATGATCCGTTACATTCAGTTATATGTTCAATTAAATAATATACTTTTCACATAAAACAAATGTGTCAGAACATAGGTCAGTGTAAATTCTGAGTTGGTGTATTGTTACAGCCCTGGGAGTTTTAAATGAGAAATATTATAGTTACATTTGTTAGATAACTTTTCTTAGAAACAAACAACACATAACACAGAGAGAAAACCAGACTGTTATAGAGAGATTGTTATTTATTAGTAATGCAAACACCAGTTAAACACACAAGGTTAAAGAAAGATGGAAGCTGGATCTGAACATGCTACATTGGTTTCTAATATAACCACGGTTAGAAACTATGAGGCATCACATAATGCAATGTAATGAGGAATGAGAGGTGAAACCCAATTCAACATTAAGCTAATTTACTAACTTAACTGTGGTCATAGGACGACTATGGACATCACCCTTTGAACTTGCGACTGTTCAGGAGGGTCTGATTGTCCAAACACATGTTTTAGCCTCTGACTCCTATCTGTGTAGTTTACATGGTTCCAAAGGTGAAGGAGGTTGAGTCTAGGAGCTAAAGGCTAGTGGTTATACAGTACATCAGACTTTATCCAGATCCAGCCAGAATTAAGAGTCCCACCTGAGCAGCTTTGCTCCTTCCAGGCTTTCAAGTTGACGGAAGGGAGTTTGTTGCACCGGACAGGGCGGTTCGATCGGGACCAGGCCCTAAAAACATCCTGTGGTACGGTTGTGATCCCAGTGTTATCACAGATGACTCTAGAGAGGGTGACTCTGGACAGGGCAAGTCTCTGTCTCTTTGTGAACACTCCAGGGTTTTCATACCAAAACCTGGAAATCACCAATATTGTTAAAGATATCATCAATTATTCAAAGCTTTTGGTTCAAAGGTTCAGACCTGTCTCCTTGTCGGATATCTTTGAACTGATTGGCAATAAGACATGCAAATAGAGGACCCACTCGGCCTCCACGAACAAATGGCTCTGAAACTCCTCCCAGCCAAACATCAATGTTTTCAGGTGTGCCATAGAGATCCAACAGCTTTTGGGCAAGCTCTGTGTTGTTCATCACTTGTGCCAATTCAGCCTGGTTTCTGGGAGCAGATAGACCACAGAACCTACGCCAAGCATTGTATCCTAAAATAAAATATGTGTATACATGAGAATACATGTTTTACTTTTGTAAGGATAGAAGCTGTTTGGTTTACCTGGCAAGCCATGGTCACGTCCTCGCTGCATGTTCAGAGAGCCCAGGTCCAAAGCCAGCTGCCGAACAAACTGAAACAGTCTTTCCCTCAAAGCGTCCACCATCATGTGATCCTGAGTGTTCAGTTTGGCAGGACGACTGATTAAACCACGAATCAGTGGATCCACACCACCTGAACAACAACAACTGTCAGAATGAAAACATCAAGTTAACTGAAGGTATTGATATTGACTTTACCCTCAAAGACGATCCGCCATGGAGCAAAGAAAGACTGGCTCAGAGACACACTGGGAAACTGGGGGTGCTCCCTGTAGTTTGCATCCAGACGAGTTAACATGGGTTGGATGGCCAAATGTGCAAAGCGATAGACAGCTGTGGCAAACACGTTGGACACACTGGGGTCAACTCTGGGATTGTAGCCAGGGTACCGTCCAAGGAGCCTGTGCATAGCGTCAGGACCAACAATATGAGGGAGGTAGTCCCTAAACACAAATATCTAAAACAAAAATAGTTTTAGGTTAGTCAATAGCTTAATTTAAGTTACTTCTCCTTTGGCCCCACAACATTTGGAACTTAGTGTTGGGCCAAGATCCGTGTTAAAGCCATTTTTGACTCATGGTCGCCATCGGGTTGCACAGTGTATTTTAATACACATTGACAGCTTCTTATCTTTGTATATTTGTACATGCGCTCAGTCATTGCAGTCAGAACTACAGGAGTGGTGGAGCCTGACTGAGAAGACGGAAACCTGCTTCCGAGTCATGATTGGACAGCCAGGTACTAATACATTCCATGGAGAACTCTGGTCAAACCATAGACTGTAAAAACAGCACTGGAGGTCACTTGCATTATTTTGGCATCCGTAAACTCAATTATCATTTCCTTTTTTGTAATTTGTCGGATGGTATGGTAAGACCAGGCTACACTTGCATCAGAGATTTCAGATTTTTCTTGACTATTTGAGCAACTGGACATTATCAAAGTGAAATCACCAGGATCATAGTACTTAATGAAACTGGGCTACTTGCTTGCTCATTTTAGAAATGTAAATCGTGCTATTTTTGAATAATTGTATTAAATATCTTCTTTGAGCATGATTTTATCATGCAACTACAATATAACTGGATACATTAAACCATGATAAATATAAACCCCGCCCCTTTGAGCGGGAACCGTCTTTTCCAGACACAGCCGGCGTCATCTTGTCTCTGTTGTTCAACCAGAGTTGCCAGATCCGCGGTTTTCCCGCACAATTGGGCTACTTTAAATTGGCCGTTGCGGGAAAAAATCTTGTGCTGCGGGTTGCAGTTTTCTTGGGCTGATTTTAAACTGTCCGCGGCCGCAACTTTATCTGTCATTTTATCTATTTTTCCCAATCAGATTCGTCACATTCAAAGCTCAGCACTGTCCCTCACCCCCCTTCCCCACCCCCACCCTCCCCGTCTCTCTCGCTCTCTCTCGCTCTCTCTCTCACTCACACGCAAGCCTTTGAGTGGTGCCGCGGCACGCCCCCCTACGCAAGACAGAGGCCGCACGTGCAGCGGCAAAGAAGCCAGTCAGTCAGCTATCAAGACCGTCATTTTGGTCATTTTAGGCACGCGGAAAAAAGAAGCTAACAGTGCGATGTCAGGTAAATGGGGGAAGTACCAAAAACGATATAGGAAGGAATGGGAGTCAGAAAGGGGCATAAAAGAGTGGATACGCAGTGTCCCAAATGATGACAGAAAGGCTTTCTGCAAGTTCTGTAAGAGTGAAATGCGAGCACATCACAACGACTTGCTAATGCACGCTGCTACTGTTAAGCACAAGAAAAATGCGACTCCTTTTTCAAACGCGCGGACTTTATTTGACACTGGCTGTTCTGTTCAAACTACACATGCTGCTGTGAAGGAGGCAGAGCTCACTTTGGCCGCTCATGTTGCTTGTCACTCGAGCATTTTGACTGTTGACCATTTGGGACCAGTGTTGCCAACTCCTCAGTAAGGAAAGTAGCTATTGGCTGTCCCAAAAGTCGCTAGAAGTCGCTAAATGACGTCATCGCCTAATTTGCATAATTTTCCATTTGCAAATAACTGTAACGGACGCTGTAGGAGAGAGGAATAAGGTCGTGGGAGAGACAAAAGTGAGTAAAAACACCCTAAATATGTTTAGAACTACAAATGTACAAAAATAATTTCAACATTAACAACATTTAATGATTTTAATGCTTTGTCTAGATCCACATTACACACATCAGTTTTGTCCTGTATTGTTAAATGTTATAACAGCAAATGTAATCAAAAGATTGTTATGTAGGGTGAAATTGCTAGCTCTACAACCAACCCTCCTCCTTTATCCGGGCTTGGGACCGGCAAAGTGACCCAAAAGACACACTCTGACAGAGTTACTTAGGTTTATTTTTGTAAGTTTTTTTTTTTTTCATAGTTTGGCATAACAAATGATTTAATGTGACCCACTACTGAGAGAAAACAGAGTCACGGACAGAGCTGCCGCGGATGGAGTGGGGGGTAGTGGGGGGTGGCGGTGGTAGGAGTGGCCGGGGAGCTTTGGATGTGTGGTGGTGGTGGAGCTGGAGTTCAGTCTGCAGCAGCCTGAAAACTCCCTGTGCTTTTGAGTCTCCTCTCTCTCTCTCTGCTCCGCCCATAGACTGTAGCTGGGACTGCTGCGCAAGGCTACTGTGAGACAGACTGGCCGCCTGTAAGTGCTTTGGGACGGGGGAGGGGCTCACGTTGAGGACAGCAGAACAATACGTGCTTCACGAGTCTCCAAAACACCAGATAAGTCGCCAAAACACCAGATAAGTCGCCAATAACACCAGAAAAAGTCGCTAGATTTGTCGCTAGTCGCTTTTTTGAAAAAAAGTCGCTATAGGGGTCTGAAAAGTCGCTAAATCTAGCGACAAAGTCGCTAAGTTGGCAACACTGTTTGGGACGCTTGTCTATCAACAGAGCTGCAGCAGAACTGGTTAAGAGGAAGAGTGAAAATGTAAGATAATTAACTAATCTAGGTAGGTACTAGGTAATGAAACACACACTCTTTTAAACAAACTTTTGACTGACACCTATGTCTTTGTGTGTCAATACAGCAGCTGATGAAAGGAGAATAAACCAGCCAATGTTGTTTGGCAAACAGAATGTTTTTTTGATAAATAAATTTAAATTGAACTGAAATTAATTATTGGGCTAGTTTTCATACTTTTTGGTCGAGTTTTGAGAGGTCATTGGGCTGGAAATTTTTCTTAGACCTGGCAACCCTGTGTTCAACGGTTGGATCATATTTACAGTCTATGATGTGAACAAGTGCGTTTCTGTGGACGTCAATCATTAAGGGTAAAATCATCATTTCCTATCACAGTAAGGTTAAACTTTTTAACTTAATTTTTTCTAACGTATCCATACTGTTAAACCATGCTACCCAACTTAAGTTGATCATTTTACTTCTGTTTAGTGTGTGGAAATATTTTAATTTAGCTGCTGTATAATCCGGTGTGACCAGAAATATAGTAAATGGTGTTGGGATTAACCTTCCACAGTGATTAAGTTACTATCAGACATGTGAGCATTTGCCTTTTCTCACTGGTCATTGGTTTTTGCAGTAACCTCTCAGTTTAGAAGACGGGTTTTCTCTGTGGGGCTCAGCCATGGATCAGCCAGCACCGTGAGCCAGCGTCTCTCAAGGTACAACCATAGACTGTATGGTACAACCATAGACTGTATGGTACAACCATAGACTGTATGGTACGGGGTCGGCCCGATGTTCCCCGGGTCCGATGTTCCCCGGGTCCGGTGTTCCCCGGGTCCGGTGTTCCCCGGGTCCGGTGTTCCCCGGGTCCGGAGTTCCCCGGGGCGGGGAACACCGGACCCGGGGAACATCGGACCTTCCAAACGCCGGAGGGCCCGGTGTTCCCCGACTGCGGGCCTCGCTCATAGACATGTTATTGCTGCGCGCGGATAATGGAGCAACAAGCGGCTTTCGCTCATAACTAGTCTATTTTGGGTAGGCCTGCAGATTAGTAAGTAGGCCAAATTCGCTTGCAAACTACAAGGGCTAACTGGAATTGGGGTTTCAAAGAATATGGTTCAAACGCACACACGCACGCACACGCACTCACGCGCGCACATACACACAAGCTCATTTATGAAACTTGCGTTGAAAAAGGTGTACATTTTGGGTGTATATTCCATTTACGCAATTTGCCAAAATCTTTTGATACATTAGAAAAATCCTTATTGAATTGTAGAAGTGAATAAATATAGAGATTGATTGAATGAATGAATTAATTCATATATATTATGCAGCGGTGGCTCTCATGAATGAAGCGTCTGCAGCGTCTTGGACGCAGCCTGGCTCGGGGTAGAAGTGCGCATTGAGGCGCTGTACACTTCAGAGAGCGTTTGCGGTCCAGATTTCACAAAGAAACTCTGGAGCCAAAACTTCTGCACATGTGGCGCGACCTCTCACGGCACTCGCTGCGCACTCTGGACAGGGCAGTGAGACATTTGAGTGAGCAATACCATCGATGCGTTATTGGGGTGTGTGTCTGTGTGAGGCTTACACAAATCTAATGAAATAACACATTGCTTTACCAGATGTGAATGAGGAATACAAATAGCCGTGCGTAATTACGCAGCGCAGAGCCTGCCACAGCAACAGCTGGGTCACACATCCCTGTTGCGTAAAGTGTATTTATATAGAGCCTTTCACTGTCCAGGATCACAAAGCGCTTCACATTTTAAAAACATACAGATCAAAATAATACACACACAAGTCAGATTTAATAGAGGGTCCTCATGAGCTGTGATTTATTCGAAGTTTGCGTGTTTCCATTAGACTTTTTCTGATGCGCAAATTCAAATTTTGAAACATGATCCTCAATGAAAACACAGCATATAATTTTGCCAGAGGGAATATGTTTATTGTTGTACATATCTTGAATTTCATGCGTGCTGTGCCGAAGGTTGAGTTCAGCGTATAGATTTACACCACCTCCAGACCTGGCGTTTATTTTTTGCGTATTGTACGCTCACGTCACGTCCATAAATGCGGAAAAGTGTAATATTTTGCGTACGCCTCATTTACCCTGATTTGGCCGTACGCAGGTTTCATACATGAGGCCCACAGTGAGGCCCAAAGTGAGGCCCACAGTGTGTCTCACACAGGCCTAGAGTTTACCTCATCAGTGCAAGGCGAGCCAGGCCTGACCGCGCTCTCCTCCTCTGGGACCTATACGGGCCCGGGCCTCTGGCTCCTCTACCTCACAAAGTTCACGCTGAACTTTCTTAAAATTAAAATGAAAAAGGCTGCTCTGTTGTGAATGCTTTGAGAGCGTTGTCAATCTTTAAGACGAGGAATAGCTGGTTGTTCTCGCTTCACGCTGTGTGATATGATATTGGACAAAATTGTTCAGCCAATAAACAGGACTATATTTGAAGCAACTTAGGAACGTGATGACGCTCAGGGGGTTATATTATTATTATAATTATTATTATTATTCCCCCCACTGTAGGAGCCAATACACTTTTCAATATTTTTGAATTCTGAGCGTTTCCAATTGTATTTAAAAATGGGAAACCTAATTAAACAATCATGAATTGAGCTTTTCCGATCTTATTTTACACTGATTCCTTTGATCATTTTTTTCTTAAAGTTCAAGTTGTAAAAATGCTATGTTTGAATTGGTTATTTACATTTTAACTGTGAGTGACACGTAAGGCGGGACAACAATGCACAATGACGCACGCATTCTGAATAGAATAATATGTATTAATATCTCTAAAACTAAAAGAGCATATTCAAGTTTTACAACAAAAACGACGTCATATGCGTGTCCATTATGCGTAAAAGCACAGTGCCCTCAGCAAAACCACGTATTTGGAAAAACTATAGGCTAACAGATGTAGTAGCTCTAGTTTCAATCGTCCTCATTTTATTCAGTCAGACTTGTCAAATATAGATGCCCATGGGAGAGTGAGCAAGGGGAGATAACATGCCCATAACATGCCCAAAAATATCCTGCATAGACTCAAGCTGCGATCAGCTGAAATATGAGCACACAAAGAGCGAGAGGGAAAAAGAAAAGTAAATAGGCTTAGGCTAGTTAGTATTTTTTCTCTCACAAAAGTTGGCGCGGATCATATGCCATCTTTCGTGGAGGAGGAAACATCAAACATCAAAGGGCGCACGCGGGGAACAGCGGGACTAGTCTCGTTGTTGAAGTCCCGATGTTCCCCCACTTCTATAGGCGGGGGAACATCGGACCCGGGGAACATCAGGACTTTTTAATACGCGAAGTACCGATGTTCCCCGGGTCCGATGTTCCCCCGCCTATAGAAGTGGGGGAACATCGGACCCGGGGAACATCGGACCCGGGGAACATCGGTACGCAAGACTGTATGGTACAACTTCTCACACAACAGGAAGGTCAGCCATCCTCTGTGTTTCCTTTGTTTGAATATTCCCTGTAGACTGAGAGTTAAACACACACTTACTACACTGAGACACTGAAGCCAGATGAAATAAAGCTGGTGTACCCTTACTTTTGTTATGAATAGAGATATCTCACGTGACGTCACGATGCCTCGAACTCGCGGGGCATCCGCCTTACTGGAGGACAAGCAAACGCTGTATGATAGTGGCGTGCACCCGGGGCCGCATAAACATGTTCAAAATTGTTGCCGTTTTTGGCTGCAGCAAAAGGAGAGACAGGGAAAATAAGTTGTGTTACCGACTGCCAGCCGTCCTTACTTCACAATAAAAAACTAATAGCCCCCAGAGCGCCCGAATATGCTCGGATCATTTCATTTCTGCTAAGTGAAATCAATTTGATGGCGGATTTAGTGTTATTCCGAAACAAACAGAAGTTTAAGGATAAAACATATCTGTCTGACTGCAACGTGGGGTTGCTCCATAGACTGTAGCTTAGCTTGTAGCATAGCTGTTATATATTTGGTCTCACACAGGACCTCACCCGGTTCACAGGGGATCTGACTTACCGAAGGCCAGCAGACATGTGAACGACTGAGCCGTGCTCCAGGGGGCCCCGTACTAGTATTTATTAATAAAATATACGGCTCCTCACAGTAGACGCAGAAAGCTCCATTGATTTGAATGTAATCTCATTATTTCCACTGCAGTGTAGCCACACATAGATCCATGGTGTAACAATAAACACATTAAATGTTAACTCTCTAGGCGCCACGGTCGACTTAAGTCGACAAGCTGCGCTACTGTTAAAAACGGCCGAGTGTGTCCAACTACGTGTCAAAATTCATTCATGCTCCCTGCCACTAGTTGGCAGACATGTCAGACTACCTCCCTGGACCCAAAAAACGTCATGCTCCTATACAAAATATTTGAGCAAGACCGCGTTGAACCAGTGCAGAAATCATTGTGAAGCGATGCAGCTGCGGGGCAGCCTGCGAGTGTTACACCGCACCAAACACTAACTTTAGACACTTTGCACAGGGTCTGCAGTGGGAACAGTGTTTCTCAGAGTAAGGCAAAGTTGGGAGGTTCGGAGACAGGTTAGATTTGCGGAAAACAAGCCTGGAACTCGCGACCTCCCGCCTCCACTGAAGTTTCCGCTAAAGTCTCCGCTAAAAGTGCTTCCCACATATTTATTTTCATGCCTCCCGTAATCACCGGGACAGTAACGTGTTGGAGAAGCTTTGTCTTGTGTGTGTTAGACGAGAGAGAGATCAGGGGAGATGAGAGAGAGAGCAGGGGAGACAGCTGCAGCAGGAGGGTCGCTGTGACGCGCATCACCTGGAGGCGCACGTCTGGGCAGACTGCTCACAGCAGCACCATGATTTATATGTTTTACTATTTTCATGAACATTTACAATGTTACAGCGTGTGTTCTGTGTGTGTTCATGTATTAGTGATCAATATATGTCTGTCAGTTAGAAAAATACAAATATTGTATGAAAATTCTATAATCCACTATCTCTAACGCTAAATGACGTCATAATATGCAAATTAAATGGGGGATTTATTCCCTACATAAACTTTGGACCATCCTTAATATTTTTCTAATTTACAGAAAGCCTTTATCTCTTATCACTTTTAAGTTATAGCCTTTTTAAATTCAGATGTCAAAATCGAGCGTTTTGGAAAAAAACCTCTGGCACTTAAAGGGTTAATCGGAGAATACATTATACATATACATTCTTAATACACGTGCACAGAGGTTTTCAGAATTTTCTGTTCACGTTTTCATGAAAAAACACTGTTTTAATGCGACAATATGCGAACATTAATAATAATTTTAGGATGCATTTTCAGAGGATCTGATTCATGAATTTAGGTCGAGTATATATTTGGGTCACTAACTGCTGAAGTTTCAAATTCTCTGTTCAGTTTTCATGTAGTTCAAGAGAGTTCTAGTTTTGAACGTCCAGTTATAGATAGCTAGCAGGGCTGTTACTCGCCGAGGTTGTCCTCCAGTATGGCTGCCGTGGCTGCTAGTCACGTGACCGTAGGATCCCTCTATACGTTTGTATTAATCGTCTAAGAAACATGTTTATCTTTTACATACTGATTGGCTGAGTGAGGGTGGTGCTCTCTTTTCTGTCTGTAAAGAAGATTTACAGACAATAATAGTAATACAGCGGTTAAACCAATTACTGCCAGCTAAACTGTCCAGACTAGGGGCGGAACAAGAGAGGACCAGCGAGCATTGCAGGTGTGGGCAGCAATGTGTGGAAGCATCCAGAGAGTGGTAAGGGCAGGGAAGAGGTCAAAGCCACCACAACACTTTCTCAACTGACTCCCACTGATGTCTGCTGTGCCTATTTGTGGCCATACTTGCATGCAAAAGCCAGCTGCCGTCAGAAATGTGAAGCTGTGCAGGGCAGCGCCTGGTTAGACCTCTGGGAACACCAAGTGCTACAGTGGGGCAGCTGTAAAGTGCCGTTGTGTCCTTAGGCAAGACACTTCACCCACATTAGAGTCTGGTGTGTGTGTGAATGGTTGGTGGTGGTCGGAGGGGCTAATGGCACATACTGGTTGCCTCGCTTCTGTCAGTGTGCCCCAGGGCAGCTGTGGCTACAGTAGTAGTTTAAAGTACAAATAGAGAAAATAGATACATCAACATAAATAATTTACCTTGCTAATAACAGTTTTATAGACTATTGTAAGGACTGTAATGTGCTGACTGTAATTTTATGTTATTTAATTTCTGTAAAAATACATATTATTTCATTTAATGTATCTGAAAAGATATTGTATTATTATGTGCAACTTATAACGGTAATTTTGTTTTTGTTTTTCTGTCACAGGGGCTGGAAAGAATCCTGTTTGGAGACCACTTGATCCTTCCATGAAGCTGCAGTGAGGGTTAGGTCAGAGTGAACAGAGTGACAATTCCTCCATCCAGTAACCCAGATCAGCTTGCTCCTTTCCCCGTGACCTTTTTCAGAGGTTTCTCGAAAGTTTTGTAAAAAGTACGACAATAACTCTTAACAGACTCTAATAATTAGCAGACTAACCAAACCTCTACCCGCCGGCGAAGGAAATAATAGTTGTTACCTGTGTGTATGCTCCCAGGATTTTACGGGACTCCTGATACAGCGTCTCATTGTCCCACTGGGGATTTATCCTCTTCAGAGCTCGAGCTACACGGTTGTGCTCTCTCAAGAAAAGTGTGTGAAGTGGAGTCAGAGCTATGTTCTCATCCACTCGCACGTCACCTTAAAACAACAAGATTCTGTAATCCTCAGTTACTGTGGAGATGTATAGAACACTAAGACTAAACTTACCTGCGATGAAGCAGGGCACCTCCTTGGCATTGGTGTCATTAGTGATTCGTTTACGTGTGGCGCACATGTTCATCTCCAGGCCGGTGAAAGGCAGCAGTTCTCTGCCATTATCTCTAAACTCAGTGTTGACCCGCATCAGCCCTCCTTCATTTTCTGTATCACGCAGGAACAAGGCAAGCTTCTCCTCTGAGCCGTACACTTGACCCAAGTCCAGGAAAGCAGTCAGAGCATTCATTTGCTCTCTCTTTATAGCCTCTCTACTAAAGTTATAGGTCGAAAACCCTGTTCCACATGTACGGGCTGATCTGAAAACTGGAATACAGCTGTCTTTCCCAGTGGGCAGGCGTGGGTCACCTGGAGGTATCTGAGAAAGACAACATACTGTTCAATATGATATTTATGGACTGTAAAGGTTGTTCTGAAGTAGGTAAGCTTATACCGCAATGGGGAGGCAGGGATCAGTACGCTCACAGCTCTCTTCACAGTTTATTCCGTTGCTGTATGAACGAATGCTCGGAGAGAATGGGGTAAAAGTCAAGTCATGATCATTCCATTGGCCAAACAAGGTGACCATATGTGTGAGCTCTCTGTCATTGATCACACCTGCATCTGTTGTAGCCAAAATGTTGTTGGATACCTGTCTGACCTGCATAAAAGCTGTGTTAGGCATGGTTCATATAAATAATACATTAGGCTTGTGTGTCACACCAATGGAAGCAGGAAGTTATTAATTGTCCGGTTGTTCCATCCTTTGGGTTGAGATATGCCATCATCGTACTCAGCTGGAAGCCATCGAATGAACGGAGTATTCGAAGCACCGAGATGAGGGCTTTTCCTAAGAACAAACACTCAATGTTTAGTCACGTGAGACATAAAGGGAGGATCAAGTGGGTCTGGTCTCACAGGTTGTTGCAGACACCAGTTGCGGTGCGATATTTGTTCAAATTTGGTGTTGTTTGACAGTTAGGCAGCCTGATTCTTGCTGCACATCCAGTGACTTCAGCCAAACCTATCAGCTCCTTCGTCGTGAGAGCATCTAAAAAAACAGTTGACGAACTAATGAACCCAGACAGAGGTCTTGTTTTATGCATATTCTTTCAGACTCATGGGAAAAAAACTCTTATGTTGTTGTGCATGATGAATCAATTTGCTCTAATTTTATGTGGCTCTATTTATTCTGTTTGTGCGATGTGTGTGAATATACCGTGTCCAGTTTCATGCAGAAGCCGCAGGGTCTGGGCCAGGTAGTCTGCAGAGCGGACCGCAGAGCGAGTGTCTCCTCGAGGCTGTTTGAGCAGACGCAGTGCATCATGGGGCCTTACCACCTCTTTCCGAACTCTACTCAGACTCCTTCAAGACAAATGTAAGACCACAGTGACAAACAGTAAGACCAGTATTACCAAGTTTGATAATTGTAGTCTCCCTCTGTTATAAAGTCCAACTCTCTGGCATGTCCTTTAGTGCCACTCTTGTCTTGTGTGCTATATTTACACTGAACTAGGGGTGGGCGATAATTAACTTATGATATTTCACAAAATTAATTTGACGATAAGCTTTTCACATTATTAAGATACTGGCTCTATTTCAGCTTTCGCTCAACAACAACAAATATATGTAGTTTAAAAAAAAAAGTAGAACTTCCAGGCAGAACCAAAGCCACAGGTGAGAAAAGCAATTGGTGAGCGCTGTGCGGGAAGGGAGACTGCAACGGGAAGGAGCAGAGAAGAATGTGAGCAGAGAGGGTTGTTTTTAACACTGAAAACCCCAAAAGTTCAGTGAACCTGGGATTATATTTTGGACCAAAACAAAGCTCAAGAACCTCTTCATAGAAAGGACTGTTACTCTAAGGAGAGGAGGAACTGTAATTGGGCATTATATATTAGCTCAGATACATGGAAATATGTGGGACAGGAGAGCAAGGGTCAGTACATTTAACTCCATATTAGTTTGCTATTGAAACACACTCACTCGTCTCTGGAGAACTTGTACGCCTCATCCACAATATTCTTTGCATCTTCATAACATTCCCTGAGTGAGGGACTTCTAAGGAAATCTACGGCAAATGTTTAGATAATTCAGAATCATTGAAAAGTCAATGTAAGTCAAAGTATACGGATAAAATAATATACCGTTGGGGTTCAGTTGAACGGGCACAATACACAGGCACAACACAAACAGAGCAGAGAGCAGCATCTCTGTAAAACATTTAGGTTTAAAAGAAAATACTGGAGTGCACATGGGATAGTGACATATATTAGAATGTCAGGTAAAGAGCTGTTTTAGTTCATATCATAATTATTACCTGTGTGGACAGCAGCCCCAGCCAACAGTTGATCTCTGAGTCCGACGACAAACTGGGCCTGAGTTTAAATAGTCTTGTGCAGGTGGTGCTTCTGTCCTGTCAAAACCCTGACCTGAGTCGAAGACATGGTTTAATAATGACTGAATGTTGTACAGTATCCAATTGTTTTATAGTTCTTCCATATCATTTGCTGAAAAGTGCCAAGAACTTTGTCTACTAAGATAGTACTTGATAAAAGTACTCCGCACAGTGACACTTTGTCAGTGACATGTTGTGATAAAAGCAGCACGATGAAATGGCCCTGAACTAGATCTACACATATAACTATGCATAGGCTTTTAAAGTAATTTAATGTCTCAAGAAATACAGTTTAAAATGGTCGGCCTTCATCCCCAACTGGCTATTTTTTGTTCTTTTACCTCTTGGCAAAAGTAAAATGAGGCACAGGGCCTTGTGCTCAGGTTGACAGGGTCTGGCCAGCTCTGCTTTTGGCTTTGTGCTTCTTAAAGCTGTTTGTTTGAAGCTCTGAAGGTCATTTAAAGTACTGGATAATTTAGTTAGATTTAGATTAACGTGTATTTTAGAGCACTCGAGCCTTGCCACATATTTTTGAAAAACACAATGAAAGCTTCTTCCGTCATAATATGGGAACGAGAAAAAGAGGGTTGTATGAATATCACAATATCTAATGTTTTGCGTTAGTGGAAAGAATGTTTATATATTATTTATCTTTATCTTTTACAATCTGTTATTATTTTAATGAATGTTGGTTGTGGTTAGTTTTTTACTATGTAGAGAAGGTACAAAATGAACCTCAAACATTATGGGTTCTGTTGTGACATGTCTTAATCACCATTTTATCGCTCTGTTTGTAGCAATACTAGACAAAACTGTGCAATGACCCTTAGTTTCCCATAGACTATAATCTCCATTCACTGAAAACAACCAGGACTCATACACAATACACAAGTTATAGTAAAATGACTCAAAATGGTTGAAGAAGTTGCAAAAATGTATGCAATATATATATACATAATTTGTATGTTTTATTTTCACCATACTGATGATATGTTTGTTATAGATAGAAAAGGGAAACATATAGTTTGGTCTGAACTTATGATTAGGGGTCACCTTTTTAGTTCATCGCACAGGACGTCCCAAATGAAGTGCTGTGATCACCAAGTATAACACATGCAACATTTTATTACTACATTAAAATAATTTCACATAAATATATGTGGCCCGCAAAAGTGCTAATACAATCATCCATTTTGTTTTAAAAATGTGTGGCCTGCAAATATTTTTTTTCTATACCCTGTTATATGATATCCATTTTTTATTAAACCTCAAAGACAAAGTTCTTCTTTCACATTTGTATTAATTAACTGTATACAAAAATAAAACAAACTGAAACATATTCATCTTAATGATTTGAGTGACCTGTATGTTAAGTTTTCCAAATTTAATTAAGTTGTAATGCTCTCAAGGTCAGAGTGGGAGCTGTGGGTGCGTAGCGCAGAGTTTCAAAGTCACACTCTTTTCAGAGACGTTGGAGGTGCAGAGGAAGCTGGGGTGGTCCTGGTGGTCCTGTCAAGCCTCAAGGACCTAGACAAATGATGTCAGGTGCAGTAATTAACTACCACAATGTTAGATTAGTCAAATGTTGGTCATTCTGACTTTTATATAGTTGAATCTATAACTGTGTGAATGTTTAGACAATGTCTTTTGACATAGTGGTCGAGGTGATCTTCTGGCAATGTGTTCTGCTGAAGCAAAAGTAAAACTTGTTTAACTTATTGACTGCCGTCATTTGACTTCAACATCGTGTTTTACTCTTTTCCTCTGTGTCCCCTGTGTCATTTATGTCTAGGGTTTGGCTGTAGACAGTGTTTTATTGAGCCAGTAGGTGGCAGCAGAACTCTGACCAAGACAGCCACAAAGATCACTGTCAGCACTGTGTGCAGTGTGTCTCTAGAGCTGAGACCATGTGGAGGGTCAGCAGCAGACCAGCAGAGCACCCCAAAAACAGCCACAGAAAAGTAGACTATCATAAAAACTATCAATGAGCTTGCACCAGGAGCTTGCACCAGTTATCTTCACAGCACTCACTGGACTAAAGAGAACAACACTGTAGACGTAACCACACAGAAGCGTGCATAAAAGTACAGACATGCGCACACAAAGACACACAACAGTATTCTATTACACTTATAGTATAGGTGTATTGTCTGTTCACTTTGATTTAGTGTCATTTATAGTGTTTATCATTGTAGTTTTGCAATTCTGTGATTTACTGTTATTCAAATAAATATAGCACCACCTAATGGATGAATATTGGCCATTCTTTCTGGCATAGTTTCTCAAGGGCTCTACTTTCAATATGTACATTTTGAAGTTTTTTGGATGACGTTCTTTGAAATATTCGAGCAACGCTTTGTGGATGTGGGTCTGTGTGCCATAAAACCTATTATTTTGCATCAAAAACCCTTTTTTATAACCTGTTGTTGGTGTTTTCTAACATGTAAGATCCTGGACATGTTTGAGGAGATGCTAAAGTTAAACGAAATAGTGTTACAATCACTTTTCTGCATTGTTCGTCTGTTTTCACAAACACCTCATTTTCTCAGCTGACTGGTGCTTTTTGTCACACTCCCCTCTTTTTGACTGGCGATTACAGGAGAATGAAACAAGCTAAAAACAAACCTATTTTTGCTGCTGGAAGTAAACAGTCCAGTATTTTTGACTCTGGTTTCATATTTAACATAGTCATAGCACACACTATTCTGTGAGTCTTGAAAATCAGTGGTGTCATCAAAAATAGCTGGCAGTCAATGAGTGGTGGATCATATATCATCATATTTTGCTCTACAAACTAACTGATACTTTCACTACAGGTGCCTCCTAGGATTTAATTGAACCAGTTGTCACACTGTGTCCTGTGTTTTAAAGAGAAGAAGAAGAACTGGTGAGTCAAACCATTTTGGTTTCTGCACGGAGCTAGTTGCTAGCGCTAGCCTCCGCTGTTCTATTGGCTCTTTCTAATAATGTTTTTCTGTGTTGGCGCCGAGTTTGTTGTCAAAAATGATTTGACTGACGTGTTCAGAATTTGGTACAGAAATAAGGCCAAGATTTCAAGAGTTCCAATAGTACATTTATTTCTCTTTACAATTACAGTAAATGTTGATACAGAACTCCTGGAGCTACTCCCTAAATCTATCCCTGTGCTCCAACGTTTTCCACAATGTGTCCTCCCAACGGTTTTATCAGAATGTCCGATGACGTCACATGGTCTGAGGCTGGTCCCAGTCTGGCCCAGTCCAGTTTTGTGTCTCAGGCCCTGTTCCGATGAGAGACACGCTGTTCCTGAAAATGATACTTTTATCACAGAAGCCTTGTCCTTGGTGCTTGTCTGAATTCCACTAAATCCAGGCTTTAATATTGCACAAAGACATGTTTGCAAACACCTACTGGAAATCATTAGTATACAACATTATAATTCTACAACAGGCCTAATATCAAGAGTATGTTTTTGCTTTGCTCCTCCTGCAAAAGTTGGCATACATTAGATTGTTGTTGTGATAATGTGCACAAAGCTAGATATTTGCATTATTGGTGCATTGATATGAGAACTACTATTACTCTTGACTGATCAAATGTACATTTATATACAACCTTTTATTTTGTAATGATCTATTTCTAATTATGAGATATGACGAATGCTGGTCCTGTTCATACAAAGGTTCCATCCCCTCTTTTGGTCCCTTTAGTCCTTTGGCCCCCCTTTCTGATGGCAAGGTGCCCCAGGCCCAAAGCCTGGTCTCCTCAAACTACCCCTATCCTACAGTAGGAGGCGAGCAGCTTTGGTCACCCGCACAACACCTGCACAAACCTTTATTGGACATTTGGAACAATAACCACTATGGACATTTGACTATTTATATAGATTCAGCCAAACACTGTAATATGGAATCATTGCATACCACTACTCTCATTGTAAATATTACTGTATATTACTTGCATATCCCCAGTATTGTTTTTAAATACTTTTTAATTCAATATAATTCACAATTGCACTGTATCACTGTCTCTGTTGTTGTATTTTAAACACCTCTCTCTTGTGAGCTATACCTATCTTCTGCTCCTAGCCGAATGCTGAGATTAATTAATTTTCGTTTGCCTACAAAATTTTATGGAGACCAACAAGAAACAAATCACGCTCAAAAGGACTCAAAAGTCAAGCAGTAGGACTCAGGACTTGACTTGGGACTTCAGGGCAATGAATTGAGACTAACTTGTGACTGGTCATGATGACGGTGGCTGAGTGGATAGCACTCTCGCCTCTCAGCAAGAAGGTCCTGGGTTCGAATCCCGGTTGGACCAGGGCCTTTCTGAGTGGAGTTTGCATGTTCGCCCCGTGTCTGCGTAGATGTCCTCCGGGTGCTCCGGTTTCCCCTACCACTAAAAATATGTACAATAGGTATGGCATGTGCCTCCTGTACTGGCGACCCCCACTCCCAAAAATAACAATTGTAAACTGCTTTGAGACTCCGATGTGCAGTGAAAAGGCGGTATATAAATAAAGATTACTTACTAGATTACTCATTGCCGCCTGTGGTTTTAACTGACCTAATCAAAAAAGCTAGCACTCGGCACTGCACAAACACATGTCATAGAGAAAGACACACACAATATTTGAAAGATTATTTGTGAATGCACACACCATAAGGCTTTCAAGTTGACAGAAGGGAGTTTGTTGCACCGGACACGGCGGTTCGATCGGGACCAGGCCCTAAAAACATCCCGTGGGACGGCTTTGATCCCAGTGTTATCACAGATGACTCTAGAGAGGGTGACTCTGGACAGGGCACGCCTCTGTCTCTTTGTGAACACTCCAGGGTTTTCATACCAAAACCTGGAAATCACAAATATTGTTATATCTATCATCTATAGGAGAATCTTTGAGTGACGTCTTTGTTTATAGTTTTTCCGCGCCGGTCACGTTACTGGGTGGCAAAACAGCATAGAAAGCTACCTGGATGCTAGAAAGTTAGCTAGTTTTTTTCGTTTTTGGTTTACTAAATAGAATTGTCCACTCTTGTGTGGCCGGTTGTACAGCCCGCTGGGGCCAGATAACCTTTTTTTTTTTCTTCTTTGAATTCTTTCGGAAAAGAACAGCAATACACGTCCGCTGTATCGTGTTCAGCACATTAAAAGTGGGTTGCCGTTTGCGTCTCGTCATCCCAGGTCTCATACGGGCTTTGAGTTGGTTCAGTTCAGTCTCATATACTTATTTTTAGCTTGTCTTTATATCTCCTCTGATCTTCTTGCGTAAAAGTTCTTTATATAGTAGGGCTATCAGAGAGCCTTCCAGAGGAAAAAATTGATCTCTGTAGTAGGGCTGGGTGATAAATCGATTTTGATTATTAACTCGAATTTGACGTTTAGGGCGATTTCTCTTTAATGAAAATCTATTTTTTTTCTCCAGTGCGGAGCTCCAGTACTAACATACTAACCGCGGGTGTTGAGTCATTTTGAAAGCTCCCTAATTTTATTCTGTCCTGACCCTGTCACAGTTGGTGCTGTTGCAATAACACTTCAGACGTTCAAGAATCAGACTTTATTTAAAGTGATTGTCTGGAGTTTGTCAGAAAAAGAGAGAGGTACTTGATTTGAAAAAAACGACGCAAGCTCCTCCCCCTTCCGTTTTTTTTGGACTACGCCTACGTTTCCGTAACACTTTTAAATGTTAATCAGAGAACACATTATACATATACATACACATGCACGGAGGTTTTCAGAATTATTCGTTAACGTTTTAATGAAAAAAATTATGTTTTTATGCACACAAAAAAGCGATCGCGGCAAACCCGGAACAAGCTATTATCATGAATTGAACATTATAGGACACACTTGCAGAGGATCTGATTATGGGTATAGGTTCAGTATACATAAGTACCTCAGAGCAGATGTTCAGACTTCTTTGTTCAGTTTTCATGTAGTTTATTCTTTCATTCATTTCTCAGCGCTCATGCTCGTTACTCCAAAGCGCGCTCCCGTGTCAGTGGCGCGCCCACGCCACACACGTGTCCCATTGAGCTGCTGCACTTTGGGGAAAGACACGTCTTACACATTGCTCTCATTGCTCTGATACGAACAACGCTTTCCGTGCTCGATCTGTTAGCTACAGTAGCAGAATGTTTACAGGAAGAGAAACAGAAACTTAACTCGCACAATGCGGTAGTCACTGAAGTTAGTATTAGCGCCACCATCTGGTTGCAATTCTATTCATTACAAATTCCAGATGGGCGGCACGGTGGCTGAGTGGACAGCACTCTCGCCTCTCAGCAAGAAGGTCCTGGGTTCGAATCCCGGTCGGACCAGGGCCTTTCTGAGTGGAGTTTGCATGTTCTCCCTGTGTCTGCGTAGGTTTCCTCCGGGTACTCCGGTTTCCCCTACCACTAAAAATATGTACAATAGGTCTGGCATGCGCCTCCTGTTCGGCGACCCTGCTCCCATCTCTGTGTGGAGTGAGAGGACAATTGCCCAAAAATAACAATTGTAAACCGCTTTGTGACTCTGGTCTGTGAAAAGCGGTATATAAATAAACATTACTTACTTACTTACTTAGATGGGTATCTGTGGCATATATTACTCACGGATTATCCGATGGATCTGACCTCACGATTGGCTTTTGGTTGACATGATTAAATATTCTGAAAGAACACTTGGGCCCCGCCTTGATAACCATTGATGCCTTTAGCCCAAGTGGACACTGAAGAAGCTATCATCGCCTTACATTTGTTGTTGGTGAGTATTATTTTTTATAATATACACATAGCATATATTACTACATCATCTATTCTGCAATCAATTCAACTTTGTACAGCAGACATAGTAGAATATTACTAAAGTTTTATGTTTTTTTCTGCATGTTTTACTTGCAGAAAGTAAACAAAAAACTAAATCCGAACAAAAAGTACTTCTATATAGTAGTATTATAGTTTTACAATTCTTTTGTATGTGACATTTTTACCAGATGGACGGCGGAGAGGGCCGGATCAAGCATCGAAGCCTGAATCCAGACGTAGCCTTGTCCTGCATGTTTACTGTGAGTGGCAGCTTGCAGACCTGACTAGGAGCTGATGAAATAATCCAGAGAACTACAAAGCATGTTATGTTGCAAAGGGCTATAGTTACTATCATTCAAAGATCCTCACTGAACTTCTGGACTGAGTTTGCTGCACTGAAAGTAAAGGGGCCGAATAATATTGCACGCCCCACTTTTCAGTTTTTATTTGTTAAAAAAGTTTAAATTATCCAACAAATTTCATTCCACTTCACGATTGTGTCCCACTTGTTGTTGATTCATGACAAAAAATTAAAATTTTATATCTTTATGTTTGAAGCCTGAAATGTGGCGAAATGTTGAAAGGTTCAAGGGGGCCGAATACTTTCGCAAGGCACTGTAAATACATTATAACGTAATTTTCCCTTGAACTTCACTCCTAGATTGTGAGCTCTATCTTCAGCAGACAGAGCGACATGAGATAAAATAACATTCAGATAAACGGAAACTAGATAAATCACGTCACTGATTTAAACAATCTGGTCTCAACAGGGATCAGAAGTTTCATTCATATTTGAATAATAACTTGGTTGAGAGGCAGCTATTGATAAAGACATTATTATTAATTTGATATGGGCAATCTCAAATTCTTTTTGGCATTCTTGATAATGATTGTTTGACTTTAAACGCATAGAAAACATCGTGGCTAAAATATGTTACTCCACATAATCAAAAATACAATATTGTCAAAACATTCAAATTAAACCAACTGGGGACGAGCACCATAGTATTTTTTGCTTAAAAAATAGTAACAATAATGAGAAGCTGTGCGCCCATAGTGAGACCCAGGCTGTGGCTTTATTCCACCAATCTACGTCATAGATTGGTAGAATAAAGTCACATGCAACTAAATTTGAGTTGGATTTGGGATCTCCTACATACATTAGCACATCATCTACCTCCCCCTAGTTGGCCCCTCATTGATAGTGCCCGTGCACAAAAACTACCAATCTTTTGTGCTGCGTTTGAAAAACAAAAGCCACAAAAAAAAAACTTTTTGCTGCTTTTGTTTTTGAGATATTAATGATTACTTTTTGGTCTAGTTGGGGTCACACAGCCCCTTTTGACCTCCAAAATGAGTTAAAAATAGTCTAAATCAATAGTGTTTTGTTTGTGCTGCTAAAAGGTTCAATTTTTGCTATCATAGTTTTTTGATTATTAGCAATTTAATGTTAGGCCGAAGACGTCATCAGCCCCTTATTGAACTCCAAAAAAAATTGGTGATGATCAGGACACT